AGCCAGCCGATACAGATCAGCCCCGATCTCATTGCTAAGATGCCCTTCTTCATGGACTACTACGAGAATATAATGTGTCCCTCCATGGTTCTCGTAGATGGGCCGAACAATCCATTCCGAGACCACATCCTACGACTGGCATCGGGCAGCCGCAGCCTTCAACATGCCATCTGTGCTCTGGCCGCCTGTAACCTGAGAATGAAGAGAAGGTTAAGTCTTGGTCAACGTGCCAGATCAGATAGCACCGGATCTGAGCGACTTTCCGAAGCCCAGTCGGACCACCACTCTTTGAACGAAGAACACCAACACCGAAACCTGGCCGTTCATCTCTTAAATGAACAGTTGAACGACCCCATGAAATCGTGCCACGACTCCGTATTGGCTACTATACTACTTCTCTGCCACTACCGCATGGTCGAATCCGGAGTCGCAAAGTTCCACACACAATTTGCCGGCGTCAAGAAGATACTCAGCATGCGAGGTTCCGCCCCTTACCAAGGGTCCAGCGAGTCTTCGTGGATGGAGGCTATTTTCACCTACTTCGACTCGATTTCTGCCAGCATCAACGACCGCGAGGCCCAACTCAACCATTCTTTCTACGGCCTCCCCTCGGACGCCAACTTACTACCTCCGGGAGCTGAGAACTTGGTTGGCTGCGACAGGGAGCTATTCAAGACCATTAGCAAACTTGGACGTCTGAACCTCCTATCACAACATCATCACCATCATCAGAGCGTTCTATCAACACCTAACGCGCACGTCGGAACACCGACGACTTCGCCTCCCCTCGGTTCCCCCATGGGACAACAATTCAAGCAAACCAGCCCACCAATCGGAGATTTCTTCAGCATAAATCACCACCGCTATGATGGCAACGGCTTTATTTCGCAGCTCGACGACGAAGAGATCCTATCTACGGGACTTTGCCCCTCGCCGCAATTCGACGAGAACCGCTCAATCTTCTGGCGCGAATGGAAAGAAGCTCGCATGGCTCTTCAGAGCTGGGAATTCGACACCCAGCGAGTCGCCGCATCCCTCCCCAACTCGGCAACCCAGGCTCAAGTGCGCGACCTGCACTCCCTCTCCGAGGCATTCCGCTACGCGGCCCTCCTCTACACCGAGCGCCTGGCGTCCCCCAACCTCCCCTCCACCAACAACAACTTCCGCAACCTAGTCAGCCAGGTGGTGTACTACGCGACCTCGCTCGAGTCCGGCAGCAGCGCGGAGAAGTTCCTGCTGTGGCCGCTGTTCGTGGCGGGCAGCGAGTGCGTCAACGAGCTGCAGCAGAACATCGTGCGCAACAAGTGCCGCGAGATCATGTCCCGCAGCGGCTACATGAACAACCTCGCCGCCATCGAGGTCCTCGAGCGCCTCTGGGCCGGCGAATATTACGAACCCCCCATGACTCCCGGGAGCAAGCTGGGCATGAGGCGCGGCTGCTTCAACTGGACTAAGTGCATCGGCGGTCCCGGGGTCGAAGTGGAATGGATCATGTTTTAATGTGGATGTTATTACTCTCGTATATTCTATATTCTATGAACAAAAGGAGGCAAGCTTTTTTTTGGAATGATGGGCACGGAACATATGGGATCATAGAGGTTTAGGACCCTTTTTTTCTTTTTTTGGGAGCGCATTTTCACTTCTAAGATATATATTTCTAGCACCTTTTTTTCTTCTTTTTCAGTTTCTTGTCTATTTTCTATTTTCTAGTTGCTATTGTTTATTTCTTGCCCCCTCCCCCCTTTTTGGTTTTATCACGGATGTACATTATATTACACTTGCATGTTGATATCCCGGGGTCACGGATTTTACGGCGGATACGAACGAGGTTTTGGATTGTATGGACTTTTTTTTTTCATTTTCAACATTGGGATGGTCTATGTCTGTTTAGCAAGAAATGTCGGCTGGGCTTATGTTTAGAGGGAAGTTTTGGGGGGGCGGGGGGACGGGGCGAAAGAAGAGAAAGGGGAAGGGGAAGGGGAAGGAGGAGGAAGAAACTTGGGGTTTTCAGGCGGTGATGGTGATGGTGGTGGTGGTGGTGATGATGATGATTGTAACTACCTAGCATATGACTTAGTTGCGCTACGTGTGTAGGTAGAGACATACATACAGATGAAGAGAGAGAGAGCATTTCCCAAGACACACATAAACAGTTCGTCACTTGAGTCTCGTGATTTCGCGCACCCGCCCGCCCTGTCTCTCTTTTTACCACACCCTCAGATAGGTTGGGGGGCCCATGTGAGCAGCTGTCAGCAAAGCAAAGCAGATCTCCCGGCGTCCGACGTCACGCCATAGCGCCTCATGCCCCTAAGAACACATAACACAGACTGGGTTAACCTAGTATGTTTAGTACTAGCATATTATACCTACCTACTAGCCTATATGTACATATTATATCTAAGATACCTACCTACCTACCTAGTGTAAACCAGATGTAGTCCACACACACACACATACACACACACCACCACTACCACCACCACCATCACTACTAGTTCATGGAGTAGGCGGGAAGGAACCTTCCCACCCACCCCTAATCTTTCCTCCCGCCCTCCATCGTTAGTAAATACCGTTCCGTAATGGAGGGCGCAAGGCACAGCCACATCTCTCCCTTGTCAGTCAGCTAGCTATCATTCGGTAGATACCTTACCTACCTTGCCGTAGATGCTAGAAGGAGCCTCTCGGAACACATAGATACATACATTAGGTACATACATGGATACCCTCTCTATAGGGCCTAGACATCGAACCCAACAACGCGATCTCGTAGCCTACTTTAGTTATCTATGGAAGTGTAACTCCACGGAAGTCCCTATAGGATATATATCTCTCAACTTTAATATATGTCCCTAGGTTATATGTATGCAAGGAATATGCTGTGGGAGTAATTACAAAGATTTGTATAGCTAGCTAGTTCTGCCTCTCACTCACTCTCGTCCCCTCTGTTGTTCGTGGACCCCCACCCCCCGCGCATTTCCTAAACAGGGAGGAAGAATGAACTGTTGTCAGCACAGCAGTGCAGCCCACCGCGAGATTCTACGTACATTAGTAGGTACTATCGAATCTTCTTCAAACAGGCCTGATACGTAATGAGAAGTAGATCATATCTAAGGGTCTCAACAAATCATTACACACATACGTAGCGGGGCGTAAAAAGAAAAAAAAAAACAAGGATAGGATAGATCGCTTAGTGGAGAGGAACGAGGAAATCAGTAACCGGGATGTACTGCTGCTGACTCTGGCCGTATCTACGGAATACCTGGCCTAATCTATCCAGCTATAGCTAGCTAGGCAGCTGTCAGTGATAGCCTAAGCCAAGAAGTCGTAATACATGGTTTGCGTACATAGGCCTACATAGTAAAGCAATGTGCATATCTTGTCGTCTTGTTTTTTACTTTCTCTTTTCTCTTTAGCTTCTTTTTTCTTTTGCAAAGGTCCAGGCCGATGGTAGTAAAGTCTGGTTCGTCCATTCATCGTTCGTCCCACTACTCCTCGGCCGACTAACGCTATCACACCCAACATCTAGAATGATCGTCACTGCAGAGTCGAGGCGTACAGTACGTAGCTAGCTAGCGCTTCCTCACCTTCGCCGGTCACCTTTGCTCGGTACGTCAGACCCACTGAAGATGATAGGATCGACCGTAGCCTAGAGAATTAGCTACGGTAGATACCCGGGTCGCGTCAGCAGACTCGCTTTTCCCCTTGGTTCACCCATTGTTCAAGTACGCATGGTCGGCTTTTGACAGCTTGACAGCTTTAAACGGAGCTGCCGGCAAGTCGTCTGACCACCGTGAACAGCCTTCCGGATGGACCGAGGCTGCTGGTTGGCGGATTTCCGCTCAGCTCGTGCTGCTAAGATTCGACGGCACGAACTATGAGGGAAGCCGCCCGATGTGGAGCCAGCCGGTAAATCTAGATGATTTCCGTAGTATGTAGATCGTATGGTGAGCATGGAGTCGCCCCCCTTCACAGGGAAATGTCAACCGAGCCAGACTTGTTAGTAGCGCTCCATTGGTTCGATCAATCAAGCAACCACTTCATGATCTCAGTACCCCAATCCAATTCATTGGCAGATACCGACTCCGGGATCCGAGATCTTCCGCCGGCGCAACATCGACACTAGAGCAGGGTCCCTAGCTAGACTGCTAGAGCGGGCCCGCAGGTAGCGCTACTTTGGCGGCGGCGCGTAGAGGTAGACATCCCGCGCAGGTAGTATACCAGGTAGTATACCAGGTAGTATACCAGGTAGTATACCAGGTAGTATACCAGGTAGTATACCAGGTAGTATACCAGGTAGTATACAAGCATATGAAGATGATGTGGTGTCCTCCAAAGCACGATATTTTAGCTTCTTCTTCGCGGGTTCTAGTAGGTCTTGGGTCTTAGATCTACTAGCCAGGGATCCATTTTGGGGGAATGCCTCCGTGATTCGAGACTCACATCGAGAACAGAAGGGCGCTCGGGGCTCATTCCTGATCTATAACTAACTTACGCCCCTGTTATGCAACTCTGCGTGCAGCAAGCCGGCCATCGCATCAAAATCGCGGGCTTGGCCGCATCGGCGGGTTCCAGAAGTTCACCTGGCTGCCGATTGGCCTACCCGGAACCCTAGCATAATTCGGATCACGAAAGCCTACTGGGCGGGGAGTCGGCGATCGATCAGGGTTTGGGGGGTAAAAGTTTATAGAGACTCGCCGATTGCCCTGAAGCAACTTTAGCGAGGTGACAAGAGTTGGGGACTCGTATCCGTAGAAGAGTTAGTACCCGCGATGCGGGTATGTAACGTCAAAGTTGTAGTACTATAGTACCTCTTTACATCTTTGTTGCTGCGTTTGGAATCATCTCGGGACTTGAGAATTCGGTTACAATCGTTAACCTAGTCGTTCCAGTTCCAGTTCCAGTTCCCAGTTCCACGTAGGAATATGCAACATCGTCTTTCTCATGCACCGCCCCGCCTCGCTTGAGTAGACTGGAGATAGCAAAGACTCCGTGGACAACGGCCTGTCAAGCCCACATATTTTCATGATAAATAGGTACTTGTATAAGACTTTGCTCAACTTATATGGTAAATTATAGATGGTATATGGTAGATGGTAAATGATAAATGGTTGATGATAGAAGCACCTCACAACTATCCACAACGCCAAGTCCAACCAGCATGGGTTGATGTAGCAAGAAGCTGCCGCGCAAGGCTCGTATCAACTTACCCTTGAAAAAACAAAAAACAAAAAAAACAAAAAATGAGTGGCAGGTAGTTTTACTTATTCTAAAGGCTGACGAATTTTCACCTTAGTATTGGAGAATCGCGATGTGAAGCTGCTGTACGTTAGGTACCTAACCTTGGGTAAAGAAAAGCATGTGGGGGAAGACGAAAGGGCGAAAGTGAAAGACAACTGACAAGTCAGCTATCTCTTTGGACGCTTTGACCAGCTGGAAATGCACGTGCATACAAGATAAGATAAGCACCGATTATTCTTATCTTATCATTCAGTAGTATCAACGATGCATCAGTAAGAAATTTTGGAGCATTTTCCCAATATGCTGGATTATCTCTAGTGAAACAAGAAGCGAACGAACAAGCATTGAATCTCAGCGCGCATCAGCTATACCTCGTAAGCTGGCGAACCATTCCATACGACATATATCATATAATCGAATAGGTCAAAATACCATACCACATCTGATATAGCCATGGGTCGTGACCTCCAGAAGCGCAAGAGGCGCTCTTCTCGCCCCGCCATCCGCCAGCCTTCATCGACGTTAAGATCGAAGCGTCTCTTAAACCCTCTAGGGAATGATTTGGTGGCTAAGAACTGGTGAGAACTCTCTATGCCTCATATGCCTATATTTACCCTCTAGTCGCAAAGCGAAACGAAGGTAAAAAAATAAAAAAATAAAAAGTTACCGGAGCTAAGACAATATCGCGATACAGGAATAAGAAAGAGACCGCAACGCAGAACTACCGCCGTCTCGGTCTCGTGTCCCGCCTGAAAGCGCCAACCGGCGGCGTAGAACCCAATCTGGCGTCGAAGAAACTACAAGGGCGAGCCACGAAGCCCGTAGACCCCTTCGCTATTAGTCAGCCCACCCGCCCTGTTATTAGCGAGGTGCGCGTGGAGCGGGACGAGAACGGCAAGATTATACGCGTACTCGGTGGTTCGAAGCGGAAGGACAATCCCCTAAACGATCCTCTCAACGACCTCGACTCCGACTCGGAGGATGACGAGGACGAAGATGAGGAAGAAGGAGGCGAAGAGTGGGGTGGAATCGAGGACGCGAATGGAGAGGATGGTATGATCGTTGCGCAGCTCGAAGAAGAAGCCAACAGGCCTATAGTCAAGAAGCCACGGACCCTAACCAAAAGGGAGACTGAGTGGTTACAGAGCCTCGTGGACAAACATGGAGATGATACGAAGGCTATGTCGAGAGATCGCAAGTTAAATCCGATGCAGCAGACAGAGGCGGACATCGCTAGGAGGATTAAGAAATGGAGGGGTTCCTCGGCTTAAAAAAAGGGGGGGCGAAAGGACTCTGACCCGGTGGATGGAGTTTTCTGCATTGCAAGGCGTTATGGATCTTAGTATTTTGACTGGCTAAGAAGCCAGCTCTCGGTATATACTTGTAAAAAAAGCATAGGCTACTTTGCCGTCATTCACATCTATATACTTGGGCATACGTATAACAGGTACCTATCAACCGAAACAACAGAGTGAACCTGTGGGATAGCTATATAAAGCCAATATTTACCCTCCCCTGCAAGATCTATTTGCACACTATGCTATCGCAACGCAAAACATAAACGCGACAATCGTAGGCACTATCCTGGTATCCCATAGCACCACAATGAAATAGGTATCCGGAACACCGATCACCGTCGTGAAGCTTTTATACTGGCCAGCCACCCTGTCCCAAACAACTCTTATCCTATGTACCTAGGTAAGGTAGGTAATTTGAACTTTCCCATGGTCCATCCATCAGCTCCCAAACGCATTCTCGGAAACGGGGAAATCGTTACGCCAACTGAAAACACTTTAATGCAACGTCCGGTCGTAGTCCGCGCTGGGGAATTGCACCGGCCTGTCGTCGTCGTACGGCTCTGCCGCAGGCGGGGCGTATATGTGAGGCCTGGATGTTTGAGAGCCGTAAGGGTCGCCGTATAGGTCGCTGTGCGCTGGCGATGTGCTGTGTGTTCGGTAGGTATCGAAGGGGTTCTCGAGAGGGGCCGGAGACGTGCTGTGCGGTCTGTACGCCGTATCATTGTCAAATCGTCCGCCGAACGAATCTGGGTCGTAAGGACCGTCGTGGTGATCATCCTCGTGATGATCGTCCATCTGCACGGGCGCATATGCTTCTTCGTCGTGCGGCGCCATCGAGAATGCTGCCTTGTCCGGGTCGATGTTCTGGCTAGTACCGATGTTTTCGTAGCCGGGTAGACTCTCGGTACGCTGGTAGTATCTCAGGGTGTATACGCTGACGGCTGTCGTTGCAGCCCAAGCTAACCTATGCTAACTGTTAGTGAAAGATACTCGAGTAGACTAGACCATGGTGTTAGGTAGATGCTTACGTTTCGAAGAAAGCGATTCCAACAATAGCCTTGCTAACGGAGCAACCTTGCCCGCAGGAGTTGGCAGTATTGTAAGCGGCTTGACTTGCGAAACCAGATAGCCAGAAGATGGCGAAGATAGTATCGGTAACGACCATTACATGCGGCTGGGCAGCCTTTCGAGTTCGCTCAAATCGCGGCGCTAAAGCTAAGTATAACCAAGCCGGGATAGATAAGAAACACTGTTACCATAGATCTTGTAAGCGGCTGTATGTTTGTTTAAATTGTCTTTCCCGCAAGGGCAAGGGATACGGTAAATGGAGATCTCCTACGTACCAGACCAAATGGCCAGCCATTATTACCGTTAATTATCGAATCGTCGGCTCGAAACAAAACGATCTCAAGGATGAATATGACTATAGCGAGGACGCCCTGGAAGATGTGAAGACCAAGTTTGGTGTTGGGCACCTTATCCGGGTTGACGTCTAACTTCTCGAACAATGCCATTTTTAATGGCTACGCTAAATTCTGCCACAGGCCAAAAAAGTTAATATGTCGATTTTAGAGTGGAAGGTTTACGTTGGAAGGTTTGCCGAACATCTAGAAGATTTCGGATTGGAAAAAAAAATAAAAAGGTTAGGTAGGTAGGTAGTGCGACAGGAAGCTTACAGGGCGGAAACAGCCAAGCAGGCTACGTCGTATTTTAGGGGCGGCGTTGCGGCTGATGACGATGTCGAAACGTAAAGTGACAAGGGCTTTGAAGAGGTTTCAACTCTCAACTCGGATACGGGTAGGTTAGGTTAGTCGAGTTGATGTCGCGCCAGCTAGTTAGCCTTGATTCAAATATCTAAATTGTCAAACTTGTCAAATTTCTTTTCAAACCAAGAAAGAAAAAGGAGGACTGGAGACGATGCAAAAGTTAATTGTGGCCGGGCCGATGAAATATTATGATAATGTACCTTGGAAGGTATCCGAATGTTTTTTGTGTTTATGCGGTTAGGTACGCCTAGCAACATATATCAAATGACCCTCGCAGCGATTGCGTGTAATGTATTCTATTTTAAGCTCAGCCACAGTCAACTGGAACCTCGTTGATTCCAAGGTTGTGAATGGCCAGTGCCACTGCGAAAAGCGCTGTTTTTATGTAAACACAGCCTATAAGCGCCACCAAAGACTAAGTGCTGAGCCACTATCTTCACAAGGGCTCTACCTCATTAGCGCTATTCTCACTGGACAACCGAAGAAACGAATATGCGCCGTTGTTGGTATTCACGAACATGGCCAATACCAGATGAACCAGTGACAAAAAGGTCAGACATTTCATTTATTTATCCCGCATTAACCGCAAGGGAATAATTGGGTTGGGAATATTCTCCGTGGATATAAGAGACCATAACCCCCAAGTTGTCTCTAAGACAATTGGGTTGTCATGCTTAATTTGTCTCACTTTACTCGAGTTATATTCGTTAAGAACATTCGACTCTATACCTTAGGTAACGATTTTATTATTTATTATTTAACCTTCATACGAAGCCTTGGACAGTTGATCGAACATTCTTCTGCATTCCATAACTATAACTATTAGATATCGAAGCCATAACCTACCTATGTAAGGTGGCCTGCTTACATACGCAGGTACTTACAACTCATCCCGACTAGGTACCTAACATCTTGTATTATACGATCCGTACAGCCACCGAATTGCTCTCTGTGGCACCTATGATGTCAATCCCGCATCCTTCACCCAAAACCACATACGTACCTAAGAGCTGCTGCGGCCTCGAGAATGACGACCACAGACGCGACGACTTTACATAAATGACTACTTCGCACAATATTTATATTTTGACGATATCGTTTACAGTGATTCTATATACTTCTTTTTTTCTTTTAATAACCTTTTATAGATGCAGATACTACATCTTTAACATTTCAAGTACCCAGGTACTTTTCGATATGCGCATCGCATCGTTTCCGCAGCAACTGGCCGAGTTTAGGTCTAAATTCTCCAGTGTTTAACATCAAAGGCTAAGTACCTATGTATCTGCCTACGGATCCGTACATTACTTCTAATTTTTAAAGTATTAATGCATGTTAAGTTTTATAGTTATCTCCTTACACAACCGTTATACAATTGTCTATTGGACTAAAAGCTACATTTGTATATACAGTTACCTTGTTGAGATCCGTGTGAAAATGAACCACAGCTAGGTTACCTAGGTACCTGTCGTGTCATAGCGTACCAGTTCCCGATAGGGCGCACACTAGTTGCCGATGCTCGGGGAAGGGATTGAGCTATTTATTAGTGTCGCAACCGCCTCTAAGCTATTTAAACCCCGACTATAGCATAACTCTTAAATCCGAAGTCGATTTCGCCATCTTTATATTCCCGTTTTGAGTATATAATCAGAGTATACATCTCACCGTCGTTTAGTTCTAACCTCACCCTCCTTCATTCCGAGTAAATGCGGTTTATTCAAGTCTTATAACAGCAAGCCCAACGACTTTCAAGTTAGGTGTAGGTACCTAATACCTAATTGGCACGCCCTCTAAATAAGTAAAGGTGGTGTGCTCTAACGTATGCGAAAGAGTTGCTGTCATGGCGGCTGATGACATCTCCGCTCAGCACGTACCGCCAGTCTCGGCGAACGGAAACTCCCTCGTCCAGAGCGACGAAAGGACGCCGCTACTGAGCAATCAGAATGAGAACGATATCTCGGCCGAGGAGTCTCCGCTGATCAGCAATGACGAAGAGCAGATCGTCATCGTCGAAGAAGTGAAAGGGTTTAAGCTGTGGCTCATCCTCTTCACCTGCTGGATAGGCGTGTTTCTCGGCGCCATCGACTCTACCATCATTGCCACCCTCTCAGCACCCATCTCTAGCGAGTTCCAGTCCTTGAGTCTATTATCATGGCTCGCAACTGCTTACTTCATCTCAAATGCTGCCTGTCAACCCATCTCCGGGAGGCTGACGGATATCTTCGGGAGAGGCCCCGGCCTCGTCTTTAGCAATGTTTTCTTTGCTGTCGGCAATCTCATCTGTGGTCTCGCGGGGGACCAAAGCGTTATGATCTTTGGACGAGTTGTCGCTGGTATTGGAGGCGGTGGTCTTATGTCCATATCCACTTTTCTTGGTACCGATCTCGTCCCTCTACGAAACCGAGGCGTCATCCAAGGGATCGGTAATATATGCTATGGGGCCGGGGCCATGCTTGGTGGTGTCTTCGGCGGTTTTGTCAATGACAACTCTTCTTGGGGCTGGCGTCTGGCTTTCTTGATTCAGGTTCCCCTAGTTCTGGTCTCTGCGTGTCTAGTTGCCTATCTTGTCCGCATACCACCCAAAGTATCAGAGAAGTCATACCTAGCTCGCATCGACTTCACAGGCGTATTTTCACTCATTGTGTTTCTGGTCCTGTTGCTGCTCGGCTTGAATGCCGGTGGGAATTTGGTCCCATGGATCCATCCCCTGCCGCTGACTACTTTGCCGCTTTCGCTAGTAGCGTTTATTGCTTTCATTCTCTGGGAATCCCGCGCCAAACAACCCATCATTCCGGTACGCCTCCTTCTAGATCGGACAGTTTTCACAGCCTGTATGACGAATTTGCTAGGCATGATGATAAACATGATGGCTCTCTTCTATGTCCCTCTTTACATGCAGTCTCGCGGAAGTTCTTCGACGGATTCTGGGGTAGTAATCCTTTTTGCACCTATCGGAATATCTATCTGTTCCATTGGAAGCGGGCTCATTATGAGGAAAACTGGTCGATATGGTACGTGCGAGAAAACTCCGTCTCCGGGTCTTCGAATCCCTGCTCCTCATATTTACATCCAATTTGTCTTGTTGTCTAGTGCTTTATTCGGTGTATATACTAACTGTGCAGTAGTAAGTTTTTAATTGCTTCTAGATCTAGCACCATATGCATCATTCCCTTTTAAGAGGTAGCGAGGCATTTAAGATCTCGAGTTATTTATCTAATATTCGCCCCTATTCCAAATCGAGCGTTCATAGTAAGCAATTTTGGGGTTTCCGTAGAAGGCTAATCTCTCAATAGTTGGCCTTAGGTATCTTTGCCGTATTACTCCAGGTCGCCTCTGTCGTCATCCTCACAACTCTCGATGAGAACTCTCCAGGATGGCACCTAATGATTGCGTTCCTGCTTCTTGGTTCCGGCCAGGGAGGCATGCTTACTATCACGCTTCTAGCTTGTTTAGCAGCCGTAGACCACTCCCACCAAGCTGTAGTTACTTCCGCTACTTATGCATTCCGATCCGTCGGCGGAACGGTCGGCGTTACGATCGCATCGGCCATCTATCAAAACGTACTTAAAACTGAATTATGGGGGCGATTTGGCGACCTACCTGGGGCAGCGGAAGAGATTCATAGAATCAGAGATGATTTAGACGAGTTGAAACACCTCCCCGACGGCTGGTACGACGGTGTCATAGCATCATTTATGGAAGCCTTCAGGAGTGTATGGCTTACAATGTTAGGGCTGGTGCTTCTAGAGCTTGTTTGCATCTCCTTAATGAAGCAGCATAAGCTACATTCAACCTTATCTCGCAGTGAGAGGGAATAGATGCTCGTGCATGGACAACCACTCTTATTATGTGCACTACCCACGGGCAGTGTGCGATAACGGCTAGTCTGACAGTCTTTGATTATGTATAACGAGAGCTAAAAACCTTCTATGTGGAAAAATAACTAAAAGTTAGTGATAAAAATATCATAGAGGTTCATCTCAAGATGACCCTATGTTCGCTACACTATAACCTCTGTCTGTAAATACTATTAGACTTCCGACCTATAAATCTAGATTGTATAACAGTAAGCTTTTGGTCATTGATACTATCATGTTTATCTTACCTTTCTCACCATAACTCCTTTTCATCACTCATTTCTGTCATCCTCCGGCAGCAAACTGGAGCTTAGCCCCCCAAAGCATCACCTTTTTCTCAGGTCACACCATGACAGGTACCTACATAGGTAAGTTTGGTAGGCACGTGGAGAGCACGGCGAAGTATGCATTAAGACTGATGAGCATAGGCACCGTACGGGGTTCAAAGGCTAGTATGACGAGAGCAAAAATGACGGAGGAAACGGCGACAACGGTCAAATACCCCCCGCGCGACCAGTTCGTCTCTAGAAACAGGAGCGCGATAGGCAATAGCGAAAGTGACAGACTGCCAATGGCAAGAAGGACTTTGAGGAATAACCGAGAGGGCCGCAAGCTATAGGTCATGTGTGGGCCGTCAGGAGGGATGGAGGAAGGAAGAGTAGAGCGGCTGAAAAGGCAACAGAGATGCTTTAGTGGTTTCTTTAGGGATATGTTAGCTTGGCAGGCTAATATAAATGAACAATGGAAGGGAAGTAAGAAAGAAAGGGGAAGTTGATGAATCCAACTTGCCATGTACCAGCGATTGTCTGTATAGTTCAGCAAAGATTCGAGCCGCCGAAAAATCGCATCTGGTTCGGTGCTAACGAAGTCGTCGACGTAGCGCATAAACGCGCACGCCTGGTCGTTAAGTCCCTGATCGCGCCGTGTCATTTCAAAGTGCGCCTCGTGCGCGCTCCGAGACACGCGCGGAAGTCTCTTGATATCGCGCTGCAGGAGAAGAAGCTGTACTAAGGAGGACATATACAGTATCAGGCCGCGTGCTTTTCAATTTCCGATCCGCAACTTACGGTATTCTCCGAGTAAAATCCTAGCGCTCGTAATCATATTCTCTCTCTGCGTCGCACGATCGATCTCACCCAGGTTTGACCCCGAATACTGCGGAGGCAGATGTCCGACCCCTTGACGGCAACGGGTAACGAATTTCTCGCGGTCAAAAGGGAGCGACCATAGGGGCTTTCCACCCTCCTTTTCGTCCTCGCAGTTCATCTCGTCTAGTTCGTCCTCGACGACAGAGAGCTTTAGTTCGTAAGACGTGAGTAGGTAGTGCGTCAGGGGGTCGAAGCCCCTATGGCTGTTATGGTTGCCGAAATACGTCTGCTGCGACGCAATCTTGGGCCAGCCACGAGGAGAGTAGTTCACTTGATTCTATTATTAGGTGGTGTTCCCACGGGAAATCGCATCTGGTAGTTCGACTCACCGACATCTTCGTCAGTATAGAAATTATCCTCCTCTAAGCCGGCTGCTTTCTTGGCTAAGACGTAGGCATTAATTAAAGAAATGTATGCCTACCATTAGCTAATGCATGTCAACGTACCAGTTGAAATCCTTTCGTATATGTTAGGATGCAATTGCGGCTTATAAGGGGCAGTTGGAGTTTGGCGAGCAATGTTGTTGTGTAACTGCATGTTGTTTAGTGGAAGTATTGGGATAGCACCGGACGAGTTCGACATAATGAGGAAAATTACTTAGATACGCTGCTCTTCATTCCATTTTTATGCTAACATTGCGTTTCTTTCTCTGATATTTATATGCGGGGCATTAGGTTCACCGCCTGGCCCTGCTGGACATATCGTCACATCGATCGTCGAGTCGATACGAGTACTGGTGAGAGTATTCGCAACTTTCTAGTATGCTTGAATACCCAATAGCCCCCAAAGTGGTTGGAAAATTGGCCAGTATCTTGGGGAGGGTGTAGTGCGATTTGATGTCACGAGAAGATGCTTCAACGCCGTGCATTCGAAGTGCGAGTCGCGATGGAGCGGTGAGGATGGGGGCAGATATCGGTGGAAGCCTCGTCAATATGCTACGCTAAACCCTTCACTTGAAGGTGCTTACTTCTAAACATAAAAGCGGTATACTGAAGATGAACCAATGAAATCCGGCGTGCTAACGAAGGAGCGCAGCATTTTAAATGTTCGAACTAACATCTACTCATTTTGGCGAATTGTCGTCTGATGACGGTCCAGCGCAGGTTGGAATACCTATCAAGGCAACCTCTTAGAGGCAACATTGGAATCGTGCAAACCAGGCTTCTGGTACGAGGGTAACACGGTAGCCACCTGGCGTAGAACCTAGATGGCTTCATTGCCATTTCTAGCGTTAGGCACCAAAGCCAAGCGTCTCATTGGCATATGTTCGTAAGAATATGGCTGAGAGCCTCGATCACCAACATCGTGGCTATGGATATGACGGACATAAGGTCAAGAGGCTGAGTTTCATCCATCAGAATACCCACTTACCTAGATAGACGGATATAGTATCGCTCGAGGCTCCCCGTGAGATCTACTTTATATAGAAGCTGCTACTAATAGGGGGCAGAATAGGCTCTTTTCCCTAAAAGTCGTCAGTCTAAGTATAATAAGCTTACCCCTATGTAGCAAATATCAGTCAGTCCCATCCGTACTATTAGCGCTTTTACTCTTGGGCTTGCCGTCCATACTCATGACTGCGTCTTTGACTCTAAAGAACATAGCTAAGTATATTCCACGGATATTAATGATATCAATAGAGCATGTTCATGCCACGTCTCCTGCCGACGGCCCTGAGAGGAGCGTAAACTACAAGAGTGACACTTTGGTCCAAACTTGAATCTCCAAAGTGGCTTCAAAAGATACGGAAATGTCTTAGATTCCAAGCCATTAAGTATGTTAGGATACACAATGGCGGAGTTATTGACCGTAACGCACGACATAACTAAATGCGATTAAAAATAGGTTGTCAGTGAAATCTAAGAGACCCGCATGGGTGGATAGGAATTCCTTTATTACTATAGCTTATTCGTTTTAACCCCGTCCAATCATGAAACGGCCGATGGAACTCCGATGATGGTACCAACGATAGACCATGTGAGAGAGGAAAGGTGGATGAGATCGGATGTATGTCACAGTGGGCATCTCGTTTGCAGTGAGACACAATGGCTAAGGATCCCACTCGAGAGAAATTACTCACCCCACCTTTCTTCCGAGTATGTAAATAGGAATAAAACCTAACCATCTCCCACTCCAACTTTAACATAGGGGTTTTTTGGTTTTTTTTTTGACCTGACCATCGTTTTTAAAAAGCACCACGGATTGACTGGAATGCAGTCGGCCCGTCTTTCATCAAGTCTCGCCTTCTCCTGGCGAGTCTCGATATGACGAAAGATAGCTTATAAGTGTGATAAAAGTAGTAAGACCAAAGTTTACTATTATTAAACTGGCTTCGAGATATACCAACTGACCCTTCCGCTTACGCAGCGGGTATTATTTTGGGGGTGCGAGAGGGGTTCTGGCGAAGAGATTCATATAAAGCTCTTAGCCTTCCCTTTGAGATGGGTTGGACTGTATGCATCTGGCTGGATAAGGAATGTTGGAAAAGAATGGGAGGTCACGCGCATGGGGCCAACACTTTCAAGATGGACGTTTGATTGGTAAAACGTATGTACAGCGCAGGTGACAGTCTGGGGGCTATCCTTCTCAGGTATACCGTCAGACTTTTAACCAAGCCCGGATTTCGGATGAAGGGTTCTCTGCACCCCGCATTTGAATTATCGTGGCCGGTTCAGGGCCCCCCTTGTTTTCGGCACGGTTTTCATGCTCGGTCCACCATCCGAACCAGTCCGTACCGGCCCGTTCCGCTCAGCAGTTGCCGATTTCCCACTACCACAGCATCGGATTCTTATTTTATCTCTAAAGTGTTGATCCCCAATCGGGTTCCGACTGGACTTTATCAGCTTCCCTGGGAGATATGAATATAAGAGTTGGAAAGGGGAAATGGAAGCAGTCTGAAAGCAATTATCGAGGCTTAAAAGGCACCAACCTAGGTACCTAAGTCACCTACGACAAACCTACAGCCACATATGTGGCTTAGGTAATCATATGGCACACTAATGACATCGATAATGACATCGATAAGGGATATCGCGGAGGTATTGTTACGAGTCCGAATTGTCGTCGGAGATCGAATGTCTTATCAGCCAAACGGGACCTTTCCAATGAGCCAAGAGGCTCGTTTGTTTGCCATCTATGCGACCTAATGGACGGCCTGTTTCGTAATATAAAACCGACGGAGAAAAAAAAATTTTGAGGCAAAAAAAAAGGGGTGAAAAAAGCCTGAGCTTATGGCTTACCACAGGGGCCGCGCGATGACAAGATTAACGAGCCGACGGAGAATTTTGGAATCTGTTCAATCACCAAATCTTTCCACTTTCATAATCTTACCTCTTACGGGGCAACAGAATCTGAAAATGGGACTATTCGGATTCACACACTACGCTACGAATTGCGGACGTTGATTACTGAAAGACAAATTCTACTTATGTATATGCGCTGGGATCATATTCCTGGCAATGTCCTGGGAATGTCCCGGGACGCTATCCCGTCCAGTCCTTCCATGCTGCTCCCCCCTGTCGGTCAATGAATCTTAAAGCAACGCGCCAGCGCGCTGCCACTTCTACCGATGCTAGGTACCTACATAGATCGACAGGGACAGGGACAGGGATATATCAGAAATTCGGTTTGGTACCTGCTCCCAACACCAAAAGAATATTCAGCACGCTCCGTTAATAGTCTATTCTCATCATGCTCGAATACAGGGACGGGACCCGCTACAGATAGTCTATTGACCATGGATTCTTCCGTATTGACTAGGTTAGTGTATCTGAGAGAGCCTCAACCACATCAAGCGTGCACGGCCATTCGACCATCTCCACTGATGCACCCTGGCATCCATGTTATCTCGATTGGCCTTTGCTTCAGTATGTTCGAAGTCTCTTGGACAATAAGCAGCTGTGTGCTCTTTTGAAGCCCTAGGGTTTACTTCCTCGATGATGAAATAGCTCCGCATCCTTGTTACCAATAAATATAAATATGCGTAGAAATCTGTTACTCTTCCTCCATTCTAGAATTTACAATATTGTCTAATTAAAGAAGACTATTGAGCAAAGAATCACTGATACGAGGTAATGACCTTGTCTTATTGCCGTAGTCTCTCATCATTCAATGTTCTGCGTCAATTACTTACACTACTCGTTAGATCAGCACTCGTTCTGAAGCCCAACCAAGTTACAATTCTCAGAATCCTTCTTATAAGTCCAAGTCAACAAGTTGAGATCGCCGATCAACGTTCTTCCTATACGGAATACCATGTGTGGGCTTTCCAACTGGCTGTCGAAAGGCAGAAAAGACAGTCATAGACCGAAACCGAAACGCGGCGGCTCGAGGGGAAAGTATATCTACACCACGGGACAGACTCATTCCCCTCTTTCCGATCCTCGCCCCCTGTTAGCCGAAAATTCACGGAGGGGAGTTTAGTGACCACGAAGAAAGGTCGATGACCGGACTTCGTGATTTGAGACTTATGGAAGCTTATGCTAGGAGTCAGACGGGTATATAATCGCTTCACTGAAACCGGAAAATGTTGCCTCTACTTGTCCATATAGAGAAAACACCACTGCCCCATCTTTGCACCATCGGAATTGAGCTGTACCCAAGTTACATATGTACCTAGATAGACTAGAACCAACCACCCAATCAATAAATGCTATCAATGTTCGCGTAACAACGATACGGCACTAATTGCTGTAAAGAGATGAAACCCAATCGCCAAAAGCAGTGAAAAGGAGGCGCGTTGTAGCGTCGCTGTTACGCTTATAATAGAATTGTGTACAAGCAATAGTAACATTCAACCAGACTTCCATTGTATAAGAAATTCATCAAGTGAGTCTGCGAAATAACGCTTACGTACCTACCTACTAAGGTGCCTAGCTACCTAGTTTATAGTCTTGGAAAGAATTGATATTTTTGGGGAAAATGAAAAATCGGCGTTCTTGCGTTTCGCATCTCATTTCCTTGAGCCACCACTTGAGATTCGCCGCCAAGGGACTTCGAAACTCATTTAATGATTTTGCAGATAGGTATAGTAGAGAGAGCGGTAGATACTAACCAATGACATGATTACATGATTCTAGACACAGCCAGAGCGGGATTCTCCTGGCGGCATGGCTGTGACCAATAATGTAACCAAGTCTCACCTGCGCAACTGCGCAACGGACACACTGTATCTACGGGAAGAGAGCTCAGGAGTGGACATGTTATCAGACGGGAACTCCACTTGCCGAACCAGCGTAAAGAACAAATTAGAATAGGTAAGTTAAGTTAAGAAAGTTAAGATACAATTTACCACTATACTTGTTGTGGTGCATCAGGCGTGTCGGCGGAGATGTAGCTATGTACCATGCGAACAAGTACGGTACCAACATCGTAGCCGGGCGAAAGAGTCCATCTATGCTAGCCCATAGCCCAGCCCCAACCATTCCTTGAAACCGATTATTCTGTTGCATGGAAAATTTCTTGCTCCACATATGCGGCCTGGTATTTGACCAAGTCAGCCGTACACGTATTATGCTGTTGCTATCATTGCCAGGAGCGGACTGGAACATGCAGCATACTATCTACATTTGGCGACAGTAGCATGTTTAGCAATATAGTAAGATTATGTCGATTAACCACTAAGAACTTTCACAGTAAAGAATCGAACTGACGAGCGCGGCTTGTCGATGATGGGCTGGCAGCCTCGTCTGTGGGCCCTGCAGGACTTCTTTAGACCCCCGTCTATGGAGGAAAAGGTTGAGAATTAGTCGAACAATTAAGGTAACCTAGGAATACCTACCTAATGTACCTATACCAATACCTAGGTACTTAACCTATGTGCCTTAACTTACATTACCATTGCCTTAACTTACATTACCATTTTACCTTAACTTACATTCCTAACTTGGCCAGGTACATATCCCCACCTGCATATCCTAACCTATCTAAAGTAGAGAACCGTCCCGTAATATATAGCATTCACTGTACCGTTGCTTAGCTGTCTAGAGCGCTTCGGGGAGCATCTTGCCGAACTCCAGGATACAGTAGGTAAGATATTTTTTTGGCGAGGCTGGCGGCCTCTTATCCACAAGATAAGGCCTTCGGCGGATTTGGAGCTGAAATCAGGCGGTAAGTCATGTATATATTAGCTGAATTATATGATTATCAATATGTGGACAGGGTACATACCAAATACCTGGGTAGAACGAGGATCAATCATGCTTTGGGATAAATAATGTGGAATAGCTGACACAAGGTAAATAAGCTTGACACGTTATGCTTGAGCTGCTATGGTAACGAGGTGAGGTGGTGAGCTCAAACGAGTTAGTACTAATTCTATAAATATAAAAACGAGACACGTGTACTCTAGCTAATTTCAAGAACCGAAGTCTTGGGTACATAGAAGAAAGTAGAGAAAGGTAGATACCTACCTGTCAAATCATGCACGGCCTGCTGTCTGCTAGGCGCCAGCACCAATCATGTCTAAAGGGGACGCTACACCTTTACGCGTCGCGCTTGTTAATCCTGTGTTATCTAAGCTGACCCCCAAATTTCAACTTCATGCCATTAACTCTACCATTTTCAAGTAATTCCAGCCCTCCTTATAGGGTGTTTTTTATCTGAAATTCCATAGAAATGGTTATAAGTATATCGGACTACGCAACGAAAGTTACTTCTACTGATTGACTAAGCGCTTAGAGCCGTCTTTAAAGCTAGTACTCGGTAAGAATTAGATCAATTCCTATATGTAGGGTAAGGGGAAACCCGTGTGTAATATGTGATTGGTCCGGATTGCGCATTTGGCAGAAGGAAGTTTACCCCTTTAACACGAAGCCGTCACATACAACCAACAAATACTTCATATATATATCTTGCTTCATAGCGAACTCATATAATGTTAAAAATAATTTTACCTAACGAGAAGCTGTAGCCTATCCCCTAAGTTGGCATAAGACAGCACCCCTTTTAGTATAGTTGGCTAGTCTAATAACGTAGGACTAATTTACCTTCCTTAGCTAATTTTATGTAGTAATATTTAGAGTAGTAGAGGTGCTGGCTTATGCCAGTTTAGGGGACACCCTATGACCAACCTTGAAACACAATCAACGTATAGAGATCTTGTGCGTCGTATATTTGCCACGAAGGAACACAGGCGGCAATATAGTAGCTAAATTATAATGTAAAATTCCAAATATAACCTTCTTTAAAAGAATGTCTTATTTATCAAGTACCCGCTCCGACGTCGTTCGAAAAGGGGTTAGTTAAGTCTTCCCCTGCTCAAGGTTCGAGAGAAACGTGACAAGTACCGCCATGTACGCGCTTAGACCGACGAGGATGGTTTCCCAATTGCACTTCAACCAAGTCAAGGCAGCTACGAATGCGAAATCGAAAGCGACCACGACTACGAAGGATTCGGCCCTGGATAGGCTCACGAGAAGAAGTATAGCAACGGGAGAAAGCAGCAGCACTCCGCTCGCGAATACTACCACGACCTTGAGGAACACGGTCAAAATCCGGGTGTCGATTTCGTCCTTTCGCCCAAAGATTCTCTTAGTGAGCTTCAGGGTTTTAATCGAATATCAGTAAAATGGTTCTTTAGTAATAGGCTGAGTGATGGAGTCGACGCATGTATAGTTAGAAGATAAGTGTGCTCACTTTTGTGATGGGTGTATCCCCGTAGATTAATGTCTCGAAGTACTGATGCACACGGTCGGTGACCGTAGTAACGAAGTCATCGTTCGAATATAGAAACTGGCATGCCGATGCATCGAGCGGATGGCGGTTATTCACCACGTCGAAGAACACCCTATGCTCTCTTCTAGAGATGCGTGGCAGCTTCTGCATTTCTTTGCCGAGCAGGAGTAGCTCGTCTTCAAACCACTATTTGTTATTATTTATCCAGGACCAACTTGCGGGTATAGGTAGTACTAACCATAGCTCTTCAATCTCAGCATTGCGGATTCCAGGATGAGGTCTTTGTTATTCCACGGGCTATATTCGTTCGTATCCCTTTGCTCCTCATCTGCTCCTTTGGATGTCGTCGGGGTGGGAACAGGCTGGGATTGGGCCTGAACTCGAGTGTGGCTGATGAGTAATGTTTCTCGATCAAACGACAGCGATCTCAATCTGGCAGCATTTCTTTCATTGTCTTCGTTATCGAGCCTTTCTAGTTGATTTTCGAGGTACGCAAGTTTCGTTTCTTGGTCTAAGAGGACCCGATGTAAAAGGTAGGAGAAGCGTCGATGAATGCTGAGGTTGGGATAGTATAATTGGGCAGCGGCAATAGAAGGCCAACCTCTGGGCACTCCATTTTCTATCTCGTCTGTCAGCTAGGTCGTTAGCTATCTATGCGTATAAGTTTGCTCACTAAGTTCAGAGTCTCCACGAAAGTTTTCATACCCGGTGTTATTGTTCCCGGTTCCTAGAATAATTATTAGCTGTGGAGAGGATATCAGGGAGTGTTCAAATCGCACCAGGCTCTCCGCTGCTACCGGTGATTGCATCCATCTCATGGCCCTCTTCTAAACGAGCTGGCGAAGTCATAGTGGAAGATTGTGAAGGAAGGGAACGTTGGATTCGTCAATAGGAACATGATGCCAGGTGGGCATGGCACCCTAATAAATATCCGCAATACGTGCATCATATCTTTTCCGACGGAAGGGAAAGGCACAAGGCCTCATCCTATCGCCTGAGATTTCGGTGAAGTAGCTGTTGCGGCTCTGCGAACTCGGCAGATTGGGGGTCGGAGAGATTGGCCCGACAAACGGACGTATGAAAGGCGCTCTGGTCTCTATCGGTTAACCACTATATGTACGATGATTTCCCCCGCAGAGGATGGTGTACAGTAATACCATCCGAATATTGAATGGAACCAACATCCGTCTACTTTGTTACATGGGCTTCGAGTACTAACTAATAGCGCCCATATGAAAGGCATCCGTCAGTATATCTATCTACATCTAAATAGGTATCTAATATATAGAAATTGGAGGCTCGAGTTACTTGATAGTAGGTACTTAGTTAAATTCGAGTCTATAGCTTGAGTAGAAAACGAAGAGCCACTTGTAAGTATACTCGTTGCCTCGTATACTGTAAGCTTTTAATTACTGGACACAATATAGCTGTTCTTCCGATGCTAGGTTCGCATCGTGGCAGAACTAGTATGTTGATCTTTGTATTAACTATCTCTACTCGGATACCTGCTTGCTTTGTACCCTCTTGAACTTGATACGACCGAATTGGCGGCTTTCGCCGATAAAGTAGCTTGTAGTTCCAATATTTGTCAGCTAACGCCAACATTATGCTCTCTCGAACTTGTTTCATAATAACGGTATAGTAGCCATAAGGTCGTCGAAGAATCGATGGAACGTTGTATAATCTAGCTAATAGTAGACCGATAAGATTTATACATATGTACTATTTATGCACTTAGAATAGGAGATAATTAGCTCTTGGAAGCTAGCAGGGGTCCTATTCCAATACAAAAACTGCCACGGTCGCGCGAAATTGCTTTTTTACGATTGTTATTTTTCTCATGATTTATAGGTACGAATTCCTCTACTTAAATGCAAGTTCATTCTTATGAATGCCATACGCGACTAAATAATGTATAGGGGCTGGAAAGAATCAGGGAGACTCAACGGCAACGATTGCATTATAACTCGGAAGTTGGGAAAGAAAGATAGGGGTTAATCGTATAGTTAGGCACGATCCATATAAAGGGTAGATTACCTACCTACCTATTACGTGCCCTTGCCCACTCTCCTCTAAACTTTGACCTTTTCCTTGGTAATTACCTTACCTAGGTATTTTACAGGCACCTTCCAACTTCGGCCTTCCGGTAACGACAATACACGCCACCTTAGTCTCTTAATTACGATGCCTCAAACTATTTAACTACCTACTTATCAAGCAAATATGAATATTTTATCAAAATACGGTTGGTTTGGTAACCCTTATTTACTAGTCCCTATTGGCACTACGGGCTTGCGTCGAGTGTAAAGGGCTCCCGATTTGACATCAAATACCCCTCTTCTCCCCTATTTCCTACTGACCAGATTATAGCCGGTCCCGCTCTTTGGTAAGAGCGCGACAAGCGCCTATAATACCTCACGATAATAATCTTTACGTCTTATTCGCTGGCTGCGAATCTGCAGCATGATATGGCGTGCAGCAACAGCCTCCCGATCTGTGGCTGTTATCGGAAGGAATTACGTATAAGCGAGGATATCTTATTTGATATCCGATCCCCTTATTCCGTACTTCGGAACTGCTTCTACGGACCCGTTAGGGCTGAAGTTTAATGGGTACTAGCAGAAAAGTATCAACCTTTCCTCGGGAAGATCCGCCAGATAGTGGAGACATCCGCTAATCTACCCCAGACCCGATCCCCTGGGCTTTCAACTGACAGCGCACGGACCAATTAACTACGGTACTTAATACATACGTCCAGATACAAAGCTTGTAAGCTGCACTCTGTCTTCCTAGGTAATCCTAAAAGAACTTAATGAAAAGAAGTTTCAACTAACAAAAATAAAAAGGTCTATAATATACAAAGCTGCATGCATTTCAAGTCGATGTTAAAGCTCATCTTGTTAGCTTTGAGAGACATGATGGAATCTCAAAATAAGACAATTTGACCAAGCTTAAGCACGCTCGGTCGAATTGGAATAAAGTATTCCTGAGGAAGTTCAATGTAAAGAAATAAATGACCGTTACAATATGGACTTCAGTCGATGTTTGTTATGGGCCCAAATCTGATTCAGAATGTTAAGAAGTTTAATCATGGAAGCTAGGAATCGGGACGGGTTGCTACAGATAGTAGCGACGATTGGGGCCCTTATCTACCTGGCTTTCAGCTACTCTTTGGCCCAACGCTACGCCTAGAGGGACCTCTATGAATGTCAATCTTCGTCCATTATTTACCAGGGTATCGGCAAGGAGATAAATTAATACTACGTCTCTTCAATTCGACGTGGGAATGGTATGGTCCATTAATAGGAAGAGACGGAAAAGATGGGAGAAATCCAACTTTGGGCCAGGGTTATCAGGGCAACCTAACGCTGGCGTCGAGAGTACCAGCCGCCCGGGATTTCGGTATTAGGAGTCGATTTGTTCAATGTAAAAACGTGGTTGCCCATGTCCCGCGTACAACCTTTTAAAAAGTACCTATACATTTGGCGATTCATCGGAACCCATATTCTTTAGGGCCAGGTACTTAATGGGATGCGGCACATGGGACGCGGCACTAGAAACGACGGAATTCCTGGTAGCGATTGGCTTTAGAGTACTCTGAGTGCGTTATTGGTCAACACGTCGACATACTACCCAAGTGGAAATCCACTAAGCTCACAGTTACCTACGATCACCTTTGCTGCATTCCATTCCATTGCGTTGTACTCTGTACTCCGCATCCATCGCAGTGAGGGCCATCATCCTTATCATTAAATTAATTTTTCAGTGTATAGACGACTGGTAATTTCCCACGGTATACATCGTTAGCCTAGTCCACCATCATGCTGGGAAAACTTTTTCTTTGGACGACGGGCTACTTGCGTCTATCGCGCGACGGTGCTTCCCGGGTACCCATGCTCGAATCTGTCAAGGACGCGTGCGGATGCCCCAATCGATAAATAAACAGGAATACACGGCCACTATTTATTTCGTGATGTCCTCCCGATTATCACGATCCTAGACCTAAATCCCCAGAATCCTATCACTACCTAGAGCCGAGCACTTGCTATCGACTATTTTCCAATAATCCTCACTTATATCAGTCTTAAAAGGTAAGAACTCTATTTTTTCTATATAACGTCATGCTATAATATAGTCTAAGTAATATATTAACTTCGGTTTGTTTCAAAGACGCGGGGATTCGTCCAAATAGTATCGGATTATCCATCCCCGACACTCTCGACATCTTCGGTCGACACACCAACTCCTAAACAGATATACACAATTTGAGCTCCCCTTACTATCTAAACTCACAATGACTTCGACCGGAGCGGGCAAAAAGTCTACAAGGAGTGGGCGACAGATCTTGACATCGCCCCAGCAAGCACGCAAACCGGATCCGGCACCACAACCCGCAGTTACTCGTAACATCTGGAAGTACGTATGGGATAAGCTGATGGGACTGGCGAGAAGTGTGTAGGGGGTGAACATGATTCGGATTCAAAACACAAGGGCAAGGACTAGATGAAGGAACACTGTTTGACTTCTCCCAAAGTACATAACTTGAAGGCATTGTCATACTCAAAGAGATGCTAGACAATAGCTGTAATCTCACACAACTCACATTTCGCATTTCAAATAGAATATTGACTCCGGCTATATAAATTCATGTCATGTGGGTAGTTTTCAAGATGCCTCGATGCCCTCGTAACGCAAGCGTGCTTTGATCAAAAGGTTCGGTATTTCTCCAGGTCAAGTATTTGAGTTCTCTTAGATACAGCCCTCCCAACGATTAATTGGCGTCAACTCCTAAAATCTAAGCTCTACTATCATCCTTATGACAGGTACTTAGAAATAGGCTTTGGGTATTACTGGAAACAAGAGAAATTAGGCCCTACTAGCCACCGGCTGCAAGCAGCCACAATATCTTGTAGAACCACGCGAGGCACTGGAAAGAAGGCCCCAAAGCCCCAAACTTCAACCTCTAGAAAGATTACATTCTTTTATGTTCTTATTTTTCTTGTGTCAGGCGGTACCCTAGCTCTGTTCCCCTTTGGGGAGTACTCTAGACGTCTAAAGCGCCAAAGTTGCGCCGCTGTATCTACGTATGTAGCATACAACAGACCAATAGACGTAAACTTTATCATCATCATCATCATCATCATCGTTATCATGACAGGTACGGTAATTTCATATTATACATAAGTGATTTGCGACCGCTATATAATATCTAACCTTCGAAAGGCTAAAGAAATTATGACAAGCTGAAGCATTGCTCTGCATTAGCAACGTAAGAGGTATGTTCAAGTATCCGAAACGACGTCCACGGTCGGCATAGGTTGGATTAGACATATACGGTAACATTGATATACTCTAGCATATCTAAAAGATTATTTCTCGTGCGTTGGGGTTTTAAAAATCGACATGCTATTATTACTGGGTGTTTAGGAGGAACCTAAGTATTGTTACGCCCCCTTTTTTCTACAGCATCTACAGACACCATCTATACGCTACCTAATGCAACCGCCGATGGCTCGCCCACCCTAATTTTACGCACACGTCGGCTTTGGTGGATCTAGAGAGATAATTATAGGTAATAGACATATATTAATAAATCATTTATGCATAGCTGCTCGTGCTACGTAATCTATAGGTAGTCGTTAGGACCAGGGAGATTAGGATAATTTCGTCTAGGTCTTTCTACATTAGTATGCCTCGCGTCCGTCAGAAGACGTATCTGGAAAATGCACGATTTTCCCGCCATCTTCTTTTACTCGTTATGGTGAATACGTGATACCCACATCAGACGCGCGATTTGTATGAGCATAAAGTCCCAGCTGCAGGTACCGCCACGTTATGGTCATTTTATGATGCACGAGGAACCAAAAACGCATCTAATTGTGGCCAAGCAAAACACCCATGCATGAATTTTGATTTTCAAGCATGCCAGGCCGATAGTTATCCTATCATCTTTTAGACCCCAAGAGTTCGGTTCATGGTATGCATGCAGGCCTAATGCGACGGTTCAGACACGAGGCATGGGATCAAAGCAGGTAAGAATTAATATGCAAACGACGCAATAGTGCCTCCCAGAATTGACGCCTTGCTCCTGTACCTATGATCTGCGCTGACAGCTGGTCACTGATTAGCAAAAGGGGCGGTGTGATTCGGTTGGGATGATAATATATAGGTACCTATGCAGTGTGAGTGCGTAATAATCGGCATATGTTGGGTTCTAGAACCCGTGTGACGCTAAGTCAGTAGAACCTAGTTTCATTAAATTTGGTTATCGTAACCATGCGGAAAAGGTGGGAGAAAAGGTGGAAGAAAAGCTGAGAAAAAGTGTAACCCAAAAAAGGGTAAAAGAATACTGGTTGGTATGTACCTCACAGTGTTGAGATAGATACTACATGGATATTGTAACTACATACACTTGAATCATCCTCGCACCTATACGTATAGAGACTGGAAGCCACGTTGTTCGTAAAAGTTGATAAGGCTCCTTTGAAAATCTCAGTTACCTAAGCCTTACCAACTGCTTGTTGTATGACGTGACGCGACAATACTCTCGGCACGAAGTAAACAAAAGAGATACATCAAAAAAATATATTCTACACATACTCCGCTCGGGCTCCTTGCGATAGCGGTAAATAATTCGAGATCTACCGGTGAGCCTAGATAGTTTCCCTTGCTAGAAGTATACGGACATGGAATACTACGGGCTGAGAAACTTCTTCGAAGCCAAGTTCTATTTACTAGCACTGTTCATTAAGTCAAACGCCCTTTAGGGTCTACCCGAAGCGGCCCTAAAGAAGGTAAGGTGACTGAAATATAATGTACCCCAGCTTGTAACGTACATACAGGGGGCTATCAAGTATGAAGTACTTCTCACACAAGTCGCCTTGGATGCAGAGTACGGCTTAGGCTATCCAATCATGTTTATGTATTTCCATTAAAGGGGTTCTCCATGCGAATAATAAGTTAGATACATATTTGCGAGGCAACTTGACCACTCATAGCGAGGCTGTCGGCTCCGTTACTGACCTCATCTGGCCCCCTCTTGGAAGTATTATCCATTATTTAAAACAAGCCTCTTTTCGGGAATGACCAAGCCTACCTTCTATGCCGTGGAACATGATAATTGAAAGAAACTGTGGCTTAAAATTATTCAAACATGTTCCTTTTTCATTAGGTAGCTACCTGAGAAAGCCAACAGCAATACACCTACTACCAAACAACCGACACAGCTTGCATTCAACACATGGTCCGCCGTCCCCCATCAAATAAACCCTAACATTGGCAAGGGTTCTTGTCTTGTATGTTCGATTGAAATCTATAAATAGAAAGCATCAGCGAAATTAGGAACGGGGCTGCTATCAGCTATCGTAGGAACTGTACGTGACTAAAACGGCCGAGTAGGCTGAGAAGCCGATAAGCATTTTGTCAAGCTTCTTGTCTAGGAGAACCATGACGAAGATAAATGCCGCGCCGAAGCAGACTACTACTGCTAGACATTTCCATTTATCCGTCGGCCGACGGAGCAAGATCCCGACAGGTATCATTAAGATAAAACCGCTCGTCATAGCGAGAAGGCCTTTCTCGAATGATACCATCCTTCCCGTGTGCAAGAAGGCGACCTTCTTGCTCTTGGCACTGGTTTCTGAGCCCCTATACTCCGTGGCCTTGAAAATCCATCTAAATACCCAGTCTCTAGATAAAGTTAGAACATTTCTCCAGGTTTTGGGTATCATGTCTTTCCATGTAGCACTTAGGGGTGTGTAGAACATACGGCAAGGGGAGAGCTGCCGTATACATACGAGAGCGGCAAAGGTTTGGTCAGCTCGTTCAGTCCTCATGCTCAAAAAGTCGTTCTGAAACGTTATGAACTTCCAATTCTTGGCCTGTAGCAAGTTTTCAGCCTTTAGTGTGTGGAATAAGCTCGACCATTCCCAACGACTTGTTCGCGGCAGCTTTTGGAGTTGGTGTATCAGTAGAATGGATTCAGCTAGGCTACATAGTTAACATAAGCTACTCTGTCGCACAATATATAAGGCGTAATTGCTTGTTAGCGATTACGGCGTCGTTTTTTTTAGCTTCGACATACTCTCAATCGAAAGAATCAATCACTTACAGTAGCGCTCAAGTCTCCTGAATAGTGCCTCCACGGCTTTCTCCTTGAGCTCTTCTTTTTGACCTTGTACTGGTACACTTGTTCTACAGGCGTATCGGATGTAATATCAGCAACCGACTCCTTATCATTGCAAAATTCACCGGGATTAGGTTTGTTGAGCTGGGAAGTATGCTTGTAGTGTAAGTGGCAAATTGGCGAGGGCTGGATATAGCTTTTATCGAATTCTCGACCTTCCACCTGGGAACTGAGTTCTTCGTTCATTTCGTCTAAGTGCCTCAATGATTCCTCCATATTGGTAATATCGCTCTGTTCATTCAGTAGGAGTCGATGTCAGCCTTATTGGGGTAGTATCCGCATTTCCGAAAGACTGGGTAAATATAGGGGCATTGCCCCTTTCAGCTTGCGAGGACCTGTCCATAATATGAAGTCGGTATGATGACAACGCATGATCCGCCAGAAATGGAGACTCTCAGTCAGTTAGTTGAGTTTTCAAATACCTATATATTGATAAAATTCGAGGTCTTCTGGGTAGGCTAGAAATCTCCGATTATGCTTACGAGCCCTTGCGTATACTCATTACTTGGTGCACCCATAAAGCGTTGCGGCTAATTTGAAGCTTAACTAGACGCTATGTCTCAGGGGAATGTGTAAGGACAGCGCCTATCATCCGCAATGCCGCCTCCGCGTATTGATAGCTGATTAGTTACTGGAATGTAGATAGGGGTGGTCCATTGGAATACGCGCGACTTCGTTTTTAAAATCTGGGGTACTACACTACAAGACTGGACTAATGAAGTGGTGCTTGCGACAATCAACGTAGGAGGGTGTGGCCACTCGGTTCGGTATTATACGGTCACTTTCTCGACAGTTCCTTGGACTGAGGTCTTGGGTTATTGAGTTACCTAGGACCTAGGTAGGCATCGTGGCGTTCATCTTTCTGTAACCAAATTTAAGAATGATTTCAATTTTATAGGTACTGGCCCAATATCCAATGAATAGCAAATAACGCGGGATAAGAGATGTCCCCTCGCGAATTTTGGATTGGGATGATATTTAAGGGGATATTGAATTAAAAGGCGGAGAGCTTACTAGGTAAACCCTTTTAGCAGAGCGACTTGACTCGTGCGCGGTCATGCGTGAGGTTGCATTGTGGCAAGGCATACCTCTTTGAGGCATATTGCCTGGCGTCTATGTATAGTCCCGCGGCTACTAAGCATCTATGCGGGCACGCAGGTACACCACTAGTATAGTGATAATCCTCTGTTTAATTTATTTAACCGCCATGTAGCACCGCTTTCAGCCGCATCGCTGCATTTTATATGGTCTTCCAACTTCACTTCAACCTAGCCGCGCGATTGAATAGCCGACGGCCATTAATTCGATGAGAGAAGACATAAGACTATGGCCATGAAAAAAACACATGTTCGGCTTGAAAAAATCAGGACAGTGTTTCAATAAGTTGACAGTTGCGGCAAATCATGCGATCTCAGCATCAGAGCATGTAATGTTGCTTGGTTGGACTATGATGTCTCAAGTCTAAGACTCGTTAGCTTATCCTCCGATCTATCCTATAGGCTTGTTCGTAGGCCGAATTATAAACGGAATAAGCATACACGTACCACCACAGTATAACACTACCCCTATTCAACTGATTCCCGATTGCGGCCCGCTGGATTTATCGATCGAGTTGTGTAAGAGATAGTAACTATTTAACCCGTTGATAATCCAGATAACCAATGTGTAAATTCTTTGGCTTCTCATCGGGTTGTCTTACCTCAGGTCTCTGCCCATACCCCAAGCTTGACGGTAATGAGTGTTTAGACATGGTAACAGTGCATATCCAACCACATATCGGAATACGTTTTAAATCCGAGAGTCGCAGGTTTCTAGGCCGCACATCGAGACATGTTCTCTTGCTAGGCAGATTACCTAGTCCAAAAGTTTCAATATGAAAGACAGATGGATGAGCACTATGTACAACGTTCACTGCATAGAAGGCAGCGTCCCTTCGAGATATGTTTATAGTCGGTGTTCGATCTACGTACTTAAGGGAATCGATAACGTAAAGCTGATTCGCCTATCTTTTAATTAACGCCAACCTATAAAGCGACCACCTGCATCTTTCAGGGGTCCGACTTATCTTACAGATGCATATTTCAAGAAAATTAATATAAGCTATCAGTTTAATCAATTTGCTACCGACTAGTCAAGAAAGATTCTATAGCATAGTCGAACAAAATGCTTCCTTTTAAAACGAGAGCTCACTCTCGTTATCGGTGGGTATGGCTACAATAATCACCAACAGCTGTGACTAACACGTCAATACAGTGACTTTGTACCTCCAACTATAGTGACACTTCCGGACGGGAAGCCATCAGCTAGGGTCAAGGAAAGAAACATGCCAGCACTGCGAAACACGAGTTCAAACAACAGAACGAGATTACCGACGGAAGCAACCGTCCCTCACTAGAAAATAATACCGGGGACCTATCTGCCTTAGTTAACGGGAGTTCTATGATAGGTATCCCTTACTTCTCTAATGGAAGATAAAAGAAAACACGGAAAACAAGATGCACGAATTTAAAATAAGGATTAAATGAACAAGGGTGTGGGTGTTTATACCTAGGTAGCTAGGGTTTCTTGAACATTTTACTCTGATTGTAATGCTAGATTGTCCCCAACCGAGAGATACGTTATGAATTCTGCTTTGGTTAAGGGACTTGGATAGGGGCGCGAGGGGCTCGTTAATGACTTCGCAGAGTCACGTGTCGTTCTTATGGAGGTAGATAAGGATTTATCGCGTCACACCATTAAATGAATATTTATATAATCAGAACTCTGGTACGAAGTACATGAAATGGCGCAATTCTGCTTATGGATTTCGATAACTTGGTGTCTCTAATCTCGACTCATGTCATTTTACCTCACAAGACATTCACTTGTAGAAACTTGGGACGTAGGTATTATAGCACCGCCTTGGAAATTTAACACGCTACGAATTAATTAACACCGTCGGTAGGTACCTATATATGGTCTTTTACGTACAAAGTTAAGAGATACCTATCTTGGATGGTCCCAATCACTACGTCATCGTCCCAAATGGTTTATTCCGAATGGTAAGCCAACATTCAGAAATATTACCCAGCAACATCTATCTACCTGCCTAGGTACCTCGTTATAGGGCATATCTCTCCGCGCCAAGCACATTTTAACCGGTAAAGCATCATGGGCTTCCTCGAATTTATATCCGCTTTGTTCGGATGGATATATACGCTGTCGTGGTCGTTATCGTTCTACTCGCAACCACTACTAAATATTCGGAGGAAATCAACCTCCGGAACCACCGTAGATTTCCCTTTTATCAACACCCTTGGTAAGTTTATCGCGTTTTGTCTAATTTATTACTGTCTGCCATGTCCTAACACTTCATAGGCTTTCTTGCATATCTCATCTATAATACTGTATTCTACTCGTCGCCAGTTATTCGACATCAGTATGCTTTACGAAATAATGGTCACACGCCAACCGTCGCAGTTAACGATATTGTCTTTGCTGCTCATGCCTTTGTTGTCTGTGCTATCTTAACTACTCAGTATTTCTTACCTGCTATCTGGGGGTTCGATCGTGCCCCTGGCGCCCGCCCATCTCGGCTCATATTGGGCGTTGCGAGCGGGTCGTTTGTCGCCGTTGCCGTCATCATCCTCGTGGTGCTATCCACGCCTTCAGATGCAGACCCTAGGACTTCGTGGGCATGGCTAGACGTTATCTATACCATCTCGTACGTCAAGCTGCTCATCACTCTTGTTAAATACGCACCGCAGCTGGTGTACAACTTCAAGAATCACAGCACAAAAGGGTGGAGCATCTGGCAGATACTGCTAGATTTCCTGGGTGGCATGTTGAGTATCGCACAGTTGGTGATAGATTCTTGGCTACAGGGCGACTGGTCTGGGGTCACGGGCAACCCAGTCAAATTTGCACTGGGAAATGTCAGTATGCTCTATGATCTCGTGTTCATGACCCAGCACTACATACTCTACCGTGACGATGGTTCGGCAAAGAATAGTGAGGAAGATTCGCTTCTTGAGAGAGGCGATGGTCGTCGAAGATTAGACTAAGCCTATGTTGGGCGAACAATATCAAACCCCATCCGGTATAGCCGAATTGCTATTCGAAGTCTTCAAACTTGAGCGTATTCTATGGCGGGTATTCGAAGCTTGTCGAGCCTCCTTAAAGAAAATATTAATGAATTCGTTTAAGTAGAGGATGGGGGATCTACACCTTTAATGCACGTTGATTCTGGATTGGAAATTGCAAAGGCGAGGTAGAGTATGGCAAGCGGAAGGTTATGTTTAGATTTTTCAACATAAGAAACTCCTTGAAGCTCGAAGGCCATGCATGATGTACGCTCCTGGAAATTAATAAAACCCTGACTGGCGTAAAGATTCCAAAACTACTATTAAAGCCAGTCGCTGAAGCATTGATTACTGGTCTTGATATCCATGTTCAACAAGAATTAGTTGAGCTATATATACCGGAAGAGCCCCAGGGATGTTTTCATTGCTAGTTTCACTTTGCTAAGCCGCTGGATCAACCTGGTATGAAAAAAAGGTAGCTGACAGGACTGGCGGGAAAATTAGTATAAAGATATGACTACAAGTGTATTGTAAATTATCTTATTAGGTGGTCTAACAGAAATATGATAGTCTTTGACTTAACTAGGTACCTAAGACATTGCCTTTGCTATTTTCCTCTGCCTCGTTTTCTAGGACAATCCTGATTCCTCGCAGACTTGGTGACTTTTATTCTTTCTCCCCTGAAATATAGCAATGACTTTCCTGCAATAACCCGTCATGAGGTAAGTGAAAGGCGGCGGCTGAAAAATGGGTACAACCCGGATACTCGTGCTAGGCTAAGAGGTAAGCAAACATATATAGCATATGATACGGATCAACCGTTAGGTAGGATACCTCATTCGCGTGGGGATACTCCTTAAAACTATGATCTAGGATACGTAAATGCTGTTAAATAGGTGTTGTCCCACATCGGAGTTGAAGATTTAGGTAGTTTAAAGATGAGGTAATATTGATAAGTACTACATTTTTACACGTGAAACAATCTGAATAGCCTCGTAACAAGGGCAAGTAAACACAAACAAATACGGTGGGAAATAGTGGGAAATAGAAATGATGAGAATCCCCTTTTCAGAAGGTAAAAGGGTATATGATTGGTTGAGTGTAATTAGCCCCAGATTTCTGTTTAGGACACTAAACCCAAGTTGTGTTAATTACCCTGTTACCCCGGACAGCTGCAGCTGCCAACTGCCTTTATCCAGGCTGGCCCTTGCCCTACGCAATACGTACCGGGGGGGCGACCCCGAATAGGTACCTAACTCATAGCCTAGACCCGTGAATTTTCCAGCTGCCGTCCTGCTGCCCGCCCTGCCGCCTCAGTTGCCACCCACTTTGTACTTTTTTATCATTCCGTCACTCCTAATCTGGACCCAATATCGCAATCGAGTAATATAGGCACGCCACATTCTTCGATGACTGCGACGCGGAAAAAAAGATAAGAAAAAAGCAAAAGTAAAAGTGACAAGCAAGAAGCGGTCACGGAAGACGTGTTCACAATTCACTCAAAAGAATTCAAAAGAATTGGTTCCACGGTTTATTTCCTACCTAGGAACATAAACTTATTGGGTAATTTAGGTACCTATTAATTACATCAAAACGAAAAACGACGAGGCCTTCTTTTCTAACCTTTACATAGTACGCCAACCATCTTCTAATCCAGGAAGATGTGTCGCTTTTTGGTACCACACCCTCCCAGCCGGTCGCGTGAATTATGAGGTCTCTAAGCTAATACTCTCTCTACCTTAGGTCTATCGAGGCAGCGACGAGATCCTGCTCTCCAAGTTGATTCTAGACCCGACGCACTCTATCCTGAAGCAATCGTTTGACTCTCGGCTAAGATTGGTAGGTAGTTATTCTGATAATCCATGGTCTATTAACTAAACTAAAATTGCAATCCAACGTATAACTAACTCTTATCCATCCTACAGGACACGCGACGCGGCCAGAATAATGCAGATGGCTTTGGAATTGGATTCTATACCGACCCGAAACTAGGTCCTGCTCCTTGTCTCTTCACTTCAACCATACCCGCTTGGAACTGCACCAATCTCCATCGTATCGCTTCCAAGACGGCATCAAGACTCGTCTTCGCACACGTTCGAGCAACCACCGAAGGATCTCTAAGCGAGGATAACTGCCACCCTTTCTGTCATGCGAGTTTGATGTGGATGCACAACGGCGGTTTAGGTGGCTGGAAACATATCAAGAGGAAGCTAGGTGAACGATTACACGACAAGTGGTACCTTTGCGTACAAGGCGGAACTGATAGCGAGTGGGCGTTCGCTCTATTCCTCGACCGCCTCGAGCGTCTGGGCGTCAACCCGAGTTCAGAGCCCAAGAATGGGTTTGGGCCAGGTGTTCTACGAAAAGCCCTCCTACAAACAATCGAGATTATCAACGAGCTTACTATGGCTATACCGGAAAGCGTCATTCAGAGCGAGAATGTGGATACTCGAAGTCTGTTAAACTTCGCAGTGACGGACGGACATAGCATCATCTGCACGAGATATGTGAGCAGCAAGACCGATGAGGCTGCAAGCTTGTACTATTCTTCGGGTACCCAATGGGAGGCCAATATGTCTTCTCCTAATGATCGTAATGATCGAGATTACCAGATGGAACGCCGCGATAAAGGAGCAGATATTGTCCTTGTTGCTAGCGAGCCTTTGACATTCGAACGAGGTACGTGGCTGTTCTACTCCTTCTACTCCTCAACCTTGGTGCCTTGTGCCTTGGGTGTATCGATTTTGCTAACAGAATTTTAGAAAATTGGGTCAACGTTCCCACCAACTCTATTCTGACCATTCACGGCCAAACTGTAATGGTAAACCCAATCATCGACGCCTTTTCAGACCGCGATCCCTATCACACGCGTTCCTCGGCATTCGCGCAAACGAAGGGTCTTACTACCAACGAGAAGGCAGCTCCCCGCGTTACCAGTCCTTTACCCACGCCGAGTATCGATCTCGACAGTCACAAGCGCATTCTTGCTCCATTAATCCCTGCCGGTATCGGACGAAGTCGAACACCAGAGGGTCCATCGTTGCCAATTCGGAACAAGACTCCACTTGCATACTCGGAGTCGGCCTCCGCCCCGTCTGATATCCGTGCTCCTCCAAGCGAACCCCGGCCTCGCACAGAGCCACGTCCAGATCTTGGTAATAAACTTCCCTCTCAGGGTAACATCAAGAAGAAGAGGCGTTCGCTTAATATTGGAGAACATCCTCACCCTGCCGACCACCAAGTCGATCTAGAGTTGCCGATGCCCGATAGCCCGGTGCCAAGTTCCGTATCGAGAGGCCCTGACTATACCACATCGGAGAAGGCAGCTCGCGTCCTCGGGATGGCTCTTTAGTAAAGAGATTTCTCAGTGGTATCTGGCCAGACTTTTTTTTCTTTTAATGGCGTTTCCTTGACGTTTCGCATCACGACGGGGGTAGTCTCAGCATAGATTTGAAGTTCCGCAACTGGTGAGAATGACATCAAAAGGGAGCCGGAATAGTAAGGCGTTTCTGGTTGCTGTGTTTATTTTAGAAGAGCGGTTTGGTGCGTGTAGCATTGTAGCAAAAGTTGACTGCTAATTCCATACCCCAATAATAAATTCGCATTTACCTACCTTCTGTCTCATGTTTCATGCCTCGCGAATGTTTAGTGGCTATTATCGACCACGAACATGTTACTATTCCTATTTGTTAAATTTTCGGTAGAAGTCAACACAACAGTACGAGACGGAGACTGGTGTTAATAGATTACATACCTTACCTACTATTACGTAAGTAAAGCCCCTGAACCCCTTTTCTTCTATTTATATTTCATATCATTTGAAATGCGCATCTCTTCAACAAGTCTCAATGACCCTCTTTAAACTATGGTCATAACTAGTTCCATCGCGCGTAAATTAACATAGACTTCAAATTCGTAGTGTAGTGTTTCGTCTGACGGATGGGTAAGAAAGTGACTTCTCTAATAGTCTTGTTTCCTGATAGATTAGGCTCATCTATATGCCCTTGCCTTGCAAGACTACATGTAAGTGACATGTGTAGTCCGTAACAATCAATTTCAAGTTGACCCATTATATTTGACATATACTTATACTTTTGATAGCGTCGGTCGTGAGAAAGCATACGTATAGCTACTCAAGATATTTGACCGGACTGGTGTTGTAGACTGGTATAGTAGATATCAAAGTTCCTTAAGCAATAAGTGCATACTAGATGTAGTCTATTCCTGCAAACACGACGATTCCCCCAGGTTAGTGGAATATCCGAATGGGCCACCCGTGAGATAATAGGCGCAAGTATGCTGGCGCGAGCACAACCCATGTCAGGAAATACATGTGATACCCCTGAAGATAATAGTGCCATAGTAGCTCTCCTAGTGGTTCGTTACTACCTCTGCATGCATACTATCTTACCTTGATGAGCACCACGTGCCGCCAACGCTACTATCACCGCATAAGTGGTGGGGTTGAGGACTAATCTGCATAATTTAGTTGAACTCGCTATGTAGGTTTTATCAGTCCTTCGACTTTTTGGTGAGGTCTCTGCGCGTAATTGCTTCTCGTCCGTACAGTAACCCCGCGTCTGTGACATATCCTCAGGGAAATTGATGTTAGCATCCTTGAAGCTTTTATGACACAGAGCCATATAACAGCCACAAACGCAATGATACGATATCACCGACCGGACCTCTAGGGGGTTGACTTAGACAATGAGTATCACGTTTATATACTTCCGCTGGGATACGTAAATTACCCCTCTATGCATTAATTCATAGCTGGCAATATTCATAATACTTACTACCACCGTATCATTCTAGCTTGTCGATCTTCCTTGACGGGTAGCACATCATTTGGTGATATCATGTGTGATATAGAATTGGTACCTACTCATCCCAACAACTGCTATCACTGATGACACTCTTGGCGGCGAAAACATCTCTAAGTACTAATGGAACACCGGGACTCTCGGAAGCATAGTTAGCTACCAGATGACATGACTGAATGCTTCCGTCCCTGCATAAAACGGACTACCCCAGGCTAAGATTCTTACACTTTATATAGCTTGGTGCAGTAGGTTCGGATTAGATCATGGATCTAATGGATAATCGCTAATCTGTAATCTACATGGCATCGACCTAATAGATCCATATCCCGCATCAGATCTAGGAATCTTGGTATTGTACAATGATATCAAATCCCGATCTTCAATCAGCAACGTGCATAATACCTAAGCAGTCAGGCAGTGGTATTATGTTTCACCACTAAAATATCACGGGCCACGACGCCGCCAATAGAGTGGTTCTAACCAACTCGCTTCAAAATAAGGATCGCTATGAAAGTTGACGGGTAGTGGTTGGACGATTATCGCAAATCCAACCCCCTCCACTCCGCACTCCGTCTCTCCTTGTCTATATAAGGCTAGTATTCCATGTATCAGAGTCCTCACCAATACGACCTTCTCTATATAGGATACACAAGCTCCACCCGAGGATTGTGATACTATGGCATCAACTTACGACTTTATAATCGTCGGTAGTAAGTCCGCTCGAAACAGCCCACCCGTAGCATAAACCAACCGTCCGATCCGTTGACAACAATATCGCACAGGTGGACCAGCGGGCAGCGCCGTCGCGGCCTGGCTCGCCAAGTCGGCCAAGAAGCCCCGGGTGCTGCTCCTCGAAGCCGGCGGTAAGAACGACGACAAAGACCTGCGCGTCGACGGGCAGCGGTGGACGACGTTCCGGAACGAGGCCCTGAACTGGGGCTACAAGACGGCGCCCCAGGAATTCTGCAATAACCGAGTGCTCGATTACTCGCGCGGCTTGGGCCTCGGCGGCTCGAGCGCCGTCAACTTCAGCGTGTTCACCGTAGGAGCGAGCCGCGACTACGACGAATGGTCGCGCGTCGTGGAGGACGATGCGTTCGGCTGGGCGCGCATGCAGCGCCGGTTCAAGAGTCTCGAGTCGTTCGACCGGACGCTGCCGCCGGGGATCGACAGCCGGTATGCTGCGCCGAAAGCCGAAGACCACGGCATTTCGGGGCCTCTGAAGACGGGTTACGTGGCCGAGGTGGAGAAGGATGTAGTGCCGCTGCTGGATGCCTTCGAAGAGGCCGGGTACCCCCTGAATCCGGACCACAACTCAGGTAACCCGATCGGCTTCTCCTTTGGGATCAACTCGTCTAGCAAGGGGGTCCGGTCTACGGCGGCGGACTTGTTTACGCCGGAGCCGGCAAATTTAACAATCGTTACTGGGTCTCCGGTCCGACGACTCATACTAGAAGGAAATAAGGCCGTTGGAGTTGAGTCAAATGGCAAGCGTTGTAAGTCCGATTTGTACAGAGATTCGAGCTAGTGGTCATAATATAAATAGGTATAGCATACTGATATCGATGTTAGACCTGGCATCCAAGGAAGTTATTCTCTCAGCAGGTTCGGTCAACGGCCCCAAGATCCTAATGCACTCGGGCATCGGCCCTAGAGCACAGCTGGAGAAGTACGGGATACCCGTAGTCAAAGATGTTCCGGCAATCGGCCAAGGCCTGCGTGATCATATGTTCATCCCCCTAGCCTATACCCGAGCCGAAGGAACCACAGACCGGGCGTCTTTTTACGGCGACAAGAAAGCTATGGCCGACGCCCTGGAGCAGTGGAAGAAGGACGGTTCGGGTCCTTGGGCCAAGTACGCTTGCCAGTTGCCCATCGGGTGGTTCAAGCTGGACAAGCTCCTCGCATCTCAGGAGTTCCAGGACCTACCCGCCAGCGAGAGGGACCTCATCAACGACCCCACGGTGCCTCACTACGAGCTTCTAAGCCACTTCCCGCTGCACTTGTTTGTGCCAGACTTCCCCGACTCGGCTCTAAACTACTCAGCGCTCCTAGTCTTCCTGCTCAACGCGCAGAGCCGCGGCGAGGTCGCTCTACAGTCGGCAGATCCGGACGCAGCGCTACGAATAGACCCTAAATTCCTCGCGACAGCGTTCGATCGGCGTGCCGCCATCGAGGCGCTGCGTGATGCGCTACGGTTCGCGCGGTCCGAGGGCTATGCGCGGGACAGCGTGTCGACGATTACAGGCCCAGCAAGCGACTCTGACGAAGACTTGCTTGAATATTGGCGCCAGACAATAGGATCAAGCGTAAGTAAAACACAGCCTACCCCTTTCCATATACCCTATCTCGGGGCCGAATCAAGATCTCCTAAACTATATGACAAAAAGAAAAAAGCCTTTATTTCCAAGACAGTCCTGCACTCCGCACACCTCTTAATAAAAGTGAATAATTACTGACCCTTCTCAAAGTGGCACATGACCGGCACCGTAAAGATGGGCCGTCCTGGCTCCGCCGATGCGGCCGTAGATAACAACTTTCGCCTCATTGGTTTCGAGGGCTTGCGCGTCGCAGACATGAGCGTGGTCCCAGTTCTCGCGAGCTGCCACGTCCAATGCGTTGCTTATCTCACCGGTATAACATGCGCCGAAAAATTGATTTCCGAGTACGAACTCGCGTAAGCTACCTACCTATGTAAAAGGAGAGGGGGACGGGTAAGTTGAGAGATTTCTTAGAATGCATGCATCTGTGAGCGAGTGTCTCCTCCAGATATGTAAAATTGCCTAGAATAGATGAGATATTTAATACTCGCTAATAGTAGAAGGTGGTAGCGTTTATCTATCGCTGTGTTAAATATTGAGATTACTACTCTGTTTCCTCATCTATATTCCTCTACATGATTTATATATATGGCTAAGGCGTGATCCTATTCATGAGACAAACTTTGCGATCACAGTAAAGCAGAGCACCAGCACTGATCATCGTGTATTGAATATAGCTGTCTTAGAAAAGGGAGGATCAAATCTATGTAAAACCACACATGTTGCCAGAAAACCAACCGTTGAGCTGGGATTTAAAAAGGATATCTGGACAAGCAATAGGCGCTGAGACAACTCTTTTTTTAACTCCTTTCCATATCGTGATAATTCGTTAGTAATAACTAGAGCCTTTAATAACTCAGAATAACCCCCATCGGCCACGTTCTTTCTCGCCGCCTTTCTTTATACTCGTCCTTGAACGATCTCTTTCTATGCCCTCGAGCTGCCTTAGGCTGTCCATCTTCTCGAGTACCAGTTCGAGAAGCTCCTTACGCCTGATGACTTCCAGGTGTTTCTTGATCTTTGGGTCTTCCTTGGCAAACCTTTCCACTTCCTCATCTGATAGGTGACGCCCGAGTCGTAAGTCTAGCTCTCGCGGAAAATTGTAGTAGAATTCAGAGAGCAGCTCCACGTTAAGGAAAAGTACGGCCGTTGACGCAAGTTTCGAAGCCACTGCATCCAAAAAGACTTCAGGGCAGTGGTATTTATTCTTCATATTAGCGCATTGTTTTGACTTCACTGCCAACATCCGCATCTTGATGATATCGGCGCGGTCACGCAAGAAAACGGCTTCTCGACCTGGAAGCATGTTAGCAAGTTATTCCCGATGCGCAGGGGCTAGTAAGATCAAACCTTTCGCGAGTAGCTCGGCGCTAAAGCCTCCTGCACCGCTACGGCTGTCGCCTTCAACGACCACATCGCCTTTTCTAGCCTTGTCGACAAAGTTGACAACTTCCCTTAGCTTTCTCCGTCCACCAACTACTGTCTCAAGATCTTTCATGGCACCTTCGCACGCGGACAGTTCCTTCTTCAACACACCTTGAACATGTTCCCTACCTGTAGTCCACTCTCGCTCTTCCATGTCGATCTCGAACTTGAAAGGCTTGATACAATTTTCTACCTGATCACTGGTACTATAAAACCGGTCATTTAAAATACTCGAAGCGGCTTCTGTGATAGCCTGCCGTGCGTAAGGATGGTTTACAAAAGTAGATTGGCTTATTAGAGCGTCGATGTGAGACTGGATCGAGTTTGCTACCACGTTGGTGGCTAGTCTACCAACGCCAAGCTTCGTAAGCGCAGAGGTGGAAGCGTCGAGTTGTCTTCGCCAGTAAAGGGAGTTGGGGTCTGCTTTGGGAAGGTCGGCAAGATTGTTAGGCTCGGCGATAGGGACACTTAAATCGTAGATAGGCTTGTTCCAATATCTCGCAGCTAATAAGTCAAGCATTCGTTGATCGAGCTCGTTTTTCAGGAGGCTGTGCATTTCAGGACGACCAAATTCTTCGGTAAATTGCTTAAAAGAGTGCTTGAAAGCATCGAGACTCTCGGCCAGATATGACTCGGCAGACAATGGTCTGTCATTGTACTGGACCTTAAACTCATAAGTCGCTTCTTCGAGCTCTTGTCGTATGGAATCGCTCGTCGACTGTAGACTAGCTGACATAGTCTGTTCTAGGACGTGCATAAGTTTCTTGCGTAGCGTTGAAGTCCCAACCTGGAGATCCGAGCCAGGACCGAATTCCGTTGGGTGAGCAGAGAAAAAAGAGTTTTCGTTTCGAGTAATAGTAGATGTTAAATTTGTGTTGCCCTTCTTGAATAACCCGGACATTGACGGCACGCGAGAGATGACTCCAACGTAGCCTAAGCGAAGCGGGTACTGCTTGTCACATAGAATGGAAGCTCCCCGGGAAGGATCGATAAGATCCATCTTCGTAATAACACCTATTGTCCGTTCACCCCGGGGGTCGACTCGTCTACTAGCTCGGAGGGCCGCCGAGTTAGCTAAATCAACATCGGCGGCCGAAATAGCCAAGATAACGTTAGGTGGTTGTATATATTTGTCGCAAAGTTCTGATATCCTCTGCTTCAGTTCAAGGGGTTGATTTTGCCCCACAACTTGGATATAGCCAGGAAGGTCAATAAGTGATAAATCTGGAATATTTGGCGACGAGATGGAAAGCCGAATTGGGTCGTCTGACACGCATTGGGTGTCTGGAACAGCCTGGTTTAATTCCGTTAGAGTTCGCTGGATAGAGGAGAAGTCGGAGATCTTTCCAAGGCCCAGGTCCGGAAATTCACCGTATTCAGCAGTCGAGTCGGGGGTGTTGATTAGGGTAAGCTCGATTGGCCTCCGTGTGACCATATTCAGTCCTTTTGGCAAGAATTCGTGTCCCACGATAGCTTCCAACACAGAGCTCTTCCCGGACGACTGCGATCCGATAACGACAATGGAGGGTAGAGTGAGGGTACTAGATTGTCCAACTCTTGACAGAATGTTTCGGATTTCGATCATCTTCTTCGTGAGCACCATCATCTGGTCATCCTTGGCCATTTCATCTGCACTGCGGTCATCGTCGGATGCCTGCTCGTAACCGTACGCAGCAGCGCTTGCGCCTACAACGGCGGCGCCTGCCCTGCTCTGCTTCGGAGGCTCCTCGCCGCCCGGTCCACCACCTTGCTTCCCAGTGCCTATCTCTTCCTGTGATCTTAGAATCTTCTGCATCCACTCCGGCAGCTCGACTTTATCTTTTGTATTTTGCCACCCTCGCTTCGTCTGGTCAGCAATATCTCTCGCGCCATCTAGAAAGCCCATCGCTGTGTTCGTAACGGTATCTTTCGTCGTGTAAATTATGTCCCAGGCATAGTTCCCAGCCTCTAGGTTCCACGTTAGCTAAGTCTCGTAGACGAGTGCATAGGGTAGAATTTTAGGTCGACGTACGTGTGGCTTGGTACTGAATCCAGGCCAGACCACCTATCATCACTCCACCTGCCATAGCAGGAATCCTTACAAACTTGACCACCAGTCGAGGTAAGAATCGCGCAAAGGACGCATTGCGAACGATGACGGCGTTATGGAACGAATTTACCGGAGGCCACATCCGCCGCCGCGTTGCACGCACGGCAGCATCAGCTCGGAGGATACCGCCTGAAGGTAGGTGATGATATTGGCGTATGGCTCGAACCATGGCCGGGCGTGTCGCCGGGAGACGCCCGACCGCTGCTATCAGCCGTCCGCTCATGCCGGTAATGAGAGGCGGAGGCGATCTGATATCCGAGAGTAGAGAACCATAAAGGTCGACAGCTCGTAGGTACCGATTCGGCAGACGGGGAGAAAGAGGAGTTTTGATGTGTGTATCCTGGAACTTTTGGTACCTGGTAGATTAAAATGTTGGTTGGACGATAAGAATACACGTAGGAAGGTGGGCTGGTGGCGTGGAACGAAGAAGGCAAATACCGAAGTCGCCTTCAAAAGTTTTGTTCATAGGCCGGCTTCTGTCGGCGTGGCAAGGCTTGGCAAGAACTGTCAGTCAGAAAAGCAATGTATTTCCAAATATATTATCTTTTAATCTATTCATTATATTTCGAATAAAAAGGCCATTATATTGTGATATATGCCATGATAGAGCCAACTGTTTATATTTATGAGATCTTTTATAAAGTGTATTTATTTCATTTATTACGTTTTATAACTGCTTGTATAAAAAAGGGTGAGCTTTAATATACTTTGCCATTTTGGGCTGCCAGGTGGGTTAGCCCGTCCGACAGCTGCATTCAAAGCTGACAGGCGCTTAGTATGGACATAACTTTTGAAGGCGACTTCTGTAAAAGTACTAAATTTACCCCACAAGGACTCGATAGTTACAAGCATTAGTAAGGTTATCCCGTTCCCTCATGTACATTTAACAATGTAGGTACTTAGGCACTTAAAATCGTTAGTCACGTGTTCTCCAACCACATCACCTTAATCCTACCAGTCTACAAATCAAATCGCATTACTATCTTGATTGTGGAAAACGCAACGCAGTCATTTAAAGGGCGGCCATCTATAGTATATCCTCGAATCCTGTTTGACTACGGCACAAGCTATATCTGGTTAATTGAGGTTGCTCGTACCGTCGCCAACTAGTCGTCGAGGGGTCAGCTAAACTCACCAAACCCCCACGAACATATCCCTTCACCCTTATCAGATAGTTTGTTATCCGACAATGATGTTTAGGCTTTGCTTGGCCACCTCCACCGACCTGTCTTCCGCCCATTTAGCGGAGAGCAGAATAGACGCACCTACAACTTCCACCTCAAGATCGTAAGCAAAGAGGTACCACTATACCCCTCCCTCCTTTACCTTGGGCAGCTGCTCAACCGGGCACGGTGTCCTGATGGTGATTTGCGTGGCCATCTGGAAACCATCTTCGACCCATAGCTCGGCCTTTCTATCCGAGGGCTGAGCACTTCTTGACTCATAGATCATCTCCGTAGAGGTTTGAACTCCCCGGGCACGATGGCTGAAGCGTAGATCGTACTGTCGTACTTTTTTTGCTTGTGTGTCTATATTGTCTCCCTTTATAAAAGTTAGTATTTGCATAGCATTTTAATAAGTGAAATAAATAGTTCTGACTCACACGTTTCACAAGCCACTCCATCTGTCCTCTTGCCATATCACAGTTCCTTGCTGTATCATGGAACCGATCTTCGGCATTATGGATACCCTCCTGGAATGGCTTGCTCAAGAAGTATCCATAACTATATCTGGCAATACGGGAGCGTATCAAAACCCGCCCTTTCGTTCCACAGAGTACGGCACCTTTAGACACAGCAGCCCGTGGTTTCTCTCCCTTTTCCTGGATAACGGGAACTTTGTCATAGTAGCGGCGCTTCAGTGCTTCAAAGATGTATGAGCATTGTCCAAGCCCACCGACTAGTACGATAGCCTATCCTTCCAGTTAGCTACGGCGAATATCAGGCAGATACTAAGCCTTATATAGGATAATGATAAAGAAATATAATATGCTATTACCTTTGGAAATCGTAAAGTCTTCTCTTTAATAGCATTGACTTGACGTTCAATCAGGGCCTCAATGGTAGGCATCACGACCTGGAAGATGCTACAAATCTCGTCACTGCATATAAACTTGTGAGTAAAGATTCTTTCGGTGGGTAATAACGGTTTACGTACCGTGAGAAGTTGAATATAACGTCTGGGCCTTGATGTGAGCCTATTCTTGAGCCAAGCTTAATGGAGAGCGTCCCATCTAGTTCAGTCTTATATGTTCCCCTGGTAAAGCATTCCCAGATTCCGATGATCTTTTCCTTTTCTAGTTGGTGAAATTCATCCCAGTTTTGGCCCTCTTGCTCAAGAGCCTTTTTCTTCATGGCCATGTTGAACGATTGATGAAGAAATACTCCGCCGCAAAGGGCGCCATCACCTTCAACTATCTCTCGGAGCTCAAAAGGTTCGGTGCTGTTTACCACATAGCTTATGCAGTCCTATTAAAGTTAGTATCAAGCATTGGAAGTAGCAGGCTCCTGATAAACATACGGCGGTTCCTCCTCCAAGATCTGCAATGACAAACGAGGTTCCAGGAAGGAGTGTATCCCACTTGTTTAACTCGGGGACCGTTGCTAAAGCAGCCGCCTCTGGCTCTGTAACAAACCTATATGTGGTTTGGGGAACCTGGTTGCGGCGAGAACGTAATATTCCGGATAATTTCAATGCCTCTCTCATTCGTTGCAGTGGGCCACCTCTCCAGATTGCCGGTACCGTGATAATGACGTGGAAAGGCTTTTTCTCCACGAAGTCGTCTCCCTTTTCCTGGCCCATGTATACAACTACATATTCAAAGATCTTCCCGAGGAAGTCCGCAACAACTTGAGTAGGGTTCTTGCCTAAGGCATCCATGGTAAATTTTGCCTCTTGGATGTACTCCGAGTCCTGGAATTCGGGACGTAGGTCGTCATCATCCACTAGGAGCATCTTGAACCATGAAATGATACGTTGTTTGCCTTCAGTCTCCAGACCCCAAGAAATACTTCCGTTGGCATCGTATGAAATCTTTGACGGAATTTTTATATCCTTATTATCCCAGCTTGCCGGGCCAGGCCATAGGCGAAAGGTTGTAGGAACAATCTGATCACTCGGAAGTCCATTCTTATGAAAGCTGTACGAAACTCCAGAGTACCTAAAAAGAGTAAGTAAATAAATAGGGGCTAGGGGGTGAAATACTGCTCACGTAGTTCCCATGTCGATTCCGATCACGAAACATCCACCGTCCCAATCTTTGGAATAGTCTACCGGATTAAATAGCTCCATAATGAACCTAATGGTACAAACCAAAGGATACAATCTTAGGGTAGGGACCTCCCTATGGATTGTGCTGGATAGGATCAGATGAAACCCCGTAACTTGTAGCACGCTGATAAGCTTCTGGACTTCTGAGGGGAAAGCCTATGAGGGTCCCTTGGGTAGGATAAAGACGTAATAATGATATCGTGGTAAAGATGGTGGTCACCTCTTATTATACCTTAAGGAAGTATGCGTAGAATGGGGAGGTTGGTACAAGATAATCTGATACTACCTCGTATCTACCTAGATATTCCAAAGAGGAAACCCTATGAAGATGAGAGTTGAATGGGATTGAGGAAATTGAGGAAGATTATATATATGTACCTAAGGTAGGTAGGTACTTAGTCTAAGGTACCTAATTCAAGCGACCTATCACATTTTGGAAGGGAAGGTACGGCTCGAGATAGTTTGGGGTTGCTTCAGGTACCTTAGGAGGTACCTAAGGTAAAATAAACTTTCTCCTATTCTCCTACCCCATGAACATCTCAAGTATTGGTGGCGCCTTCCTTTCCTCAAGTCAACTAAATCTAGAAGGTAGCACCAAATAAATTTTACAGTTCTAATCCGCTAGTAAAAAAAATTTAAGGAAGTCACTGGTGTTATTACATTCAAATCATAAAACCTACAATCAGATCTGACAGTTAGGAGCGCTAACACAATCCCACTTTCCAACCTTATTAGTATTACTGCAAACAAAAATTGAAGCCAAATTCTTTGCAACACACATTACCTTCCAGAGGAAAATTCTTTTTAGCACAGATCAACACCTTCCTTCTTTCCCAATCACAGAAACTATTCACCACGTGCCTTTCACCAACCAGCATTCAAAGTTACTTTAAATTTGGTTACCCGCATCCGGCATTCACAATATTCTCTCCTAGACCACCCTTAACAAAATCGTCCAAATCAGCTGCAATCATGTCTTCTGGACTGCCTAGAACCCTCTCCTCCAGTTCACCCACAACTATGTCTCCGGATACACCCGCAACTACGCCCACAGTTGCATCATCTAAGTCGCATCCAGCAACGCCCTCTGCATCACCTACAACCATGCCACCTCCAGAGTGCCAGAATGCCACCGGCAATGATAGTAAAAAAAGAAAGCGTGATCGAAAGGACGAGTCAAACGAAGATCTCCAGGTGGAGAAGAAACCAAAGCGAGCAAGCAAGAGTTCTCAGCCGAAACCGCAATCAGCGGAGGTTAATAAGCCGAAGCGTGGTCAGGGTGACGACGCGACCAAGAATATTCGCGTAACCAGATCAATGGCTAGTAATAAGAATGTTGAATCAGAGGCAGGAGTAGCACCGCGAAATAAACGACAACGTGACCAAGAAGTTGACACTGCCGAAAATGCTCGACTCGCTAAAAAGCAGAAGCTCACCATTGAAAAGCTTGAACGACAACTCAAAGAAGCGAATGATGAGCTTCTATCAGCTAGGCTTGATTTGACGTCTACGAAGGACAAGCTCAGAAGGGAAACCGAGGAGGTTGGGCTCTTGGAAGGACAGCTCAGAAGAGCAACATTTCAATTCTTTACAGAGGTGCAATTATATTCACTAACATGTCGGTTCGAGATGCTGTGCTATGAGGTTGGTTCCTTTGTTGGAGACAACCTCGTTAAGGTATTTGAAGGGGACACTATACCAGAGCATATTGAAAAGAGGCTGAAGGAGGTGTCGGAGACACCACTTCACAAGTTTCTTAAATCAAGGTCGTATGCAAGACTCTTATTTGAGGCATTCATATGGAATTTTCTATGCACCGAATACTTTGAGAATCCTTTCAAGTTATGGGGCAAGGGTGATGAGGTTGGAGCTATCCTTGGTGCAATTCTAGGTAAGTGGATTCTTAGAATATCCATGCGAGACTGTTCGAGGTTCCTGACGCTTGCTTAGCCGGAAAGTTTGGTGGTAAGGCTGGGCGCCTTAATATGTGGAAAGCGCACACCGCCCAAATACTCCAGGACTGCCCGATAGACGCCGCAAAGCTTGAAGGACCTAAAGAACAGCTTTTAGGCCTGCTTGAAATGTTCATCGTCGAGGAGAAGAAGAGTAAGATCAAGGACGAGGTGGAGCCAGGTATGAATAAGATATTCGAGCTTGCAACGTCGATAGCCCGGGATTTAAATCGATTCGATGATCGGGTTGAAATCATGAGAAAGAGACACCCAGACGCTCGTGTTGCATCGCAATCTTACGACGACGATTGGATGGTGATATCCAATCCGAGCATAGAAAACGGCGATGCCGTGGAACTCATAATCACTCCGGCCTTGGTCAAATACAACAGGTATTGGGATTCTGACGAAGAACATTTCTACGCTGTGAAGAAAGCACAGATACTATATAAGAACGGGGTATGGTTCGTTGACTCGGATGAGTACAAACGAATGAAAGCTGAACGGGTTCGGGGTGACACAGAGAAGTGATGGAGACGGGCAGTATGGGATGGATATTCTGGTATTAGAGGCGCGATAGTTGATTTCGCGTTGGCAAGAGTCAAGGTTTAGGAGGGACTAATTTGACGATCTTGACCATTCGGGATAATTATGGGCGGCGCGTGTGAAATGTCTCAACCCTCCACTCACACTCACGGTCACGGTATTTCACCAATTACTTGCTTGAGGAGATATGAAGGGAATACCACGCATAGCGTTTGATTACTAGATAGATACCTGATATGGAATTGAAAGCGTTGCTTCTAATGAGTTTGCGGAATAATTTTGGTCGGGTGGGAAGGCGGGAGCTAAGAGTCTTCCGGTCGCTTCCAAGAGTTGTTCGTACAGTACAAACTTGTTTCATAACAATGACTGACTACACAAAATTCACGCCAATAAATCCCAGAGCATCGCATTTAAAAGCAACGTAATAGAATAGGTATTGGTATTGGACCAGATTAAGAATTAACCCCAGACAACCCGCTTTCGGAATTATTATCTTCCACAAATCATTATTAGGGCTACCTACCTTACCCAACCTTCACCATGGAGGCCTTGCGAAGTCAGCTCGCTGAGACGCAAGGCGCGCTCACGGACAAAATACTCCAAGTTAGACAGCTACGAGCAGACCATGCCGCTGCATTGAATACTTGGGCGCAGCAGAAGCAGAACTTCGAAGCAAAGCTACAACAGCTAGAAGATGAAATCCGACGATTGCGCCAGACAGATGAAGTTTCTGAAGGAAGCGAGAAGCTGTTACGCAATAAGGAAAATGGACAGCGCGCGAAGAAAGTCCCGTTAGCTTCACTCCTCGATGATGAACCAGTGGGTGACAGTCCAGTCGCGCGGGAAGGGGATGATGAGACGGTCGTGATCACCCGATCGCGAATGGAAGAGATTGAGTCCAAGTTCAAAAATATCACAAATGAGCTGACGGAAAAGACGAAACTCTGTGAATCCTTGCAGCAGCAACTACGTGTTCGACGAAGTAGTTTTGATGCTGCAGATGCTCGCGACATTACCGACGATCAAGTTACGGAGCGCTGGGAGAATCTACGGGACAAAATTCGAACGCTTTCGTTGGATAGATTCAACGAGACGATTCAGCCGAAACTGGTGCCGGACAAGTCAAAAGCAGAGTTTGAGCATCTATCGAAGCACTGGAAGACCTACATGACTAACGGCGACCTCACCTGCTATATCTTCCGCGCGCTGATCTGGAGATATTTGTACACGTGTTTACTGAGTAAATACTGTCGGGTGTGGGGCAAGGAATACGGCGATGTGGCTACGAAACTGGGGCGCTTTTTCTTGACCAAGATGTCGGAGACGGAATTCGAAGTATGGCGAATACACACGGCGCAGCTATTAAACAAAGCCTGCGAACCCGACCCGGCCGTCGTGGAGGACGTGACAAAGAAGATACTAGAGGCTACTACACTATTTGCGACCGGAATCGATACGGAAGCCCTGACGACGTCGCTGACGGAGATCGTCACATCGGCGGCGGAACTCAGCACTATCTTGGCCCGTTCGCGATACATGGCTTTGATGGCGGATAAGCCCGGTAGCGATCGCACGCGCGGATTTGCGTATCAGGAGGCCACTATGGACGTGAGAAGCCATCTTGGAACTAAGACGGTTGTGGATATGATGATCTCGCCGTGTCTACTGAAGAAGGAAGCCGACTATGTGGTCCTTGTGAAGGCGGACGTCATCTGCTAGAAGTAATGCGCAAGTCCCGGTATGACGCGAGGCGGCATCAGGGGGAGGGGGAAGCTGAGCAAATGTGCAGAGAAACAGACGAAGGGCTAGACGAGGCGAGAATGTCAATGTTATAGGACTGTGTTGTGTGCTTACCCCTTAATTTGGTCAAGTGTCTATGTTCCTTATGGTAGGAAGGCAGGAAGGCAGATAGATAGATTATTCAGCGGAATTGACTCCTGTACCAAAACTTTTGTACGTAGAATCATTCCAAGTAATGTAATCTCCATCCTTTCTGCCACCGTTAGAGTTACTGTTAACCAGTAACTCTAGGTTGGGCTCCTGTATCTTATCGATAGGTAATTTTTACATGTGACAATTACATCTTGCCGTACCTGTCGTTAAGCTTCTGTAGATCTGCACTGCACTGCACTGAGCCCACTTTTTTGAACCCTTGTTTTAATGCTACAGACGAACCTCTTGGTTTATGTATTTCTCTTTGCTTAATTCATCTCCATTGCGCATCACTCTTATACGCCCCCTTTGCTAAGTAGTTTGTCTCTTGCTATATTTATGGCTACAGCTACATCAGAGCTCGTTTTCTCGCCGCAGGCAAATCATAATTTCTCGCGCATTCTTAGCGATCTGAAAAGGTCCAACCTCTCCATCACCAACCGTCTACGCTCCATACGGGAGGATGCAGATTTCGTATCCGAGGTAGCAGCTGCATTCGCCCGCCCGCTGATTGCGAACGAGCGCTGCGGTAGCTGGTATATTCCTCCAGATAATAAAGCCGGGTCTGCATATTTTAAAAGCACGGATGGCCACGCTGGCCAGTGGAGATTTAGCACGCGGCGGCTTAACCTCAATTTGTTAAGCATCATCGGTGCAAACGATGGCTGCGTCATCGTGGACTCGACGAGGAGAGGCAAACGAATGCCCGATGCTCTTAGTAAGACGGTACCGATTTGGTGCTGTGTCCTGAATCATGTTTTGTTTCCGGAAACGCCAGAATTTCATGAGCTCTACACGCCTCCAAATACAGTATCGCAATCTGAACATGCCCAGATGGAAGCGAGAATCCCCGAGCACGTGGTTTCGCTTAAGGAACTCGATATTAACGTGGATGTCTTACGCCGGGAACTGAAGAAGCCGCTGAGACCCATGTGGGTTACGCAGGAATCACAGCTTCTCCCGACGGACCATGTGTTTGATGACTTCCATCCCGTCATTTGTTGTACTAGTTCCCGTAGAGTTCTTGGCGGGGAGATGAGCGAAGGAGGCTACATCCAGGGTGCTAGTGACGATACCGAGAACTGGGCCTTGGGATTAACCCCGCCAGTTTTTTGGCGTCATGCGGATATTCTATTGTCCACCCCGGAGGCAGATCTACCTAACTTGGTACGCTCCTTGGTCTCAGATCAAGCTGCTGATATAAATATGCCAGGTCCCAGGGAGGTTGCGCCGTCTCTGTTCGTCGGCTGCTTACCACTTGCTAGCCTACCAGCTTCTTCGTCAACTTGCACAATTGCTGTCTACTCAAAGACTACAGACCCAAGCACCTGGGTCAAGAGCCCATCGCTTATGGAAGTTGGTGTAGGTAAGCATAAAGTCGCCAGTCGCAATCTTCGTCTAGCTCTCCCCAATATCAACGACTTCGTGCGTCAGTTCCTGGAACAAAAACCAGAGCCCAATCCCTCAGAGGAGGATCCAGGCGCGAACCCTTCGGAGCCCAGGCGTATCTTAATTGTTTGCGATACTGGTAAGGACCTATCGGTCGGCATAGCCCTTGCGTTGCTATGCCAAAATTTTGATAGCGAAGGCAACTTCAAACCCGACGTACAACCTTCTGGTCATACCAAGAGCGATATCAGGATCAAGCTCAGCCGTATCATGACTGCCTTCCCTGAAGCAAATCCGAGCAGAACAACCTTACAAAGTGTCAATAGCTATCTCATGGGCTAGAGGCCTTGCTATTGTACCCTGTAATGTTTTCGATCTGAGCATTATAATCGATATCAAGACACTTTTTTAATGATTCTTATACTCGGCACTTGAAGCTCTTTACTTCGAAAGCGGCCTGCTTTACCTTTATGCCTCCTCACCTTGTCCCTGATTAACATGCTCCGGTTCCACTTTGGTATTCATCCCTACCCACTAGAATAAGGAACTAACAACTTACAGTAGGGAGAATTTAAAAACATTAAAAATAGTTTTAACATTTTATTACATCAACTTTAATATATTATAACTCAATTAAATTAGCGTTTAAAAATAAGGTAAAAATTATAAAATTTATTTTATTCATTTTTAAATAGCTTAAATATTTTTTTTAGATTTTTAGCTGTTGAAATAAGGTTAATATTTAATAATATAATAAATAGGCTTAAAATTACCTTTTTATGTCCCATATTTTTTTTTCAATATATTTATATGTAATTAAAATATTAAAAATCATTTTTATATAAAAAATTGCATAAAGTTTATAGATATATAAATTTTATAATTATAGAAATTAAATTGGGTAAGTTATGAGTATATTTATAAAAGTAAACCTTTTAAAAGTCGAAAATATTACTTTTTCTTATATAAAAGTGATAATTTTTATATTATTACAATTTCTACACCAGCTTTTTGCACGTATAGAATTTTTTAAAAAAATTTCAAATCGGTACAATTATTCCTTTTATAATAATTTAATAACCTACCTAATTTGAAGCCTTGGTTACATATAATTATATTAAGTTATAGCTATTCGAAGTTGGTGAGTTTTGGTGTAAAAATGGCAATTGGACGTTTTTTTTTTCACCCCACTGTATAAATATCGGTTGAGAGGAAACCAATTGTGCTCGGATTTTCTAGCCGTGGGAGATCGTCTGGAGCCACGCGAGAGAGGAATGTCATCAATATCCTGATATCTAATTTGGTCGCCGAACCTTATGCATATCAAAGAATAGTCGCCAAGAAGAACGCTATGAATGAGGCCAAGTCCTGGCTTTGGGTATAGCTCCTAGTGCCATCATGTTCGCCTGATGTCTTACAAGCTCTTCCAGGGTTGTGCGACTGAAGGATTCTACGTGGAATTCTATCTCACCTGCCCTCGAATAGGTATATGGGATGACGGGCATCGGCCTGTTCCTAGCAACTATGGTTCTGTGACACCCACTCAATTGCTTCAGTTCGGACCAGCAGTTCTCGTTTCGGAATAAGGAGCCGAATGTCTTCGATTCAAAATTAAAACGATTCCTAATGGGGCTTTTTGGTGGTAAGGAATCTCATCCTCTGCAGCGAACCAAAGGCACCGCGTGGATCTCGGACCCGAATCGTCGTTATGTTTCGAAATAACAGTAAGCCCTAAGTGATACGTCTCCAAACCTGCAAGTCATACAAGACTCGACGTCTTCCTCCCATTGCAACTTTGTTGAATCGCAGACCTCTCTTGGCTCATCCTATGTCCCTGAACACAAGCCACGATGCCGTACGAGGCTGCTGTATCTGCCAAGTGGACAGGCCATCTCACCTTGCCTGTAACATATGTTACATATCCGTGGATTTGATCTCATTCAATATAATTAGACTCTACGTTGTTGGTATATAATAGGTGCCTATCTGCTGTGGACGGTCAAATTTCTCGTGGCCGAGACTTCACGTTATTACGATAATTAATTAATGTTTTTTTCTTTTGATACACGGAACAGATGCCTTTTTCCGAGAACGGTATCCCTTTAATCGGCGTCGTTACGCCTTTCTTGGCCCTTGCGTTTTTGACTGTTGGCTTACGACTCCACGTTCGTATGACTTTGTTAAGGAATCCGGGAGTTGACGATTGGCTATGCCTTGGTGCGGCAGTACGTTCTCGACTAGCCCCCAACTGCCCTACTTACCAAGCGGTCACACTGAATATCTTCTAGTTATGCTCATTGGGGACGTACTTGGCGAATGTGGTTGGTGAGTGGGTTCGATAATACTATACTGGTGGCCTTAATGAACTTGGTTGACAAGACGACGTCGTAGGGATAGCAGTAGGCTTCGGTAACCCTTTACCAAGCATGACTCCCGAAGAACAAGACGTAGCGTTGAAGGCAAGTCTTCTAAGCCAATTAATTACCGTATTCCTGGAATCAAAGTCGGAGATATATATACCTAGGTAGGTATATATCATCTAACAGCATATTTAGACACTATGGATCTCGCCACCCCTCTGGGGCCTCTCATCCTCCTTGGTCAAAATATCCATCGTGACATCTTACCTCCGCATCTGGTCGGGCAAGCGTTTCAAGCTGCTCTGCCACGTCTCGATATGCGTAATCTCCATATTCGGCACAACGCTCTTCCTCGGCGGGATATTCGCCTGCGTGCCCGTTTCTTTATCCTGGGCACCACCGCTCGGCCCGGACCCCCGGCACCACTGCATGGATCTCCCGCTCTTCATGTTCGCCACTTCGGTCCTGAACACGGCTATAGACCTAGCCGTCCTCGCTATTCCCATCCCCCTATTTCGCAAGCTGCGCATCGCGCCGAAGCAGCGCGCCGCGCTCACGGCCGTCTTCACCGTCGGCGTCGTCGTCTGTATCGCCTCTGTCATGCGGCTCGTCACTTTGCGGCAGTTGAGCAGCCGCGCGGAGGAGGACCCGTCTGTTAGCGGTCTTCCGTTGGGGATTTGGTCGGGCGTCGAGCTCGACTTGGGCGTTATCTGTGCGTGTCTGCCCACGCTGCGTCCGATGCTCGCCCGTGCGTTTCCGCGCCTGCTGGGCTCTGCGGCTGATTCTGAGCTGAGCAGCTGGCGGGGGACGCGGCGGGTTACTCGCGACGGGAACGGGTCGTATCGTATGCGCGAGTTACGTTCTAACGACGAAGATGACAAGTTGAGGGATGGCGACGTGGAAATGAGAATGATTAAGGGGACTTCGGGATTCCCGCGCGCCCCGGCGCCGTTGCATCTAGACAAGTCTAGCAAGTCGTATATGGATTTCGACTAGGTAATAGATAATCTAATTAAATTCGTTCATATCCCAAACCGTCTATAGACAGACTTAATGACGATTTAATTATCGCCTGTTTACTCTTGGGTATCATTACAATATTAATTACCTACGCAAGATAAAGTGCCCTTCCCTAAGTATACTATTGATCCGGAGGCGTGAGACGAAACCAAAGTTCTAGATTCTTGCTCTCCTACTGCATCTCCAAAATAGCCCTCTTCGACATGTCATCCTGGACCCAGTTTACGATGGTCTGGCCGACCTCGCCAACGAGCTTTTCGTAGTGCTCGCCCCTGAAGAATAGACTCGTGTGCGCGGCGACTTGATCCATGTCTTTCATGAAGATCTTGACCCACTTGGGGTCTACCACGCCGTCCATCTTTGGAACATTGCAGAATTTACGCTCTTTCGGTGGTTTTGGAGGCTTGGCTTCTTTACCCCGGGACTGTTCCGAGGGACTGGCTGCTAGAGGCGATGCCACGTCGGGATCTTCTGATTGCGCGACGGTGGAAGAAATGTTCCTAAGAGGTCCGTCGTCTGAAGTTGAGGAATTCGACGCGGCAACGGCGGCGGCTGCTTCTTTCTTGCGCCGTTTCTGTTCTTCCTTCGCTTTCTTCTCCGCGTCTTGCGCCAGCTTCTTCTTCCTCTTGTCGTAGATTTTCTGCCGTTCCCTGATAGCCTTATCACGGTCCTTTACGAGCCTATCGTAATCTTTCTGTGCCCGCTTGGCTTCCTTCTCGGCTTGTTTCCGCACGTCTTTATCTGTATACTGGCTAAAATCCGGTGGTTCTGGTCTTATAGGAAGTTCCGGTATTGTAGGAAGACCAATACTTAAGGATGCTATATCATTGGTAAGATCGCTTGTTGAGACTACGTCGTTATCTGAGGACTGCTGAGCCGAGGAATTCTTATGGGGCTGCTGAGAAAGCGCTTCTGTATCAGCGCTATCATTATGATTGACCGAAAGACCGTTTTCTGAGACTTTGTCCTTGGTATCTTTTAGAGGCTCATCAAACGTGCTAGCTTCGGGTATCGGTTGGTACTCTTCAGACATTGGTTCAGGAGCAAGTAACTGCAATTCTGGGGTTTCAGGATCGTCATCGAAAGAACCCCGCCGTAAAGTATTGCTGTCGGTAGCATCTAGATCTTGCGGGCTTGGGGGACGATCGTGACTCTGAATTGAAATTCGCGGTGTCGAGGGAGTTGATCGTGCGTTCAATAAAGTCTCCGAAGCTTCTGAATTGCTATTAGGGGCTGGGTCTTTGGGCTTAGGATATCCATGGCACACAGTATAGTACTGGATGAAGCGAACTTGTGGAGGTACGTGAGGAAATCCATGATCTTTTAAATCGTCTACATCCTCCAATCTACGAATATCCTCATACCGAGTCGTCAGGTTATTCATATCCATGAGACAGCTTCCGAATTCCAGATGTGACACGAGGTGATGGCTGACGGCGTTTAGTAGACCTTCCGAATTATGCTTATCGACGAAATGAACAATGTTTCTCCACCAGCCCCTATCCCGAAGGGGGACATCGTTGACAAACGATGGATTGAAATTTGGATCGAACGTCATACCATAAGGGATCCCTTGTGGTCTCGGTGACTGAGAAGCGCTGGATGGATCTGAGTATATCGAAGTGTTTCCTGAGGTGATATTAGATAGGGATAGGACTGATTCATCCTCCGGTATTGGCGCCTCGGGCGGGTTTGCTGTGTCCGATTTAGGCCTAAATAGACTGGCGATACCAGCTGTGACGACACTTGCATGCAACCCGAGGAAGGGCACATCTAGATTAACTGTCCCTATAATACGGTGAAGAAAGTACCCCGTTTGGTATTGGTTTCTAGATGGCTAATACAAGTTGTGAGCTAACAAGATAATATTCCTTGGGTAGATACATTCGATAACTTACCATCAAAGCAACATCAGCGGCCAATAATCCCCCCATAGAATGACCGACGAGAATCACGTCGGTGGTGGGAGATTCATGTGGGGCTAACCACCTGCTGAAGTTATCGCGGGCTACATCAAGAGCCTTATAAGTTTTATATCTTGGGTAAATCTTAGAATGGACGGTATGGGTCTCGGATAAGGCGAGTTTAAGGTACTTGTGCACATGAGCGGGAAAGGATTGAAACGAGGCATCGTTGCCCATGAAACCATGTATATAGATGACTAGTAGTCTACGGCGCCCTGAATCATCATTCTCAGATGGAGAAGGGACCAAGGACTGTGTAGAAGAGGATCGCGGGTCATCTAACGTAGAGAACGATAGTGAGGATGAACCCCACTGAACGCCGATCGTAGGACGAGGGGCATCTAGGGGCACGTTGTCTGGAGACATAGGATCCATAGCAACGATGACGTGAGAGTAAGAAGTTGAATTGAATGTGAGAAACTTCTTAGAAAGAATTTATGCCCCTATTCAGACTGGACCAAGGCAGACCGGACCAAGGAGGCTCAGAGGGCCAGTGACGTAAGCTGGGGTCTACCGAGGTGGATTGGTGTTTGGCGGCATATTTAGCAGAATTGGATTGGATTGGATTGGATATGTTAGGTTTTAGATGGTGAAGAGCAAGAACATTATGAGGAATGTGTAGGGTAATAAAGTACAAGTAAGATGGTTGGATATATGTGGATTAAACGTTATCGAAGGCGGTGGGAATAAATAGTAGTTTTTGTAGTTGTTATAATTTGTATTTGTAGGTAGTGATGAAGTGGAAGATGATAAGTGAAGTTGTAGTAGTGATTTTGAAGTTCCGAGCCGAGTTCCAATGCGACATACGCATACAATTACTTGTACCGTATTTCGTATTCACCGTAGTGCGGGGCTTGCGCTACATATCGACCCGCTCCGCCCGCTCAGGTACCAAATGTTAGGTTAGGTACATTGTACTTCATATAAGTTGCATATTTGGAGGCCTCGACTATAAACGTCTATTTACATTACATGTGTAGTGTCTACTACCCATAGCAAAATCGTATACGTAAACATGCCACGTTTGAAGACAGGAAATAAGCAGAAATAGTTAAGATGGGTATATGGCATCTCAGATATTGTGATGCTAAGTCAAATATTTTATTCAACTATCAACACCCGAGCCAAACGGCCGGTTCAGGGTCCCTACGGACGGGATGAATAGGTAGCAGCTACCTACCTTCCATCGGGCTCGCCTCCAGAAGACGAACCCACCCTAGGACTTCATAACTAAATCAAGAAGTCATCTAAACTTGTAATCAAGCTTAAACCAGTAAACCCGCAATCCCCTAACTGGGTCGCCGTCTCAAAGTGGTATCAACCGCATCAATTTGGCGACGCTGCCCTCTCGCAAATGTAAATGGGCTTATAAAAACACCGTGCCCTTTTTTTGTATACGAAACGCACCTAGCTTCAGCCTAAACCCGAAAATACTCACTAGTAAATCGGGTCCAAGGGCGAGCGATGGTTACGACTGATATGCTATTCGATCTTAACCGCGTGTAGGACTAGGTACTCGAAGTACTTAGAAACTCGCCAAGTGCACGTGTCCCGTTCACAACGTTGACCATCGTTGCACCAATGCAGTTGAAATCCATATCTCTGGCCGAGGTGGTTTAATTTTCTCTCCAAGCAGTATATACGACAAGCCGAACTAAACCGCCTGCAATCCGAATTCATCGTATAAGCACATAGGCCTCCGTTGCCTGTTGCCTGTGGCCTTATCTCCCTCATCCGAACGCCTTACGCCATGCTAAAATCCTGGGAAATGCAAATAACCATAATGGTCTGCGTGAAAGTTTGGGTTCGACCCAAGTCTCGAACCTGTTCAACGCTGTAGATGCCACAAAACTGTCATATCTCGTCCTTAACCGGGTATCTCAAGGTCACGTTCCAATCCTGCCACTGTAGTTTTGGCTACTGGCGCTTCTGAACGATGACATTTCCCCAGGGTTCTGTCATCGGTCAGCAAAGAGACTTGCGGAAGACGGACGATCCGCATGTACCTGCTTTCTCCTCTTGAGCTTCGACCGTTCATCTGCGTCGCCAGTTGAATACCCGCCTGTATCGTCATCGCCGTAGCCTTCACCGTATCCTTCAAAGCTGCTGTCTTGGTAGCTTCGCTTTTTTCCAATCCGACGAGCACGATCAATCTGCGGCGTCAACGGCTTGTTCGACTTCGGGGTGATACCGGGGGCTGACGCAGCCGGAGTACTAGGTGCCGTCTGTCTCGCGGCCGACTCGTGACCAGCTTTCTTTGGTAAAGTACCGGGCGCTAAGTCACCGAGGACAGAGCTATCCCAGGCCGCCTTCGGTATGGAACCTTTGGCCATCGCTACCGCTCGAGGTAGATGCGCCTGGTGTGTTTGCGACAAGCCTTTCTCAATCTCCTTCCCGACGACTTCCCTACTCAACCATGCATCTTCGTCAAGCCCAACCAATGCCAATAAGCCGTCGGGGGCTTCGAGCTCTTTCTTCACCGCATCAAAATGGCCGCTTAGTCCTAAAGTCTTTATTTGACCTTTGTAAGTCTTGCGAAGCGCGTTCTTCTCTCCGTTGGGCTTTGTGCGGGCGACCTCGGCAGCGATGCCGGTTAATCCGAACATTTCAAAGAAATCGTCCGACAGACATGGGTAGGATGTGGAGTAGGCTAAATACGAAAAATAGTGTCAACCAAGAAGTACCAAATCTCATTCAAGCACAGCCTTTGATAATTACCATCGATCTAGGAAAGGAAAGATGGCAGAGTGCATAGCATGTATGAGACTAAGGGGAGCCTTACGAGTACTGCAAAGAAGGTACTTTTCACCGACATCCAAGTGCAGGTTCTCAATACCAACTCGGCGATTCTCGAGGTTGACTTTCTTGTGCTCATGTTCTCCGGCATCGTCGAATGGATATTTTCGCTTGGTCGAATAGACATCTGTCACCGCAGTATCGTGAGACATATCGGTTGGTTGGGCTGACCCGTTGACACTATGTGCCGGCTATGATAGCGCGACAGTTAATGAATGTTCTAGTAATAACTTAAGAAATAACGACAATACAGAGGGGAAAAAAATCAGGTGTTGGGTGCTAGGGATAATTCTAAACTTTAAAAACGTACCGTCGGCAGAGCTGTGGTGATGGAGGTCATAGAGCTGTTTACGCTTGATACCTGGTCACCTGTGGTCGGGGAAAATTGAGAAGGACTCTGAGGCGTTTGAGGATTGAATAACATGGTCGCCATCGAGAAAAGTAGGCGAGAACGCTGGATGATTACGGTGCGCGGCGCGATTCGAACGATTCGAATATAGGGAAGTCTTTAGAAATCCCTAGAAGGCCAGCAAAAATTGACGCCGAGATGCTGACAAGGTGAGAATATGAAGGAGCGTAACGAGAAGTCGGAAAGGCTGAAGAAAGGCTGAATAGGGTAGGCCGATTAAATTGTTTCGGTGCGCTTGATTTGAATGATGGACGATTGACGATAGGACGGTATTGAGGAGTGGAATGATAAAAGTCGATCGATCTCACTGTGGCGAGTCGCGCGAAACCGCCGACCGGCTGTTGTGGTCGAAGATACCCGAGTCCACCAGCATTCACCGACTTAACCCTTCTACAACGTCGTATCGGTGAATTAAAAATAATATCCTTAGCAATATCGAAGCCGTCAGAGTGCTTATGGGGGATATCGCGATGCCTCGTCGTGGTAGTTGTCGATTGCGGAAGACAAAGTTGATGGGGTTTTTGGGTGAAAGGACGCAAGGTGAAGTTGTTGCAATGGTGACAAGCAAAACGGGCGGACGGGGGGAGAATGAAGTGCAGGTGGTGCCTTGCGACTGGGCAACTCGCCTGTTCCGCTACAATTCCCCGCTTTTATTTAAATACACCCCTAGCCTCCATAAGCCTAGTAAACTCACCCCTGCCGACTCACCTACACATGTACATACAGTACATACCTACCATACTCACTTCTACCTAAACACCGGGTCATGTTTGTATTACACACCACCAAAATCTTTAAATACGTACATGTAAGGTACCTACCCAGCTACGTAGTGTTTCTATTCATACCTAACAAACATACTATCCTACATATACGCATTGCCTTGCCTTTCCTTGCCTAAGTACCTAAAATAATATATCTAAAGTAAATAGAAACACACCGGCTATTAGATGAGAGCTCCTTTACTATTAACGCAACTAAAAACATCTTCTATTCACCGGCTCTTAAGTACATACAAAGATATGTATATAGTTCGTTATGTGCCCTATCAAATTTTAATGTGTCTTACACACCATTGCCTCAAGTAGGCTTATTTTCTCTACATAGTGAACCATTCACGGATACTTCCCGGTAATAATATGCCCCTTGAAGTAGATCTTGGAGGAGATATCAAATAACAGGGGCTTAATCACCCTAGACACTCCACCTGATAAACTCCAAGTAGTAAACTCACTATCAATCTTTAGGAACGCAACATACCAGCATACAAAAACATAGGCAGACCCAGAAGTCCAATATACCACCCCCAGTTAAGGCAGTCAACATAAGGGACTTCTTCAACCTTACAAACTGAAGCGGGTATTAGTCTCCCTAGCACTTGAGAAATCTTAGGTCAAGCTAGTTAGTTGTAGTTACAAAGACCACAAGGGATGGGAAACGTTTGTAATTGATTGTAACTGACACAATATATAGACAAAGCTGGAGTTTTGGAGCAACAATAAGATATGTTATACGTATAACTGACAGCACCTTTACTATTACAATATCAAGACAAAGTTTGGCTTCATTACAACCTAACTGATTCTTACTAGTCAATTAACAGTAGGACATGGCAAATTACTACATAATCATTACTATCAGTTAAGATCTGAATCACGTTTTCTGAATCACGTTTGAAGTTTTGGTTTTCATAATTACCTGTCATTGGATTTACAGATCTACATATTCCGTACATACATGCATGTTAAGTACATGTACCCAAGTATTTAACATACCGAGTTCGGGAGTAGGTACATAGGTACGTAAGGATATCCCTAACCTATCGCGTAAAGTGCATCACTCAATCCGTCTCCTTCCCTTGCCCCCACTTATTCGGGTCTATTCTTGTGGTCGACACCTGCCCGTCAAGGTGTGATTACCTCATTGGTGAGGATCCCATTTAAGGGACGAGTCAGGCGCCGAGGAATCGCGGTTCCGATACAAGACTTCCATAAGATAACACAATCCGACAAGTCTTCGTCAGTCACATTCGAATTCAATCCCACCCAGTCCAATCTCAAGTACCATTCAACAACCCCTTTACTACCTAACTACATCGGGCAGAACAAGTTCCAAAGTCAACAAGTGCTTCTCACGATTTGCACGGCTTTTCTGTCGCGTGGCGTTTCTAGTCACTTCGTTCATCCGGCACGAGGCATCGCATAATCCAGCCGTGTGTTGCCTTGTCCTACGTTCCCAAGTCTCTCTTTAACTTTGCAAATTTTTTTTATTTTTTCTTTCATTCCAAGTCATCAGCCTGGTGGCGTTTTCATTGATAAGACTCTTCTCCAAGTTCTACTCCGGGGCACGCGAGTTACATCCTCCTGTCGCACCGGACTCACGATACCCTCCCTATCCATACCACAAGCTTAAATCTACATTTCGCCATGTCGTCGTCAAGACTTGCTGGTGGTGCTAAGCACCGGCTGATGTCCGAGATGCAAGAGCTCTCAAAAGAGAAATGGGTAAACATCGATGTAAGTGCTGTAGCTCCCTTCTTCATATTCTAACCATATTGCTGACTCCATATACTCGTAGTTGGTGAATGGCAATATCCTACGTTGGCGCCTTGGTCTTATTGTCGTTAACCCTGACAGCGCATTTAACGGGGGCTACTTTAAGGTAAGTAACAAATTAAAGTATCCTTCCCAAATAAGATCATCACTCACATAATAATATTTAATAGGCCGAGATGACCTTCACCGAAGAGTATCCCTACCAGCCGCCGACCTTTAGATTTCTAATTCCCATCTACCACCCCAACATCTATCCCGACGGCAAACTGTGCATCTCCATTCTGCATACTCCCGGCGAAGATATCATGTCTGGGGAGCAGGCTAGCGAGCGATGGTCTCCTTTACAAGGTGTTGAGTCTGTGCTCCGGTCCGTCCTCCTCCTTTTGGATGATCCCGAGATCAACTCTCCGGCAAATGTAGACGCCAGCGTAACGTACCGGGACAATCGCGCCACCTACAACAGGAAAGCCAGGGAAATTGTCGACAAGTCAAAGAGCGACATTCCGAGCGACTTCGTGATGCCAACCAGCCTCGAACCCCCGCCACCACCGAAGCCGGTAGACGACGATGCTGCATTTTGGGACGAAAGTGACGAAGAACTCGATTTCGGAGGTAGCGACACCGGCGACGACGCGGAATTAGCAGAGTTTGATGAAGATGGCGAGGATGACGGCGCTAGCGACGACGACGACAACTGATATCAGCCCGCTCTACGCAACATTTAACATCCATTACTCGACCTCTAAGAATGGGCCGGCAAAGCATTTTCTGACCCAGTACACAATTGCATAGCGGGGGTAAGGCGTTTATGGATCTCTTGCACCTTTGGCGCGCGTTTCGGTTCGTCTTTTCGTCGCATTGGATTACCAACAATCGACTTTCGCATCTTCTTTCAGATAGAGGAGGCTCCATGATGAAACGTGGGCGCCGAAGACCTTTCTCAGCTACTACTAATTTGTAGCCAAATCTTTGAGAACCCTCCACCGTGTTTATAGATGAGGGACGGTTGTCACTTGGGTATAAACGCAACCATACTAATCACGCGTTACCCTTTCGTCCAACTTTAAGAATGTCATATTTAAGTTATCAAAACGGCAGTGCTTACTTAAGGCACTTAATACCGTGCATATAGCAATTCTACTACACATCACTTCTTACATATTATAGAATGAATGTCTTTGTACATACATTCTTAGGTAGTTATAAGTCTTGCCCATCACATGTGAAATGAAAATATCATATATAATATGACCAAATACCTATTTATCATGTTACACCGAACTAGCTCTGCTGCTGATTTCTAGTCTATACTCTATACTCCTTATCGCCAAGGTAGGCCTTTTCGTTAAGGCTTGGCATCTGTTTTGATATAGTTATGGGTACGACGGGAATAGATATCGCGGGATGTCGTTCCCGATATTCAACTAGCAGATCCGGCACGCTGGCACGTTATCCGGCAGCAGTAACATTGGGTATGTATGGTGCCTAATATGACGCTAAGGTCCTACGGCTATGCATATAAGGCAAAGGGGTAAAAATTTTCAACGACCATTTATGACAACGCATTCTAGGGAACAAGTGGCGTGAGCTTAGTAGAATACCCCGTTCTTTTTCTTGAGGCTTACCTACGTCTTAAATAAGCCGGCGACTCGTATGTAAGCCGGTTTATGCCGGTGGAAGCCATTTAGCAGCCGGCTGACACTTACCGAGGCTCGATTTAGCGGTTGGTATGGTTGTCCGTTATTATGAAGACATTCATACCTAATTCCATAAACCCCTTTCAGCCCTATCTTAGGTATAGTTAATACTATTCGTAGTGTACTTCTGATATTGCCTAATATCCCCTTTAAGTGCATTTTGTGTTCCGTCCATTAGACCGACCAGGTAACAAGTACCTAAGTTAAACACCTCTCGGTTTTATTAGCCTCGAACACTTTAATATCACTACCCAAAAGCGATCCGTAAGAATTTCCTACACCTCACTCAGTCATAGTTGTCGACCTAAAATTAGCTTAAGTAGTAAGTAGCAAGCTAGATACCTACGTAGGACTATATATCAAGCAAACAATGACGAATCTTTGAATACTAAGGTACCTAATTTAACTCGTAAACAATACCTATTCCATCTAAATGAACCAAGTAGCAACCGAATATGTGTACATAACAGCACGAAATACTAGCATCAATAACAGAACTATTTTACAAACATAAAAACAAGGTTTAAACTAGTTGCTTCAAGTAATTATTAAGCCCAAACGTACAGATGATAGTATACCTTTAAGAGTATCATGGAATCTATTAACAGTCTCTTGGATGATTGCTACTAAACTATCATTCACAATCATCATTTAAAGAGAACAGAGTTTCCAATTACATTCTAAAACATACACTACAACCCATACAGATTACCACGTATTCGTACAAATTTCTTCTAGGTATAACGGGGTGGACTTAAAAGGTGTGGAAATAAATTTATTATTCTACACGGAACCTTAATCTAAGCTATAGAATCCCGTAGTCTTCGTTCTATGAGCGTCTCACCAAGATTCTTCATGAAATCAGTTGGGTTTAAAGTTCGACGACACCATCATAATACAATTGGGGACGTTCTGCTCCAGCCCCTCTCCCCTTCTTGGCCGATGAGAATAATTGTATCGGTATTGTATGGTAGCCATATCCACGCTGCAAGGTATCGGCACTATAGTTGAAAGGAGTTGCCTAGTAATATGATATAGATATATATTTCCTCGATGTCTCTACTTGTCAATTTGGAAAGTTCTACGGTTTGGGGTAACACTGAAAATGATGTATAATTAGACCTAAAGCCAAGTCTCTTACGGAAATTTTAAGCGGAGAGAAATCTATAATGCGGAAGTAGAGTCTTTTTATTTTCGCTAGATGTCGAGTAAAAATGCCCCTTTAACAAGACATTCAAAAGCCTTCAATGCTAAATATTCGGGGGCTACAATTGAACTATCCAATACTTAGCAGCAGTCTTCATGTCGGATGTAACCCATCTCGTATAGCAAGTATGATAGGTGTCTACGAGTAGGGCAACACAGCATATTGTTTTCGTTCAAGAGCGGTTAACTATTTCCGGGGGGTAATCATACGTTTGTAATGAGTTAGACTCGCTGCCTAGAATAGACGAAGTGTATCGTGTATAGGGGAACTAGGGATTGCTTACCTCCTAACTTATCTACTCACGGTTCCGTTTCGGGAATATGGGTCGAAATAAAATCGTTGCTATTAACAAATATACTGAAGGGTAAAAGAAAATGCACGTATTCCAAACTCCCATAGCCATTTCCCCACACCGGCAACAATAAATGTCCACATTTTACTATAAGTTGAACTGTACCCCTCTTACAGGGTTCTTAACTCGGCTCATTCAGGTTGCAGATATGATATATCAATACCGGTGGGGAGAATCACAAACACTGTATTGGCGTTCCAGATCCACTTTGATATAGGTAAACACCTTTCTCCAAATAACCAGGGAGCTATCCCCCCATAGATATTTCACGTAGGGATTGCGATCCTATCATATTTAGAATACCTTCCGTGGAAAAGATATGAGTGGATCATCAACAGCACAAGTTTCGTCTTGGGCAGAGCTATGTGTGGGAGAGATGATTACACTACAGCATATAATGTTATACAAGTGGCTGAATTCAGGGGTTCCTTCTAATTTGGCAGCGTTGCAAATGTCCCTGAACATTCCAGGCCAGGCCTCTCCCGAGTTGCATTGAATCGAGATGTCCAATAGAGTGTGATCTCAGGCCTATCATACAAGTAGCGATGCGGCCTCGATTTGGCGAATAGAACTACCCAGTTCCGAATGAGATAACAAAACATCGCCACACCCTTGTATACACATGCAATGGGGTAACTGTTAAGTGACGTCTTCACCGACCGCTCGTATCCATTACTAGGGTACCTACACCGGGCATTCGGCAGATCTCCGATGTCCCACCATGGCCATGACTATTAAAGAGGACTATAATCCCATATCACTTCTTACCATTATCAGCCATATGTACATATATTTAATACGTGAACCACTCAATTGAAAATTACTATATATATGTGCATGAAAGAGACATCAACTGCTTCAAGAGAAATGGATTCATCACAGACGACAAGCAAGCCTGAAGCGCTTGATGTGATTATTGTGGGCGCTGGTATATCAGGAATCAGCTGCGCTTATCGGTTACAGAGCCAGCTCCCCAATGTTCGCTTCACTATTCTCGAAGGTCGTAGCGAGATTGGTGGTACTTGGTCTCAGTTCACATACCCAGGAGTGCGTTCAGATGCTATTATCAACACGTTGGCATTTCCATGGCACCTATACCCGCATCCAGAGCCAATCGCAGATGGCTCTCTAATTCTGGATTACATCAAAGATGCTGCGTCCAAGTCTCGTATAGAAGAGCGAATTCAAATGCGTCATAAAGTATTAGCTGCGGAGTGGTCCTCATCACAACAACAATGGACTCTCACGGTTGACCACGACGAAAAGCAAAAATTCTACACTACACCCTGGATGATTCTGGGAACTGGATACTATGACTACGAAACCCCGCTGAAGGCTGAGATACCGGGTCTCGAAAACTTCAAAGGTGAATCAAGGCACTTTCTAAGAAAACAACGACCCTAACAGCTCTGCAGGGAAGGTAATACATCCGCAATTCTGGCCAAAGGACTACGACTATGAGAACAAGAGAATGGCAGTGGTTGGCAGCGGAGCCACTGCTGTCAGCTTACTGCCATTACTCGCAGAGAAAACCAGCGAATTAACTTTGATTCAAAGGAGCCCAACCTACATCATCACGAAAGAAAACAAGTCATGGACGCACAAGCATTTGCCGCCGTCTCTGGCCTCGGCTTGTCAGCGTCTGTACCATACGATGCACCAACACATTTATGTTGCATACTGCGAGAATTTCCCTGATTCAGCAAAAGAACGTCTCCGTAAGGATACCGTGAAGAGGCTACCAAGGTGGCTCGAGCAGGACCCCCATTTCAAGCCTCGATATAATCCATGGGAGCAACGGATGTGTACGGACCCCGACGGTATTTTCTACCAGGCCCTCCATCGTCCTAACGTGAAGTTGATTACCGGAAATATTACGAATTTCACAGACACTGGAGTACAGACCCAGGATCATGAGACCGGCAAGATAGACACTACTGATATAGATGCTGTTGTGACTGCTACTGGTCTGAACATGAAGCTAGGTGGGGGCATCGATATACGCGTCGACGGAGAGACACTGTCATGGGCCAAGAAGTATATCTGGAATGGCGCGATGATCGAGGGTGTTCCAAACATGATGTTTGTGTTTGGCTATGCTGATAATGCCTGGACTATAGGAGCTGATATAACAGCTTTCCTTGTGGCCCGGCTATTAAAATACATGAACCGCAAAGGACTGAAGACTGCAGTTCCTCAACTGTCGGCAAAGGATGCTACTGCTGAGACCGAACGGATCTTTCGACTGAACTCAACCTATGCTAATCTTGCGGCAGAGAGACTTCCCGTGTACGGAAAGACGGGAGTTTGGCGGCCTAGGACACGCCCGCCGCAGGACTACGTACGCGCTCGTTGGGGCAAATTTAGGAGTGGTCTCCATTTCTCTACTTGATATGTATGTACTAGCTAGTACCCAAGGTAGATAGGGATGTGATGATTGTATGTTAGGCTCTTAGGAGGTAGTTATAGGTTATAATCCAATCTAAGTGTGTAAATTCCCCACATCGCGCATTTCCACTTCCTATCATGCTTACACCGTCAAAACTTTTTATGTATTGTATAAGATTTCTAAATCTTATCGGTCGTATCATTGACATGTTGGCTATTTTATTCATTCCGAACCCCAACAGGCGTGCGTAAACCAGTGTAGCCACAGAAAAAGAAAAAGAATCCCAGACGAACACGGCGTCTACGGCCGTGGGGAAGTGGAGCCGCGCCGGGGTTAGTTCTCCACACGCATGCAAGTCACCCGCAATAATACCTACCCCGCCGGGGCTCAGTCCGGGGACTCGGATGCATGGGTTGAGCTACCGTGTGACACATGAGCAGTTCTTATCTCCTAAAGTGCGAACTAAAAAGAGATACTCACTCCACTTATATCAACGAATAAAGTCTCCGAAAAGACTGAATACATACTCTCCTAGGAATGGTAGAAACTATTTGGCCAATAAGATCTAGAAGGATTGTATTCCATACTAGTGGCTAAGTTCGCACTCTAGGAGATAAGCGCGAACTCGTGATATATCGTTATTTATAATAATAGTATATCATGACCGCTTCTCCCGACATTCATTTACGTTTGTTTAAGGGTCATGTGCTACAATTAAGACCACCTGAGTAAGTGATTGGCATGGTCTCCAACAATCAACCATGGTTTTCAATTCTGGATGTAACACCTAGAATGCCGTCAAACCCTCTGGTACGTCTACCTACCATAATAACTTCACCGAATACGTCGATGGAACTCTGGGCGTCACAAGCATCGTCTAGTCCGCGGTTGATGGATGTATATAGTAGCAGTGCGCCTTCGAAATACAGTGTCCCACGTATGCGGGGTATAGAGATAGCCGTTTCCCCAGCCAATACACGGCACACTTCGTTACTCTTTGCAACACCTTTGCAGATTGACTCGTCAACCAACGGCATCATGACGTGGGTATAGCCCTCGTCTGATGTTGACGTGCCTACCTGGGTGAGTAGCAGCTAGACACGCCCAGTGTAGCAATGGCAATCGGGTGGGATTATTATTGCTTGTATAGCCGTAGGAGTTTGCGATAGATCATCCTGCTTGTAGCATATGGTTTTCTCGAATACTATTCTTCAACTCCGCTGCTTTTTCGGGGCTAATGTTTTAAATTCTGAAATAGTCTCAGCGAAAGCTTTCCTGATACTGTTATACACTATTCACTAGTATTAGGATGGGACTCATAGCTATCATAATTTTAATAGGGTTAGTAAGCTAAGTCAAATCAAATTTTGCCTAGGTACCTAAGATATCCTATGGGAGGTACCAATATTAACCTGTGTACTTGTTTGATTCTCTTAAACGGGCTTTAATAACACGGGCCGGAACGTCCAAAATGCGTACAGCTGTCAGTGTAACATCCCGCCGCCGCCGATGGCATTCGATGCCAAGAGATGTGCTGTGAGGTGCATATCTGATAGCTTTAACTTTTTAGTGTTAGAAATCGTACTTATCAATCCGTCGAACTGTAACATCTATCGTGTACTGTTGTTGTAAGTATCGCTTTGCGCTGGTGTGACAGTCGTAGCAACTATTGAAAAATTATCAGATACAAGGCAACTTTGAATACGCATTGCCGCCTAATATTCAATCGACGCTTGAAGAATTAGCATAATACAACGGTCTCCCATCTGGACCGACGCTGCTTCCAATCGCATAAAGAGATGGCCCCGACGCCAACGCAACGAGCAACAAATGGGTTACACACCGACCGCCCAACAAGCGCCACACGCAGCTACCATATTCAACAATGCTAACGAAGAAAGGCATGCAATTACCGAATTAATAAAGGTTCCAAGGCACCGGATATAACGGTAAGATCGAAATGCTTTCTATTGCCCGGCGTCGTCCGTCGCGTATTGATCCACTCGAAACCCGTCATGTTTAGACGCCAAACAATTGTGCCTTCATTCCAAATTGCCGCGTTCTGTGCATCATGGCCTTTCCCAGTATTCTTCTTTAGAGAAGAGGTCTGTACCTGGTGACGTTACTGCCGTATTGAAGGCCAAGGAACCGGGAAACATAGTGGCGAGCTGGCGGGCTTCCGCACTCAAGACTTGACGGGCAAAGGCTTGGGATGGACTATGGGGACAGTCTTCCCCAATCTCGATTGGTCCTCCAGTTGGAAGATAGCGCTTTGGGCGTGGGGGTAGGTAGCTCAGCCTGGCTTGCTGCTTTTTTGATTGTTACTTCGTGTTGGATCCACCGTTCTTGGATATCGAATTTTCGAAGACCGCAAGCCGGATCTTGGTGGTAGAAGAACACCAAGCTTACGATTTCAAGGACGCCCCGGTCTAACCGGTGGTTGGCGCATATCCAATCATAGCCAACAGTGCTCAATGCCACTGCCCAGCTCCAACGGGATATTTCTGGCATTTCACCCCTCCTGCCTGGTTCCCCTGGGCAACTCCACAGGAGACACTGTGGTAGATATTTCTCCGGTAGATCGGATAGCGTTGGGCAAGGTAGTAACCTGGATAGGTATTTAGCTATGCCTGTGAAAGCATGGAGAATGTCGGTGCCATAAGAAAGTTAGCGGGGTGTATAGTTTTGGACTCATCCGCAGTATTCTGTTAGAGCGCGGTGTCTTTAACTATGTTAGGTACTCAGCCTCTGTGCCGTAGGATTGTAGCTCAAAGTAGCCTGGGGGTTGACAAATTTTGTCTTTGTTCAAATCATCCTAATCTTCAATATTACTGCTTACTAGACTATCATCTAAAACCGCTGGCGGCCTAGGGTTTTCAAGAACTTGAGGACTCCACGTGAGCTCTTCACTTGCTTCTGCTTGCGAACATTTCAATATGGTTTGATGCTCGGTAATGAAGAGGCACCGCTGAGAAAGAAGCCAGTCCTGAAACGTCCAATCCCTTCTACTCCAGAGTGAGGAGTCCACTAAAATTCAAATGCCATTATACTCTTTGGAGAGAGTTCATTGGACTATTACTAACCACTTATAACTTCGAAGTCATCTTTTGGGACTCTAACAGTGAGCCTAAGAAACAATCAGACAAAAATGCTATTCGGATTAGATAAATCTAGCTCGCGCTGATTAGAGGACACAGCTTCTGGGTATAGCGGGCCTAGAACTTCGATAATGATGCGAGAATCCGGCCGGGATTGTGAAGTGTTGAGGGTACGCCGGCGAATGTTAAACGCTGTTGGGATAGCCTGGCAGATCAAGCATTGCGAATTCCGTGAAAGCTCCTCAATAGACATGAAGTTTTGAACGCAAGATCCTAACTTATGGGGAAGAGAAAAGTATAACAGAATACCTGATATAGTTAGAAGACATATTTAAGCCCGGAGTTAACCTTGGTCAACATTTGAGCAAGATCGTTGTCACTTTTGAATGACTTTTGAATGGTTCGACAGTCGTGAGGCTTACAAGTTACTACACAAGGCACTGTCTCGGTATTGTATGTATATAAGTCCTTGTTATGAGTGGCTTATACATATCTATTAGCCATTGTGGCTTTGTTATGTATTCTGGGATCTGATTCGCCTGTCATCAAATATGCCGCTATGTATCGCGGCTACGAGATCTGAGACGTCTGATCACCCCTGGTCCGGCACCCCCTCTCCCCGTCGAACGATATTAGTCCAAATTCTATATTTTCAAATGATACCCTCTTAACCTTTTCGTCTTCTTTTCTTCTTCACGAGTTGATCTCTTCATCATTCGCTATTCTTCGTTTACGGTTTGCTTCATCACCAATTCCCTTGTAATTACATCGACTGTATTTTTGTGGCAGGCCACAGCATCCAACGAGTTCTATCTAATTCTTGGATTCCCCCCCTATTAATTCCCCAAATTACGAAATACGCGCCGGCACCATGTTCCGCACACCGTTCCAATTCGTCGTCTTCCTCCTTTCCATCTGCAATATCGCAGTCGCTGAGGTTGATGTCACACACGATCTACTCCCTCGACAAAGTCCCAGCGCGAACGATGTGAATTCGCCCGCCTGCCAGAACTATGCGCTAGTAGCCAACCTCTCTACGGTCGCATTGAACGCGACGTATCGCGCGGCTTTCCTACGTTCTTCTCCTCTTGGAACGTTTCCGGCCAGGGCTATTTTGGATGTGGAGTCGCCGAAACTTCCGGCGATGATGATGGATGCGCAATTGAACCAACGATGTGGAAATTTGTCTCAGGTTGCTCTCGACGGGGCGGCTGCAAACCTTAGCGCAGGTACCGTACTCGGCTTACCGATCCTCGACGCGCCTGGTATTGATCCCGCCAATGTTGCTATGCCTATCGTCGGAATTGCAATTTTCTTGATGTTTGGTGGAACGTGGCTTGCGTTGTAAGCTACTCTGATACGGGGATTTCGCGAAGATATACGGGGAATTTGAATTTGAAATTTAGGGCCTCCTTAAGTGAGATATCTAATTGGTTTATGTATGGTTGGACGTTGTGACAGGGTTGATGGATGCATCTCGGAATTGCCAAGTATAGTATAACTGTCTTGTTTGCCTTTGGGCAGTGATACCGGCGATATAATGAGAAGATGTTTAAGTGGCCAATCCTAGGTTCCACAGCGTTGATTTAAGAGTAAAAACCTATTAGATACGGTGTCCATGAATGGGTTACTCTTATTGTTAATGCTCTACACTTTTCGCATACCCTTTATATGAAACTAAAATATTGCTTGTTCAGGTATACTGTTAAGACTTTCAGATTGTCAACTATATCGGATGAGCTTAAAGGTAAAGCCTGGATTGCAATAAAGACGAAAGATGATTAATAAAAGAGCTCGAAGCATCCCGCTAATCTTCCCTTCTGTATTGTACCTGATGCGTCTGCGGGGTAGTCAAACTTATCTCAGGTATACATGTAGGTACCTAATGTAGTGTACCTGTACTACCAGTCATATGCTTCACTTCTATTGTATGAGGGTTTCGTAGCAGGGGGTATACACTTTGTTAGTATATTTAATCAGACATTTTCTTCATGTTTGGAAAATGTGTTTATATTCAACAATTTATTATTCATTAAGAAATCAATGTCTTCCAAGTATTTAATCCGGTATTCAGGTATATCTGGTACCTCTTACATACAGAGAGGTTAGTATTGCGTACATGTAATTAGGTACCTAGGTACGTAGTGTAACTTTAATGTAATCAGCTAAGCCTTACAATAGCTCCTCTCTGTACTGCACATGTCCCGATAACAAAAAAAAAAGCTCTTTTTAGACCTTTGAACTTCAATAGAATTACAGGCAGCATTTATTTACGTTATCTTTATCAGCGCTGTTCTTATTTCAAAATATTTGCTCCTGTCCTACATATATGTTTTTGACCTAAGGTTATCGCGGCTAGGCATCGGTGGGAGCGCAGTGACGGATATTCGTATACTTACACTACCTACTCTTTCCCTTCCCACCACCATCATTACTACCTCCATCGTCCTCCGCAGCTCCAGATTTCCATACAATTTTCTATGCTTCACTAGAAATAGTGTGCTTTCCCCAAGATGGCGACAACAGGTGACCCAACAGAGGAGGCTATTACTCTGTTTTGTGACATCACAGACCTCCTCCGAAGCGAGGCCATTACGCGCTTAAAGGTACCTTTACTATCACCTTACATCTCGCTCTCCATACTGACTTCATGGTTCTTTTCTGTTTAGGCAAACAATAACGACATCCAACGTGCGACCGAAGAGTATTTCGAAGATCCCGGCAGTCAGAAGGTACTTCATTACCTTTTCCTACCCCCGCGACCCCGTCGATATATACAACCTCTAGTCTCTTACGCTAAGTTCTCTGTAGTACAGATGGGACGAATCGCAGTTTAACATGGATCGCCATGGTGAGGCGACTGGTTCGGGGATATGTGCGGTATTTGTCTGCCTTGTAGCCAGCTTCGTTACTAAACTCCTGTCGCAGCTTTCAATATCCAGGGTCCAGATGAGCTTGCGCCTACCAGCTATCAGAACAATACGGCTCCCACTAGACCCCCCTCACGAGCTAATAACACGTCCTCTTATGGTATTGCTATACAACTGTCCTATATAAAACAGATGATAATGCTAACCCATACTTGCCAGGTGCACCAGCTAACGCCGCCGAAGAAGATGCGAATTTAGAACGGGCCTTAGCTGAATCTGCCGCCGAGTCGGGAATTCAACGCCAAGAAGCTGGTATTATCGACAACGAAACGAGCCTTAAATATTTTGGTCCTGCAAACCGACCGGAATATGATACTGAACAATGGGCTATGATTCCTACTAAAACAACTACTGACGACGTGAAAGCCGATCCTACCCCATCCCAAAGGAAGCGTGATCCCGAAGCTCCTGCATTTCTTAGACAGACTAAAGATCACAGGGTCGGTTTCATCTTATCGATTTATCACAAGATTCCGGCCGTCAGAAACATTTTACTCCAGTGCGGAAATCCAGCTAAGAACTATGGGCATAACTCGGAGTGGTGGAGAGGTCAGCCAATTCTCAAGCATGAACATCTGGCGGCCATGGCAAGAGGAGAATCGATCTGGGGTGATGAGGCGCATCCCGAGTTTTCCGAGGAGCTCCACCGTTTAATGGCGTTCCTTGATAAGACGGAACGGAGTTACGGTACTGTTGACGGTCTCATTGATACTAAAGCAATTGACCCTAGCTTTGGAAGTTGGATGCCCGACGTTGAAGATAAACTCTTTGAGGCTATCAAGGAGGAGGCTCCCAGCAATCCTGCCTGCGACCTAGAACCTATGACGACCATGGGCACTGTCCTACCTTGTGCCCCTATACAAAACGAAGAACCCTCACTAGAGGGTGATGAAGAACAAGATACGCCGTTTACATTTCTGGATTTGGCATTAGACCATGTACAGTACCAATGGGTGAATACGTTTTACGACGCATTGGATAACTTGCTCTGGACGCATGCGTTATCACTCGACCATTCCTTCCCAGAGGAAGCCAATTATGCCGTACTATCTAAACCTGCCGAGGTGATGACGATACGGCTCAATGGCACCGGCTTGGTCAAGCCCTGTGAGGTGCCAGCGGTGCTTTATGTGGATCGGTACATGAGGGATCGAAAAGACCTTGGGCTCAAGTTGCAGACCTATATGCGCTTGGCAAAAAAGAAGTTACGCTTATACGATCTACTAGAGGCAAGCTTGGTAAGGTGTCACGGTCAGAGCTGCTATAAAGTGAACGGATTGGGCAATGGTCCTCATGACCTCTTCGCTTGTCTAAATGGAATCATTAAACACAACGAAAGGATGATGCAAAGTCAGATTAGGGCTGCGCAGTGGCGTTATCATTACGCTCGAATGGAGGAGGGGCTGGAACTCGGCCTTGGAGACCTTTACGATATTCATACATGGAGCGGGCCTTACACATTCCTCCCCGAGGAAGAAGAAAGAATGGAAAAATGGGAAAATGTTATTGTGGGGTGCAGAGAGAAACTTGAGGAGCTTGAGACGAATTTAGCAAGTAAGTTTATTCTATTTCCTTTGGAAAAGGTGGCATCTTTCTAACCTACCTTATTATAGACATTGTAAACGCAAAGAAGGCATACTACGACTCCATGAAAGTGATTTCGAAGTGGTTGACATGCCAAGAACACGAAGTAGACGATGAAGAATATGTCTTCCGGTCGACCACCGCCTATAATCCGGAATACTGGAACCCCACCCATAAATACACCCTTCGCGGTGTTGCGCTTACGAATGAACTCGCATATGTATGTGTCAGACAAGACAGCGGTTCGATGGAGGTCGATGGGGGGCCTGCTTCCTTGGACCAGTGGTGGAAAATAGGATATTCGTCGGGCGAAACAAACCCAATCAAAACCGAGGTATGTTAGTATCAAATACCTATTCTTCTCATGTGCTCAACAGACCTCGCAGAAAGCAATTCTGGAAGACGTCCTCCACGCGGCCGGGACCGAGTCCAAGTATCCTATATTCATCTATGCTTCTGAAGCCGCCATGGAAGCGAAGCCTCTTCCCTTGTCGGATGCTCTACGGGTATGTCACGTATTCGTTTGGATGGAATGGGCACTAAAACTATCCATAGATGTTCGTACGGGCCGACAATCGCTCATTTCAACAAGAGCTTGCCCAAGAGCAAAGTCCGGAACAATTACAGAATCCGGACCCCTCAGGAGTCACCACCGAGAATTTATCCTATATTCCTGGCATAAGATCGAGCAAACGAAAACTCAGCATTGGCTCGTCGGTGGCAACACATGGCAGTACTCGCGACGACCTTGATGATGTTGATTTGACATTCGATGAAGCGGTTCAGTTCCCTACTTACCCAGCATCAGGCACTTACTACGAACCAGTTGCCAACAGTAGCCCTCAGTCTAAGAAACTCGGTGGCATTGTCGAGTCACTCGCAAATTGCCGCACTCATGAAAATAAACCAACGGGGTTGGGGGGTTGGGTCACAAATGAGCAAGATAACAGCAACATGGAGAAGATGCAAACTTTTAACTCTGACACGTCCAAGCCGCCTGAGATGCGAGAGCGCACTGGGGGACCCGCACCATTCTTAACCCGACCCAGCCACTCGACTCAGAGCGGTCCAATCGACATGATGGATATCGACATAGATGTAGAGCATCACGAATAATGGTCATATAATCAGCGGCCTAGCGTTATTCGGACTATGGAATACGAGGAGGTTCACGTCTATGATAAAAAGCATAATGAGGCATGAGTAGGGCATAGGTATTGGAGTTATGATGAGACAGTGTGTGGAATGAATGGTTTATTAAACAAATAAACGGGTTTGAGCCGCGCTATTGAAATTGAGTCTTGCTTGGCTTGTACGGTTATACAGCACGTTGACTTCATGATACCCAAGGCCGGATAATGAATAGGCATAGGGCAAGGAATTATAAATGTTTTGACGTTTCTATTACATAGGAGTGGTTGATGGAATGATCCAAGGATATGATGATCTATTCTCTCACCATGATAGGTACGTGGGTTAATGAATTGTGTCCGTGCTGAGTTGAATGTATCGTATCGTTGTACTATAAATTCTAGAACATTGTAGAATATTCCAACGACCGCTCCCCATTGGAATGGGTTAAATCTGAAGTACGAAGTATGTAAGACAAAAGCTCAACCGGAACGGGAGACAGACAAAGGCACGATAGCGTACGTATATTTGTTTATAGAGATCAGTTGGTACCATCGTCACTTGGCTATTTATTCATCCTAAATCCGTTGCCGTCGTTGTCAATAACAGTTTACATACTACCTCTATTGACGTGGTTTGAATTATTTGATAAGTCTGGCTCGCGTGCAGGAAATCAAGCTCTACATACACTACAGGCCTCTATGTATGTATTTGTTCTCGCTTGCATCGCTATTACCGACATCCTAGACCCGATTCTATCCCGATCTATCCCACATAAACCCCCGCGAACTCCACTAATTTGGTCAGATTCGGGATCATCAGATTGGGTATTGGGTATTTACCTGCAGGCCATAAATAAAGATGAATTGCTGCCATCGTAAGTTTGTTCAATAATACCTACTATTATACTACTCATACAATGTTACCCAATCCTGCAAAACTTGGCAAAAGAATTACATAGAGAATAAGCAAGCCAGCAGTCTGTGTTAGGTACATATGTAAAGGGACTGCATCTCAGGTTCAAAGTACATAGTACATAAGAAACCAAGTTGGTGGGTTGTTCTCATTGGTTCCAGGACTGTCGAGAGCTTAATAGAGACGTAAACGATTTTAGAGCTTATGGTCACCTGATTATATTCAACTGGAGATCCCGTTACAAGTATTCAATACTTGAATTATTGCATTGCAACGCATTGCAGCTGCTACACATACAGTCGAGTCTCGCCATAACGAATTTTAAAAAACATCGATATGCATTCGTTATAGAGTGAATTCGTTATGGAATACAGGGCGCACGGACCGTACAAGCACTAAAAATAGGAAGCATAGACATAAAAGTCAAAACTTAAGCCATTTTAAGAATGTATTAGCCGAAATAGTACTAAATTTAAGCTAAAATAGGCTTAGCTCTTATTTTTCATAACGAATTAGGTGGTGACTCATCTCCGAAATTAACGAATTCGTTATATGAAAAAATTCGTTAAATCCCATACAAAATTCAACAAAACACGATATCGATTCGTTATAAAGTGAATTCGTTATAGAGTAGATTCGTTATGGCGAGACTCGACTGTATAAAGTAACGCGGTACTTAGAATATCTTATCGTTCCCACTTATCCACGGCCCAAAACGTCACTCATCCACCTTCTCATCGCCAATTCCCGAATCTTCCACCAACCATCCCACCACAAAGAAAACCGGCGCTATAGTACATGAAGCTGTCCAGCTTGCCGTGCACCCAATCTTTTCCAGTTTCAGCATTATCAAAGACAAAAGAAAAACTGACATACTAGCACACTGACACACTTGACACACTTCTTGTCTTCTTTTCTTTCTTTCTTTTCTACAATATTCACAATTACCAACGTTTTCTTTACACCAACCAATTCATCGACGCCAAACAAATCCGTCGACCTCGATTCCTAGGTATTTACACACATACACACGAGATTACCTTAGGCACTCAATTACCTCATTTAGATAACAACCTCTACTTCATCTCCTCTAACTACCTACTAACAAACAACACTTTCCTATAAATCGAGCAACATGGTGAAGGAGACAAAATTATACGACCAACTCGGCGTCTCGCCGGATGCCACTCAAGATGAGATCAAGAAAGGTTATCGGTAAGCCTACCCCACTCCATCCCTAGTACACACTGTTCTTTCATCCATTCTACTAGATATTCTACTAGATACTAACCCTCCCGTAGAAAAGCAGCCTTAAAGTGGCATCCCGACAAGAACAAAGATAACCCCGCCGCCGCTGAAAAGTTTAAAGAGTGCTCGCAAGCCTACGAGATCCTCTCCGACCCCGAAAAACGTAAGACCTACGATCAATTCGGCCTTGAGTTTCTACTACGCGGCGGTGCTGCCCCGCCGCCCGGCGAGAACCCCTTCGCCGGAGCCCAAGGTGGCATGCCTGGTGGCTTCCAAGGCTTCGACTTTGGCGGTGGTATGCCGGGGGGAGGAGGCGCTCGGACATTCCGCTTTACCACCAATACTGCCGGAGGCAACCCCTTCAACTTCAGTGCACCCGAAAGTATATTTGCCGAATTTATGCGCGGTAGCGGAGGGGGTCTAGGCAAAGACGATGACGAACCCGATCTCAGCTCGTTCTTCGGTGGGGGCGGTATGCCTCGAGCTGCAGGTGGGAGAACACGCATGCGCCCTAACTTTGCCAGTGGTGATCCCTTCTCAACTGGCGGACCGAGAGAAGCGACGCATGACGTCACAACTGTCGAGCGTGCCCTTCCACTAACTCTAGAAGAATTATTCAACGGCGTCACCAAGAAGATGAAGATCAAGCGGAAGACCTTCGATGAGACGGGTAAGAGGACAACCACCGACCAAGTCCTCGAAGTTCCTATCAAGCCCGGTCTAAAGAAGGGCAGCAAGATCAAGTTCAAGGGCGTCGGCGACCAAGAGGAGGGTGGAAAGCAAGATCTACACTTCATCGTCGAAGAGGTAAGTCCATTAACGTACCCAGGACATGCATAAAGGAATGACGGGACAGAAACTAATATGGTTGATAGAAACCACACCCTCTCTTCGTTCGTGATGGCGACGATTTAATTCACACGATTGAGTTGGACCTGAAGGAAGCCTTAACTGGCTGGAGACGGACCGTAACGACAATTGACGGCAAGCAACTCAATATTGAGAAGGGCGGTCCCACAAGTCCAGGCTCATCGGATACCTACCCCGGGCTCGGCATGCCCATCTCGAAGAAGCCAGGCGAGCGGGGTAATTTCATCGTTAAGTATAATGTGAAATTCCCTACCAGCTTAACTCCAGAGCAGAAGCAGAAACTTAGGGAAATACTATAGACGGTCGGAGATTGCATAACATGATATCCAGAGTAGAAGGGACCGGTGCATTTTTGTTGTGTTTTTTGGCGTTGCAGGACTCAGCAAGCAGGAAAATCTGACGACTTTTTAACGACTACGAGGAATGAGTTGTTATTTTCTTTTTCTTCGCGCGGAGGCTATCAGCTTCCCAACCTACCTAACCTAGGTACCCAAGTATTCGATTTCGATTTCGGTTTCGGCGGAATTAGGCCCGAAATCGCGATGCAAGTCGAATCCTAAACTTCTTCGACGATGGGAACTGATGAGTATAAGTAGCTACATAGTTAGTTAACTTTTTTGTTGTTTTTTATCGTTGTTTTCGTCATCGGTCCCATGGGGATCATCTGGTACTGGTCGGATATGGATTAACAGGTTAGGTTGGTAACTAATGAATTACTGCATACTTGATAATACATAGAAGCGTGACTAATATCATTTCATACATGTTAGATTAGCTTCGTACCTAAGCACTTGTGGTAAATTATATATCGACGGTATGGAAGTCCAAGCAAGCACTTAATACCCGCTAACTCCGTCCGGGGGGGATGGCGTGGGCCTAGAGTGCGGACAGGCATTTGATACATATAACATGATATTTAGCAGGAGATTGCCAGTGGTGTGCTTGATAATAGATTTATGTGATACGGCAGCATCTGGTGGTTACATGCTAAGTAGATTGGAATCCTCCGGACAAGGATTACCTAGATGAAAAGGGGGGGAGGGCACGTGTTTTGGTTAACGACCTCAACTGTTTTATTAGCTAGGTACCTATCTAGGTACCTAAGGTAGGTTTGTACAGCAACTCTACGGTTTATTTCCGGCCAGCGGGGTTATCGTATATTTATTTTAATTCCTCACCGGTGCCTTTGCTTGCGTTGGTCTCCTTGTCATACCTACCATAGTATGTCTTTATAGGTTAGGTACATTGTCAGGGTATAGTGGGTCAGGGGTAGCTACAGGGGTCTATCTACTACATATATGAAGTGCAGACGCCCACTCTCTGCATGACAATTATCAATGGGTATTAATCTTGGCACACATGTTATTGCAACTTATAGGAACATCATGGGGGATAAGGTATAAGATTGAGAAGAGCGGGCTATATACGTAAATATAAATGAAATAATTGCTTTTTGTCGTCTAACTTCCTCCTCCTCTTCTACTCATTACTAATAAGTGATTATCAACTAAGCTTCTGGGATGGCTATTATGTCCCATTATTTCGGACTCTGGAATTTCAAGAGTCTGCGTGCTAGGTAGAATACGAGTTTCCATACGGGTACGCTCTTCCATTTTGAGATAAGTCAAATTGAGGCCAATTGTAGATGTCCTCGTTGAAACCACCGTCGCTAATGTGCTCCAAAGAAAGATCGGGTTCTAAACCGAGCTGGTTCCCCGAGGGTTCGTATAACGTCCCATAATCTGTGATGTCCTGTTGAGAGGGCGAGTCCTCTATGGTAATGTCGTTCGAGATCACGGGAGATTGTTGTGCTCGGGGGTTAGAAGTCTCTGACGACTCGTCGTCGCCTGAATGCTCGTTGGGGTAGGAATCCCAGATTAGGGATTCGGCTTCGAATCTGTCGAAGATGGTATCCATGACGTTTTGGACTATTTCAGGTTCTATTTCGCGTTGCGATGACCCCCCCTGCAGGACGTTGCGTATGATCTCTTGGTGTCTTTGGTTCCAGAAACTCCGAAGCAGCGGTAGTAATTCCTGCCGGCCGACACCGAGGTACGGCAATAGGGGTCGGCGCTCGCCGGGAAAAATTGTATCCCACATGCAATACCATCGTTCCGTGTCGTCTTTCCCACGGTTGGCACTTTGGTTTAACTCCTTTCTTTGCTGCTCCGATAGCCCATCGAATTCCGGCTCGCTCCTAGGGGTGCAGGTTTTCTTTTGCATGTGCCTGTCTCTCTCCTTCTCCCTCGAAAATACTCGGAAGCAAACGGAGCAGTAGACGGTAGGCTTCATGTGCCTCCTGTAGGTATGTTGCTTGACATCCTTAATGCGCAATAATTTATATTTTGCGCAGCTGGAGTATCTCACTGGGTCCTTCTTATACCAGGGACATGCTAGCCATCTCTTCCTTGGACACCCACCACCATTGTCAGATTGTATAGTCTGCTTGCTCTGGGATACTTTCCCGGCTGGGTCTTCTTCACGGCCCCACGGCTGTGGGGACTGTGCTGCTGGTACCCCTTGTCTCTCAATGCTTGTACTGAAGTGTTGATCTTCGTAGTGATCTTTGTAGTTTCTCTCGACTTCACGTAAACCTCCAGTGCTCGAGCTTTCTAAATTTTCGAGGTCTGGAAGTTTGCCCGTCCTATTTTCTTCTTTTTTCGGGATGCTGCTAGTTTGACATTCGATGAGAGGTACTGGAGGTAAATCTTTCTCGGTATTATAAATACTATACAGCGACTTATCAAAATTTGCCGTTTCATTTGTCGTACATTTGTGTTGCGAAAAGCACGGACATTCCGCCCGAGATGTAGGGTTGGGCAATGAGCCGGATAAGTGTTCTGAGCCGATCGAATCATCATAAAGGCTACCGAGCTTTCCCTGAAAAGGGCAAAGCTTCTCCGATAAGTTACGTGCTAGGATGACCTCTGGACAAGGTGAAGGAGAGCACCTATATCCAATTTCCGGAACACAATGGCAACCAAACTCTCCTACGTCAAGATCAAACAAGAACCTATCATATGTAGGAAGTAAGTTATTACCTTGTGGCCTTCGACTGACGTATCCTTGAACTCGCCTGAATAGGATTTGTCCTTCAGTCACATTAAGCACTGATATCCTATCTTGCTGAATTCGATGCACTAGGATAGAATTAGTACATGGGCTGGAATGGGAGAGACTTAGGTACTTAATTCTTGCGTCTCGATAGACTCACTTCTTATCGTGTCCATATCCAGATAATTCATATTGCCATATATACTATGTCCCCCATCACCGATTTCTAGTGGCCATTTCTGGTGGGATATTTTGGCCAGTGGTCCACGGTGGTATATCAAAGCTCTACCTCGCCTCCTGATTTTTCCAGGGGATTCATGGGTTACTTTAGGCATGATTTCTACCTCGATGCTTTAATGCTTAAACTGTTGAAATACTATTGAAAACTACCATAAAGAAAAGAAAAGATGATGGTAATAAGAAGGAGGAAAAAACGGAGAGGAAATTCGACAAGCCTTAGTGTCAGTAAGCATAACAACCCTAAAGATTCTGTCACGCCTTTAATCATGACATTTGATTTCTACTTTCATCGCAAGGCTCTCGCGAGAGCCTGCCTCTAGATCGCATGATCCTTGCAAGTATTGCTCTACCGTACATTGGTAATTAAACCCCCCGGGGTTGATTGGGCGAGAACAATGGTGTACGCAAGTGCGTATGCAGCCTGCTTAAAAGGCTTAGGATATCACATACCTTGAAAACTAAGGGAACTCCGAGGAGCGCTCTACTGAACGCCACCTCCCTTAGCGTCGGGGGTGTGAGGGGGTAACTGGCATGAACATTTGATCATTATTATATCTACGTTCTATTCACCGAAGATTGATCCAGTAGGCGGTGTTATGCAATGATTGGATTGGCACCCAATGCTCAGAGCAGCGCTTTTCCCTTTCTTATCTGCCATTACCAATCGCGATTTCGCTTTATAAGCTACCTATCCATGGTATTTATTTCTAAACGTTTAACTTCATTCTTGATTAAATGCAAAAGCGAGGCCTCCTATATAGATTTAAGGCAATTTTTAAGTTTCTATTTTAGGTCGAACTGCATGGATAGGAGTGACCGGCATCTCGAAGCTTATGGCACTTCTCCCTATTGCCTAGAATTATCTTCCTTTTACGTCCAGTCATACCTATCAAGAGGTCTTCCGTCACATAAAATAGTGCTTGGTTCTTGGTTTATTTCGTAGTGACTTTCTATGCTAAATCCCGCGTTTAGAAAAGAAGCTAAATGATATACGTGACCATGGCAAGGCTCGGGTTCGTAATTGGGCTCTTTGGATATTGGCTTATGATTATTTGTACCGTAGCATTGGGTCATGGAACTATATGGCTCGATAAGTGTTTGATTATAGATACTAAAATAGAATATTACTAATTCATCAACACGTTTATTTAAGTACACTGCAGTGCCAAATGCAACATAAAAGCTCATCCACATCACATTTCTACTCTTCACACAAAAGCGTATAGACGCCTCATGACTCTAAAATTTATTGTAGGATTCAATTGCTGGTCATATCGCCTCTGATCTAGATTGACGATGCACAACTGTGAAGGGTTTTCTAAACTCGAAAGCAGGCTTATACGGGCGATTCAGGGGCTGCCTTATCCACTCTATATGCCCTTAGGATTACGTATGGTGAGTACGGCTGACTTCAGGGTTGAGAAGATGCGTTTAAACTTTTTAGTTTTTATCCTTCATGTTTATACTTCGTTTCTATAGGCCTAAAACCAGTCATTGACCGAAATATGAGGCTCGTGATTTTTATTACATGTGGGCTTGGTGCTCTCTCCTGCATATCAACGCGCTTTAGTCTCATGATTAGGCTTACTTGCACAGACGCGTAGCTTCGTGCTATGCTATAATATATAGTATATTTAATATAGACGAACTGAACACCTAGTAGGCAGCCCAGGAGAACGCCTCGGAAGACGAACAGTTGTGTAGTAGGAGCAAAATTGCAGCATTGGACTTGTGAATTATTGGTGAGAATACAAGTCAGAAAAAATTGGCGTACGCAGAAGCGCAGCACGTATTGCTGTCGAGGAGGCAATGCACACTCATGCGAAGACTGAATTGAGATTACAAAAGGATGTTTCGTAGTATGAATCTTCGATTTGAAAACCTTCATTCTCTATTTCTATAAATTTCTATTGAGCTTTCAGCCTGGCGGAGTTTCACCGAACTTCTATTACTATAAGCTTCACGAAATACAGCTTGCCTTGACGGAGAGGCCGAAATAGGTCGACGACAATGGAAATGGAAATAATAAGCAAAGCACAATGTGAGACGGGGCCATGCATCATGGACCCGACAGACACAGACAAGCGAATTGTAAACTTGGGAGATCCGGGCGAGGTATGTAAGATTTTTAGATTCAGCAGGCGACGGTTTATATACCCAAGTTATAACTATACTAACTAATATGCGTTATGCTAGGTACTTGCACTTAATGAGAGAATGAAGTGCCACTTGGAGACCAGCAAGGAATTTATGCGGTCCACTAGCAAGCCCACTAGCCGACCCCCTGAAGTTTGCATTCGGGATCTTGCAGTAGCGTCAAAGTTTGAACTCTGGAGCAAACCCACCTGTTCGGGTCCAGGTGTCGAGGAAGTATTACAGGCTCTTGCTCATTATGAAGATTCATGGTTGGACGCAATCCTCATCACTCACGCCTCGCGACCATATCTCTGGGACGGTCCTCTAATAGACCAAGGCGAAGGAGAAGGCCGTGGAGCCAATAATGGTTCCTCTGGAACTTTGCAGGACCACTCGCACCAACCTCCAGGTTCTAGCGGAAACCCCAGGAAACAACGCAATAAAAGGGGCGGCGGGGACCATCCGGAGCGACAACCCCAAAAGCGTCGTTCTGTCGCATCCGCCTCGAGCCGGAGTGAAAATAGGCGGCGGTATGCGTGTCCCTACTTTCTTCTTGACCCGTCGGCACACGTCCAATGTCTCGGTTATTTCCTCCACCGGGTCGGCGATGTGCGCCAGCATTTACTTAGACAACATTTACAGCCGATTCATTGTCCCCAGTGCGGGCTCATATTCAAGGGGCAAACCAAAAACGACGACCGTGATCAGCATATCAGGGCGAACAACTGTGACATTCGAGTCTTTAATGCTCCTCCTGGCATGACGGCTGATGCTGTTGAGAGGATGAAAGATGCAGCTAGTGGAACTTGCGCTCGTGATGACGCAGCGAAGTGGTTTGAAATTTGGCACTGCATCTTCCCAGGACATGACCAGCCTGAATCTCCCTATCTCCCTAACGAGATCACTATCGCATCATATCTCATCCAAGAATACCAAAATCTGCCTAATATCCATATTGCTCAGTTGCTCTCGCTAGTTCGTCCAGGTACGCAAGAAGAGGCCTACGTGCACATATATAACATGCTCGCCGCCATACCTCTTTATTTTACGCAACGTACGGGAGGATCTATCAACGACGGCCAAGACAATGACTATATTCCGGGGGACGTTCCTCTCCCCCAGTCACCCATCAACCCAAATGGCCATCCGAACCCATCAGTGTCGTTCCCTCAATCATTCATAGCCCCTCAAGATTCCGTCTTTAACTCTCCTGAGAACCAATTACCCCCTATAGACGAGAATGAAGGTGTCAGCCCTGACTTATTGACCAACCCCGTTTGGCAACCTCCCTTCAGGTAGTGATTATGCACAATAGGTACCTAACCTACCTAAAGGTACAATACAATACCTGACAACTAGCGCTGAACATGCGGGGTTAGCGTCTTGGAATATCAAGGTTGTGGGGTAGTTGTGGGGGAACGCTAAAACTTGAGGAATCTTGTAGAGCATAACTTAAAACCATGGCTCCCTTTCATTTCTATTGCGGTTAAACTTTAATCGTTTCAATGTATTACCTAGTTAATTATTGGACGTATATACTTATGGCGGGTCCGGCCAACAGAGATAATAAATATCCGTATTACGTACCTAGGTATCAATTGGAATTGGTGGTAGTGTATACTTATTTATTGCATGAATGTGATTTACTAATATCTATTCCGTACATACCTCCTTAGGTACCTAGACTACCGCCAGTTTAGGATACCTGATCAATTACTTATCGGTTTCTTCTTATCAACTTCCGGGATCCTTTAAGAAGTCAGAATGCGATCCAGCAATCCAATTGATAGTTACAAGGCATATAGCAACAGAAACATCTAACATACATATTAGGTAATCAACCCCTCTAAATTTACATAAACTATCTATAGGTACCTACATATGCAAGCTACCTATATAAGACGTCATTGCCCGAGCTGATACTTAGGTAATTGCATATCCACAGCCCTACCTACGCAAGCGTACATGCAGAGTTTTCATTGAATGAAGGTAATACCATAAATGCCACCCTAATTATAAGCAGAAGGCAGATTGGGGGCAGTGAAGGAGTATTCTTATACCATAATGTAAATACTAATAATCTTAAATCCTATACTATACACTTTAGTTGTAGGCAATAATTCGAAGCACAATTGAAGACATGAAGCATCAATTTCTCGGTACGTTTCAGCTCCGATATGCTTATAAATATCATGATGGTCAATTAATAAATGTCCACATATTCCACTCTACATCAACTCATCAAGCTTAGATACACGTAGAAAACTATATATTTAAAAGCCCTCACAGATTAATGATGTATAATTACTACAAGACTCACCTCTACAACATCTCTCAACATGACCCCATACCGGAAAGCTACAACATCGATGAAAACGACATCGATTTCTTTGAATCTACTTCGCAAGAGCCCCTAGTTCTGGTGCCTGACCACCCATTGGCACGAGTGGTTGATGAGCTTAAGCTATCCGCTCTGAAGGAGTTCTATCTTGAGGGTCAGTATAGTAACGATCTGTGCAAAGGATTTATAAGCTGACCAGTTCTAGAGAATCGTTCCGAGACGTTCCCCCAGAGGAACTTAGGCGTGGAACAGAGAGCCGATAACTCTCGAGGCTCTATCCTGAGAGACGCCCAATTTCCTCTGAAACGCCAATTTGCATGTCCATTCTACCGATGGGACCCAATAAGACACATGTCATGTTTCACGAGATTGAGCCTCCGAGGGATTGCAGACGTCAAACGGCACCTCTGGAACGCTCATAAGCTGCCGCCTTATTGCCCAATGTGCGGTAAAACTTTCCCCACAGTGGCTCGTTGCGATGGCCATATTCGACGCCGAAATTGTGTCTTACGGGAGTTGCCGACACCCGAGGGCATAACCATACAACAGGTTCAGCAACTAGTCCAACCTACCGACGCCGGGACACCCGAAGAACTGCAATGGCTGTCTATCTGGACGATCGTTTTCCCCGGGGCAGACTTGCCAGCTGTAACTTACCCTTCGGGCGTCGTAGAGTCTACAGTTTGCCAATTTCGAGACTACTGGGCGTATAACGGAGAAAGGCTTGTGTCTGACTTTCTCGAAGCGAAGGGCCTCCACAATTACAATCTACAGGATGAGGACCACAGTTTTGCAGCATTGTGCATCACCGTCCTCTACCAAGCAACTGACTATCTAGTTGAGAGTCTATCGCACGAAACCTCCAACGAGTCCATCGGAGAGCCAAGCAGGTCTTAACACCATCAACTCACTAATATTTTCTATGTCGGAACCAACATTAGACTGTACGATACAACTCATGGTTCGGGGGGAGGGGGGCGGATCCGGCATCACTTGGTTATTGGATTTCTTTGTCTTACGTTTGGTGTTTTGGCCTTCTGGAAAGGCAAATATGTTAGAAAAAATGCATTCAACTACTTTAGAGTGGCAACGGGCTATATGCGAACGGCGCATTGATTTTTACAAGGATGCGATCAATCGCAGTTGACTAGAATCTTATACAGATAGCCCAAGCTACACTCTTGTACATTAGAAACTCATTATACTCCATTATTATACCAGCGTCGAGATATACCCGTCATAAATGTTATAATAGATTAATATATGTTATATATATATCGATTAATTAAATACAAATAGCAGATTAGTGACAATGGACTTGTCGTATATGAACAGAAGGCAATGGAATAGGAGATCTAGACAGGTACCTTCCATGAAAGCGAGTTGCTACCTAATGCAAACAGTCGACGGTACTATATAATCACGTAACGCAGGTGTTCTACCGCTTTGTTATCTATCGATATATATCTCAGATAGCACATTTCCTAAACATGGAGTCAGGACTATTGAACTCGCAGCGCTTATTGTTATCAGGGCATAAGTGGGTCAGGGGTGAATTCGGGGGCGGATCTACCATAGTTAGGTACCTAAAGTATATAAGAGGAGGAGTTAATAGTTTAATTAATCTGATAAATACATCAAACCATCAGAATCGATGTCTGAAGTTCAAGTAGAGCAAGACCATCTAAACACCCTCGTTGTGGGTAATCCATAGGCATATTGACATACTGCCTTCCTTATAAGATACAATTCCACTTCGAATACGCCCTATCCGATAAAATTCCCTAAGGATATCCTACGCGACGGTCGTTAGGAAGCAAAACTATAATAATATCAGCCCTCGTCGCCCAACAGGATGCCCACGCAATAGGTACCGTATGTAAGCTATTCAGGTGCGCTGATAGCATTGTAGACACCGCATCTATGAACCGTGATAAGTTGATAAAGATCTTGTAGGAACGGCCTTCGTAGGCCTTGTCAAAGTTTATATCGAAACAGAGATACAAGCCTAGTATATAGCTAGACTCCCGCCATGCAAGAACGGCCAAATCGGAGGGGATATCGTCACCAGCAAGGGTTCCTAGAGCGATAATAATCTCCATAGAGGATAGTTTAAAGTATAAAGGGGTTCTTCTGGCTTATGTGGATAGCCGATGGCGCTAGAATATCTATATTTCAGAAGCTTCCTCGCAATACCGAAGCAAAAGCAGGGCGAGCGTTGCTAAAGCTAGCAACAAACAAGCGACCCATCTCGTGCATATCATTACAAAAGATATAGCACTTGATAAGTATTATGTGGATATATCACAGTTCTTATTTAACACGGTGTCGCAAGACCCTGGTTTGGATACAAGTGATAAGAGATAAAGTCTTGTTGTTTCGTTAAGCAGAAGAGGAATATAGTCCAGCTAAGTCTAGGACGCCATACTCTTAACGTACAAAGGTTCTACAAGGGGACTATGTGTAAGATGTAATATAGCTCCGAAAATGACCGTCCTATAAGTTGCCGAAGTTATTGTACCCGGTTCACATCCGAATTTACTATCATCGGTAGAATATTAATCACATGGCATAATTTGAGGAGGGATTGGCAATTAAAGGCCTTGATTGATCAGTGGATAACGAGTGTACTAGGTCTATACTTGGTGTAACCTTGAAATGGGTAGACGAAAAAGACCCTGCGTCGAAACAAATACTGAAATCGTCCATCCAAAGTGATTATTACGGTTAAATTTCCTTCGCAACCATGCCTGCTAACTTTACCGAAGTCCCGGTAACCCAATATAGAAGCGAAACAAATCAAGAATGAAAAAGATTGGACATAGGGGTTACCAACAGTCCAATTGGCCCTTAGATGTCCTCCCCGACGCGGGGTCCACTTCCACCAACCCAATCTTCTCGCTCATAGTACCGAAAGACAAGTTCGTAATCGTCAAAATCGTGGACAATACGGTCAATGCGCCGGTATCCGGGGATCTTCTCCATACGCTTGCTGCGACCGATCCCGGTTGGGATTTCATCATTGTCGTACGTATGGACTGCCTTGGCCTCGAAAAGGGTGACGCTGAATCGTCCAGGCTTGAAGATACGAACCACATGGTCAATAATTTCCGAGGTTTCACGTCCGTTTTGACCACCTGGAACATTCGTTTCGAAAGAAGCAAATGAGCAGATAGGTTCGGGCGTCACATGCACAGTGAAATAATGAGTGGACTTAGCATTCTCATCAATTTCCTGATTCTGAGGAGCTGGGATAATGCCGTTGGCTGAAAACCCGCACGGAGTAAAGAGGTAGGCATCGATACGGGCATCCGGATATTTAGAAGTGGGATACACGTCCGAAAGACCACAAGCGTCCGAAACCACAGTCCCAAGCGCGTGGCCTTCCGTAGTCAGGCACTCAGCGTCCGCTTGCTCAGAGAACGGGGTATGAGTATCATGCAGATCAGAGTCGCTTCCGTTGCTAAACACGTCGACCGTATCGTCGAACACGCTGTCGACCGTGCTTGTAGTTTTAAGCGTAGCGGTACTGGCAGATAGGTCTCCAAGGCTGTCAATAGCCATCTGTCGTGCTTCCTGAACCTGTTCAGAGAGCCTAGTGCTCGCGACCGCACTCGCGTGCTCTAGGTAGAATTTCTTCGCATTCTCTGGATCAAGGTCCGTCATCAAAATCTCGAGTGTTTCGTCGTTACCCTCCAAGCTACCATTGAAGGCAGAAGTCAAGCCAGTGGGAATCCTGAACGTGCTGGTAGGACTCGCAGCTACCTTTTCACCGTCCGGCGTACGAGGTGGCGTCAAGCTCATTGACGGCGAGGTGATATATAAGTACCAATGATCACCATTCATTTTCCCGACCATATAAGCACTTCCTCCCTCGAACATGTCGTCAAGATACTTAACTTCCTGCTTCCAGCTGCGATGGGGTCCCTGTTGCTTGTGAGGGAATAGGAAGTTCTTTCGCGAATAGAACACCCGATAAGGCGTAGCGGCAGCACGGATGTCGCTCATTGAGGTAGCATTGTGGAAAGGGAATCCGGCATGTTCAGCAGCGATTCGGAGGAGCCTGTGGAGGCCAAGAAGAAGAGTAGTGGTTCCGCACGTCTTAAGAATAAGTTTGTGGGGAAACACAAACATGCTGGACTCGGAGAGCAAATATGCATCCATGTGCTCTGCTTCAAGAACCGATAGGATCTTGCAATTGACCATGTCGAGCATTCCAACCCAGGTCTCACTGGAGACCGACTTCAAGCCATTCTCCTTGACTCCGGGTGGGAGGGATTTCGGGTTAGGAGCAAACCAAACCTCGAGCAACTTTTCCGGGCCTAAGGACTATTAGCATTCGTCTACTAATGGAGCCGAAACATCTTACCTTCAAAGGCATTGGTAGAGTCTATATCTGCAGCAACATCGTGATTGATTGTCAAATGCGGCGTGCCCTCAGATGGCGAAAATGTATAGTTGGTGGGGATCTCGAGGTTGATCATCTCCGTACGGATACCCTAGAGGCGAGCAGCCGAGACGATTTAAAGGAGCCGGCTTGTCGTTCTAATATCGGGATGTTTGCTGCAGGTGAGGTACTGTAGCGACCGCGGAGCACTGACTGCCGCCCAAACGAACCTTGCGGTGTTCGTTTGAGAGAGTAGGCCCACAGGTTAATGTGAAACTGTAAATGCTGGCGGAGCCAGCTACAATGGCAATTGTTTTCTTAACGTCTCACGAAGAGGACGTTAGGGTGGTCGAGCTCGGAGGGGGAGAAAGAAGACCTTTGACCAAGGAATGGTGACGCCTTGTTTAGAGCCTCGTTCTGGCAGAAACCGATACCTGTGGGGGAGTATCGGACCTAGCAGACGAGGGTATCTGCAAATACGGTAAGAATAGAAGAACGGACGACAAATAAAGCTGGCGAGTTCTAGTCGAATGCTTTCGAAGCTAGTGTTATCTGGGTCTGTAGTAGAGAAAGAGATGATTAACTAGAGCTCGTGTGAATACACTCTTGGGATCATTAGGGAATTAATACTTTGCGGGCTTAGAGAGGAAGCGGAGTAAATCTGCTGGGCTCATGGAAAACCAGGCCTTATATCAGAAAGGTAGCGTTCTCTCCCAAGGCAGGCTATGGGTGCCGAGGAGTACTACGTTGTTAAAGTATGAATAATTTCGATGTGCTTTGACATTGACTATTATCGCCAAGCCCTGCAACGAGATATTCCCAGTTGATTGTATCGTGTGTCGTGTGACGCCGGCAGCGATCCGAGCGCGAGTATGGACAAGTCGTAGGTAACAAGAAGTAAGTTGATAGTTGCAAGTAAATGGTTTGGTTCTACCTCTTCGATAGAGGGAACCTGGTGGCGGTATTTGAAGTACGCTTTAAGCAATTGGGGGCTGAACAACAATCAGTGAGTAAAAAAAGAAATTGTTCAAGTAGGCAGGTAGGAGAATTAATAAATTGTTTACTCGACAAATCTAAATTCGGGGGGGCAGAGAGAAAGTTTTAGTGCGAAGGTTTGGAATCAGGTCGTGTATCGGTGAAAGAGATTTTCAAGGTACTTTGAAAATGTACTGCGGCTAAGGGCATGTGCTAGGTACCCCTTAGCTCCGATTCTAGAAACATAGAAAATTTCACAACTTTGCATACATAGAAGCGAAAAGCTAATTCAATGTTGTGGGCGGCAAGAACGGCCATGTACCTAATGTACATGTGGTACCAGCTGTAGGGTAGGTACCTGATTTTGAAACGATTGGGTAGGTGTGAGGTCACTACTATGCCCAAAGTGGAGAACCAACTTTTGAATGGACCGGAATGGGGGCCACCTGACGGGATGTGTATGGATTGTACTACCTATCATGGAAATCTGTCAAATATCAAAGATGCGAAATAAAAAAATGTATCGAATTGTCAAATCGATTCCAGTTTTTCTTTCGTGCCTACGAGTGCGAACGTAGCATTACGCATTGCCACCACAACCTTTAATTTCCTGGTTGCTAACTTAAATTTCGTTACACACGAACAAAAGAGCTCGGATCGTAACTCGACTCTGCATAAATTATGTAACTCTTAGCGCAATGGTCACAGTCAGAAGAAGGTTTCCACAGCCGCGGGATTTGGAGAATGCAGGTCACTTGAATAATAAAAATTCTCTTCTTTTTTATCTTTCTTTTTTTTGCTCTAGATAGCCCTATCGTTACAATGATGACGGATGTCACGCCCCTGACCGGCCTGCGAGATATAGATCGTTATAGGTCGGCATTAATGCCAGCGTCGCAGAAACTTGCTTCTCCACAAGTACGCGGTATATGATTGATAGCGATACAGAAATTAGTTGTAGCGATAGCTGCCCAACCATTAAAAAAACAGACATGTTGGCCTCTGCACGCCTAGGAGCTATGTATCAGATCTTAATATACATGCCCCCTTCGGTCGTATCGATGTAAGATTCCAGGTAGATGAGAGAACTTAGGCTGATAACAATATGTCCGACATCATCCGATGGCTGTGACGATATCTTGCGTAATCCTTTTGAAGATAGGCTCGAGGGAACACTCAAGGTATTTCTCTGCAAGTAGACCGGCTTCTCTCGTTTCTGCAGCCGGTGTGTCTGTATGCCCATTTTGATGTGTCTCAGAGAAGTCTTGCCCGTCGATAACGGTCCCTTTAGGATATCGTGGTCGTCTTCCCGTTTCGATTAACATAACAAACTGAGGGTCTATGGGGACACCTCCTAAAAAGCGCACATGGAAGTCGTCTGCCATGATTTGGCCTCCTCCTTTTCCAAAAATGTTGGTGCATTCAGCGCAGTTTGGGCACACGAACCCGACCATGTTTTCAATAACACCGACGACCGATATGCCTGTCTTTGCGCAGAAGTTTAACTCCTTTCTGACGTCCGCCGTAGCAACTGCTTGGGGTGTAGTCACCACTACCGCACCGGCAACCTGACCAGATGATGCATCTTTCAGTAGTGTTTCGGCAAGTGATATATGCTCATCAGACGTCCCTGGGGGTGTATCGATGAGCAGGAAATCTAGTTCTCCCCATAATACATCCGAGAGAAATTGTCGGACCATGGCAGTTTTCTTGGGGCCTCGCCATACAACTGCGTCGCCTCTTCCACGCAATAAGAAGCCAAGGCTCATGCATCTTAGTTCGCCTATACCGGTCTCGGGGTTCGCAGGATGCACGGTCACGGGAAGCCACCCTCCCGGCGCTTGAGTAACTTTCGCATCTTCGATGTTAAACATACGCGGCATCGAAGGCCCAGTAAGATCGACATCAAGGACACCGACAGAGTACCCAGAGAGAGAAAGGGACAATGCGAGCTGCGTGGTCACAGACGATTTCCCTACACCTCCCTTGCCAGAGAGGACCTGTGGATTCACATATTAGAGCGTATCATTTAGCATGAGGGTTTTTGGTCCAGATGCACATACTAGGAGAATATGCTTAATTTTTGCGAGTGACATTGCTAACTAGATCTAGGCATAGGTAGACCTAAAGAAGCAGCATTAAATAACAAAGTAAAGGTAAGTTCCAGAAATGAGAAAACATTTCAAGGTGGTTGAAAGGGCTTCATTCTGCATATTCATTTCTTCATACAAATATGTAAGGATGTACCACTTACTTACTAAAAGTTAGAAGATTCGGCCTCTGCCGGCATCGCATTTATCAGCAGGAGATACAAGTGTTATGTTAAGTAGCAATTTCACCCCGCCACCAACCCCACCACAATTGGATTCAAATGACGAAATAGGTACCTAAATGTCTCTTAAGCTTAAAATAGATCAAAGTTCAGGTACAATACCTGCCTTATATATTTGAGCCACAGTGGCTGTAGTAACGTGGCTAATACCTAGGTACCTTCAGGTACGTACATTCCTTCGATTAACCCCAGCTGTTCCGAGCCAAGAATGAATTGACCCCCCTTAATCCCCCTTGATCCCCGTTCATGCGAATGTGTAAAACCCGACCCCTAAATCTGTCTTTCGCGTCTTCTCATTAGTGGTTGGCAAGGCGTCGACAATCGCGCTCGAGTACCGAAGCGTAGCACGACTAATCTTGGCAACTTATCTCGCAACCAACTTTTTGCATGAAGTAGACAAAAACATGCCTCATTACACAGTTTGTGCTCTCCAGCTTCATTGTTGCATCCACGTATAAGCTATAAGTGTAGCTCTGGCTTCGTTACCGAAAGTCGCCCCGTTCGCAACCAACAATGACCATCGCCTTGAGCGATCATGGACGATCCCTGGGGCTCGCCTTGGGCACTACCAGAAACGACAGCCAAGAATGACCCTCCGGCACCATCACATCCGAAAAATCTACTTAGTCCACCCCCAAGAGCTTTCTTCGGTAGCGCATCAAACTTTCAAAGCCAATCTCCATGGGCGATCGAAGATGGGCTCGGAGATTGGACTGGTACAGAGCAGACGGATGTTGCGGCAAATGCGGTGGATTGGGGCGTATGGGCAGAACCATCTCCGTTGATTTCGCAGCCAAGTCCGAGGCCAGACGAATTTGGGAAAGGGAGTTCGGTTGCATTACCCAGCAGCGCCGCGACATCTCCAGGGCTAAGACCACTCCCGCGATCTCGAACTTCTTCCGTATACCGACATCACTCGCCAGATCCGTGGGCAACCGAAGTATCGCTACACGATAGGAAGGACGACTCTTCAACGCCTGTGAACGCACTAGGGATCAGCAACATAGATTCCCAGCATGAATTAAGCAAACCCCCTGTGCTAGCAGTACAAAAGCAAGATACCGCAGCCATCCAAGAAACAAGGGAGGATAATAATAGGGTAAAGGAGGAGAGTGAACATATCCCAGCTGGTGGATCGCAATTGTGGGAACTACCATCACCATCATCAAACGTCCAAAAACGTCAAGATTCGGGATTTGATTCGGCGCCTAAAATCGACATTCAGGATGCTCTATCTAGACCACCATCTACAATTTCGCTCAATAGCTCTAATGAGTTGGACCATCAGGACTCTCCAATCACGTCCATAGACGAAGATACTAGGTCACGCCTCCAGAATCGTTCTAGGAAGGCTTCAGGCAAGGTCCAGGAGCTTGTGGGATTGTACGATGGTTTAACAAAAATTCCCACAGAAGACCCATCTGCATCAACGCAGCTTGAGCCGCCAAGGGGGGAGAGCCGAAGAGGGTCGAGATCACCGAGTCAGGCCAGGAGCACAGGCGGGGACACCGATTTTGGCGACTTTGAAGACGTGCGGAGTGAGGATGGCGAACCAGCTTTTGATTCAAACACTCCACTGGCTGCTCCTAAAAGATCATATACGCCTACACCTCGGTCCGAAGACACCTCTATCGAGGACCACATCAGTGAGCCCTTAGGGCACAATCCTGCATCAGCAGCAACTGTCTCCGTACCAGTTCAGCAGCTTATTGACAAATTCGGCCCTATACAGTTTGATATTGACTTTCAATTAGTTGATAATCTCTTCCCTGATCTTACCCAGGATTTAAAGGAGGATGGAAATACAAGAAAGAGCAGCGATATCCCAGATCAAATCATTAGGGATAGTTTTACGACAATTTCAGAGCGTAAAACTTGGTACCGTCTCTCCCGTTATGGGTCAATGCGTAAGCATGACTTAGGAGATGATGATAACTACCACAGAGTAGAATGGCCGACATCCCGTCTGCACGGCGATGTTATAAAAATCGTTAGAAGATGGATGGAGGAGGATTCGATATCTGGACGGGTCACACTTGGGGCCGGTATACGGACGAGTGTCTTTAACTGGGATTCCTCTGCGGCCCCCGTCGACCTAGGTAAAGTATTCGCTCGCAAGGCGTCTACCACTCACTCGCGAAATACTTCACTCCCAGCAACAAATCTCTCCTTGGAACAGCCGGCGCGTTCAGCAATTTCTCATTCTAAAGTGACGCCAATAAAAAGTCCGATCAAGCCCCCCGATATGACCCTCAAAGCTCGACCTGCTTCCATTCCCAGTTTCAATTGGAGTTTAGACACTAAGTCACCCCCTATTACGCATTCAATCACCAGCAACGATGACGGTGATGATCACGTAAGCTCTACACACCAGACCATATCAGCAACCGCTGCGGCCGAAGCTACAATCCACACCGCGATTCAAACACCGGCACATCTAAGTCATGGAGAGGCTAGTGAGGAGAATGAAGAAGATGACTGGGGTGAAATGGTGTCGTCGCCTCGGGTAGAATCTCAGCATGGCCCCACCCCCATGATACAGTCAATAGGCAACACGAATAGCGCTCCCTTAACTTCAGCTAGTAGTGCCGCTAACACACCTACGACCGACACAAAGAGCGTACCAATGGCTCAAAGCGACAGTTCAACGTCTAAACTTTCTATTTCGATACCCCAGAATACTCCCCCAGCACAAGTTTCTAGTCGGCCAGCATCCTTGACCGTGAAAACACCAAAAATAGACCCATGGTCTACCGCAGATTTCTCCACATTCGAAGGTATTTCCGCACAGACGCCAACGTCGTCGAGGCAAGATACTTGGCCCTTTGCCGATTTATCTGTTTTCGCATCGCCAGCGTCCGGATCAACACCAGCTTTGACGCATTCTCCAATCTCGAAGTCAAAGCTTAGTTTAGATTCCCACGACAGGAGTGCCGTTCAGGCGAGTATCAACGAGGCCAAAAGGCCTAAAACTCCCTTAAAAGCTGTCCTTGGTCCGATTGAGAACAAGATAGACAAACAAAACCAGGAGAAGGTTGTCAAGAGTATTGTACAAAACCTACCCGATCTATCATATATGCTGCGTTAGCTCGTTGCTGGACGAGTTTATTTTTGCTTGGATATTAGACGGAGTTAAAACGATGGCGGCAGCTGATTATTCAGTTGTAGGATAAGTTTATCGGATCGTTTCGAAACCTCGATGCTTGGAATAAACAACACGGTAGTCATTTCTTGGGTATGAAACGAAGCATTGCTTTAGGCGTTCAAGGATTTGTGATTATGATATTATATCCTGTACGCCACAAGAGCTTTTACATTCCAGACCGGTCAACCGGTCAACCGACCAATGAGAATAATATATCAATACTTAATACCTAGTCGTCTCTTCTCCCATATAGCCAACCAATCCCCAGGATTCCTCGACCTCGGATAACTACCTAAAAGCGCAGTGTTGAGCTAATGGTGGAATTTGAGACTGAAAGTGTTGCATAAGCCACCGTTTCTTGAGGCTCAATGCAACCGTTTTGCTGGTTTGGTTAGCCCCTTGTTTTACAGGGGCTTTTAGCGCTGCTTATTTAATCCTCTTAACGTGGCTTTGGCACGACACTTCTAGGACCCAGCCAATAAGCCAGCAATAAGCCAGCACCTGGAATGTACCATCAGCCCACCATAATTGCAACTTTCCATTAGATTTCCGTAACGAGTCCCGCCCGACCAGCCGACATTGAATTTACGACGTTGCACTTCCCCTTATGGACGCGGCCTAATCCGTGATTCTTCAACTCTAAACATGTTTAAAGGTAAGTGCCAATGACAAGCTGGGACAGCCAGGGGTAGGTACGTGTAGTTTTCTAGCTACATAAGGAGGTAGGTAAGTGTGTATGTATAAGTGTTGTTATAAGCCCATAAAAAAGTTCGAGGCCAACGTGCTTCATTCTTCACCATCAATGTCGCCACTGCAAGCGTACTTGCGTTTTCCTTCATTCCACGACATGGCCTGGATTAGCCATTCGCAGTCGTTTTCCCGCCTCTTGGATTTCCTTCACATGAATGTATTATAATATCTCTATGCATTTAGATTGTTTCTCGTTTTGTTGCGGTTTTTCTTCTATAGAAGATATGATATTCAAATACGAATCGGTATCTTTCCTCCTTTTCATCAGTTATTACTTTTCAACTTCTGAATCGAACAGTTGGCTGGCCCTACTAATACATAAACGACAATCCCATGGCGCTTAAGAACAAGGATGAAGAGCAAGGTTCCTCGGTCAGCGACCACCATGCAGAATTACTCTACAAGTCTCTCGAACAGTATAACCAGGACCAGAAACAGAGGAAGCGGCCTTCATTCGTTCTCGCCGCTCTTATATTCCTCTTTCTCTCGTCTGCGGGAGGGCTTTCCCTTGCGATAGTACTTATGTTGCAACCGACTGAGGTTAAATTTACATGTATATCGCGAGACCTGGTATTATTCGCGTCCGCCATAGCTCTATTATATATATGCCTTCATATCAGAGGAGCCAGGAGAAACTATAAGAGAAAAGGACCTGGACCGCCTCAAATATACGGACATTATCTTCATGCCAGCGCACTTCTTATTGCAAGGCTTGCCATTGTTATATGGATAGCTGCTTTGGTCGCAACGGCCGTCATGGTCGCAAAGCCAGTCCCTTCAGACGGTCTTGCTAGGACAGCACCTTACTTAAACTTGGTAATATGTATCGTAGCAATGTAAGGGCTCCCTTATAGATTCTTTAAGGATTTAACTAATACGAAGTGTAGACCGTCGTCTTTTGTTATATCGGCCAGCATTGAAAGCAATCCAACTCCATTCGCAACGAAAGGGGTATCCAAAGACTCATTTTTAAACGGTCGTATCAGCCAATGCTCTAGTGATCCAATGGCAGACCTCAGTGTTTCTCGCAGGGCTTCGTTGCAGAGGAAGGAGAGCAGTAGTGCTTCTATAACCACAGTGCCTTCAGAGGAGATCTTCCAACTCGGCAATTCCAATGCGATTCGAACTGCTAGAAAAGCCGCTAGCCCACTCACTATAAGGACTGGAGGCATGCCTAACGATAGGGCGGAGCTTGAGCTTATGGCGAATTCTCCCATCGGGACAACTTATGCCGTCCGTACGGGCTCGGGTAATATGCCTTTATCGTCGACGCCGCGTGTGCCGAAGGTCCCTCAAAAACTTTCAAAATCACCTCCTAAGCCCGTATACCATCCTGGCGTGTGGCGAACGGAGTGGAACGACATTCCAAAACAGGTCGAAGTACCAAAAGCAACCAATAAATATACAGATACTTCCAGCGCGGATCGCTCTACCTACTCTTTCACATCTAATCGTTCATCTCATTCACGTTCGCCGTCAAAAAGTTCCCGCGAGACTAGTAAAGGGCATCGCGCAACACCGAGCACTAGTATCGCGAGCAGTGCCAATCGCTCCCGACTGTCAACGGTTAGATATGCCTCAGAGCCAGAAGTTGCTATCCGGCAAGCAATTCGGGTCATCAAAAACCCCAACTACTCACCTGCCATGCGAGCTGCTACCGATAAGGACCAAGACGTAATCAAACCACCAGAGCCGGCTGTAGTGTCGAGAAGTGCGCAAACAACGCACGACGATCCTGAGCGGCCACCATTGCAACGTAAACCATCGAACTTTTCCCGCCCTCTACCGCCGTCGAGAGACTCGGAAGCGGACTCGGCCATTGAGATGAAGATACCAGGAACATTTACAACGTAGAATATTATTAATGTATATTGCAAAAGAATTATTAGAGATACCAATCAATATCCACTTCACGAAATAACGTATTTCTAGATATAATTGAATAAGATAATTATATCGTTACTCTCCTAAGGCATTGGGGTGCTTATGGAATAACTATCCAGTATGAGCACTTTAATAAAGTACCATGTCTTGTTACTTTAAAAAGCATAGACTGAAATAAAGGGGTTAGCTAGTTTTCTATATACACAAACTTGGTTTTATGAATTATTGTCCATATAGGCTATCTTTTTTATGACTGACTATGAGCAGAAATCATGCATATAATTCATTTAGAAGCTAGAGAGGTATAATATACACTTTGAAACGAGGCGCCTTTGTCTTGCGTCTTAGGTAAAACCTTGAGACTATTGAATCAGATACATCTTATCAGAACCAACTCGTGTCTCATTGGCTTATATCCCCAGATGCTGCCAAAAAGGTTTGATTAGAGGTACAACGGATCTTTATCCGCGCATACGATCAGGGGTATTCTCTATTTATTACAAAGCGGATTAGATACCGTGTGTGCAAGACTTCGTTGGGGCTGGGCTAGATACTGCCTGCTGAGTGCCTTCTCACTAGGGTTTTTATATCTAAGATTAGTTACCTACGTAGGTAGGTACACATATTCAAGATAGGGTTGGAAATACATAGTGTAACCTCACGCTTTACAATTATACTATTTTGCTCTAGAAGCCTTTACCATATCGTAGTTTAGTTTATTGCGAAGCTTAGCCCAACACTCTACAAAGACACCCTCAACAAATAATAAAGCATAGATATTCCTAACATAAGTACAAGGGTATCTATGTCGTCTTTCGCACACTGTTTAAGCCGGTGTGAGTGGAATTAAAGCATATATTGGCTCTGACTCTAATTGGTGGATCAACGGGAGCCTAACAAAGAGTTCATCGAGCGGTCGACGCTCGTGTGACAGAGACTACGATTCATACCATACTTATAAAACTTTCTTTGGATTTAGTCTATGTTAACAATATTATCATGGTCTCTGTGCTCGACTACGGTAGCAAAACCACGGCTAGTGAGTTCGTGGGTTATAGTGAACGCAACTAAGTCTTGTAATTTACAATAGCTTCAGAGCATCATATAATTTGCCACAAGAGTCAGTAGCTAGGATCGAACCGGATCCGGGATATCTACAACTACTAAATCGATAATCTTCTATCAGCAGGCTTAAGGAGCAGCTGAACCTGATCTACTCCAACTTTTGAGATCCAATCCCTCTCGTACGCCCTAGAAACGCGGTTCAATCTCGTTCTCATGCTCGGGTGCCGCGGCATAATATGGGCTTATTAACATGTAGGTATAACTCATCGGTCACAGGATACCATAGACACCATCTCATCCTCAGCCCCAATGTTAGATCGGAATGTTTCTAGGGATTTATTGGTAGTTGACCTATTGTATGTCTAATATATGAGATCGTGCTGTCCTTGGCGTATAGTTGATATACGATTGTGCTAATGAGATATCTCCAAGGGTCGGGAAAAGACTAAGAAAAACGAATTGCTCACCACTCTAAATCAACAGCCAATGGTTTCTGGATATTGTACGGCGCTTTTTCCCGTTCAGCATGACATGTGGTAGAAAGGGATTGGTTTATGGTTTTCTTATCCCATATTTCTCGTTGTGATTATTATCAAGTACTACGAATCTTTTACCGGTCTCTTACTTACCTCCTAACTTAGGACCACCGTTGCTGTATGTGATACAGGTTCAATAATAGTTAGGCACAAATGTCACGCAGTGGCGGTCTACAAACAGTGGTGACTTGAAAATTTTCTTCCTATACACCACTTTATAGGGCTGGGTAGGGGTGGGTCTTAGAGATACAAACTTATGTGCGGACAAATACACACACATACTACATCGGGGAATTATTAGGTAAAGTTGGAAAGATTATTGTTGTCTACATCGTACGTCTAAACGAAATTTAGCACGGATTTTATAAGCTTGTTCTTCTAGACTAACTAAAACTGACTCGAAGACTTGTATTGAGGCAAATTTGTTCAAAAAGTACCTAGTTATAGTGCCTTCTTCAAAAGACCGAATAGTCTCGGCAGACATGTTATAGCTTAGTAGTTACCGATAGAGTGGTACAATACAGTAAGAATTCAGGGCTGTTCCGCCTCCAGGCTGTAGGGCAGTGTCCATTGGGACTTAATATGGGTGGGCTAATAATTGCACTTCATAGGATATAAATAGATAATCTTATACATTATACTACTCTTAAGAGGTCTAATCGAAGTTGCTCTCGCTTCTTATTGATCAGCACCAGAACAATATCGACCCTTTAACTCGGCTTCCTTTCTGGGTTAACCGTTACACCCCCACGATGACGAGGGAAGAAGCTCTTAGTTGTCATTCTATGGCCGCAATGGGACGCGACTCTAGGCCAACTTGTAGGCCCGCGTGTCTGATATAGAGCAAGTTCCGGAATGTCCGCGCCTTATTAGAGGCACTTGGAATGGTTGCTGCCGAGTGGCCAGACGGGTTGGACGTGAATATCGTAGAAGCCCGACCAAGGCTATGGTCAGGAGAGGACTCGGGTTCTCTGTCGTCAACTGAAGATAGTTTGCCCCATCTGACGGTCCCTCCGTGTGAGAGGAGGGAAGGGAGTTAGTTACTTAATAAGCTCCCTGCGACGAATGGAAAAAGCCGACTTGAAGGCTCCCCTTAACTGTAGATCAACCAATTGCGGAGACATGGCTGGTATTTCTAACAGTCCACAAGCGCGTCCTTGTGACCCCGTTGCGGACCTCTCTGGGTCCGAGGGACGACCAAGTTCGGTCAAATACCCTTGAATGACTGGCTGAAGGGGAGGAATGGACTTAGCCCAAAAACCCACAAGGCATTCTCCAGGGCTGATATCATCCACTGCAGAGCCCCGTCCTCTGATAGGTTAAAGGACGGCCGTGTTATATGCGACCTGTCGTCTTTTGGTTCTCAATGCACTACAATCGGTGCCATGCGTATATGCTCTATTGGTTATCTATCTTGTTCGTGGTGGCGGCATCAAGGAAAGCAAGCATGTCAGACAGCGGCATGCATTTCCCCAAAGAGGATTGCATTGCCTCCAGTGAGATGGCCATACTCCTGTCAAAGTCTAACTTGACCTCAGTCTAGAACTTGTCACTTAGCCCTATAGATGATGGACATTTGCAATTACAATGGATAATTGGGTTGGATAACGCACGCTTGTTCGTCCATCTACTTGATTTACTCGGCGTTCAATAATAGACGACATACATAATTTATGCACGAAAGTCGGCGACCCTCAACCGGATGAGCGCCCCGACCTGCGCCTTTCTTTTCTCTTGGAGAAGCGCGTTAAGGACAAACACCTTGTCTTACATGGACTTTAAGTATTACTTAGTGGCAAATGGTAAATGGTTCCTGACATTCCCGCCCGGCGCGATGACGATGGGGAGAGAGGGGAGCGGAGGGGGGGGGGGAGGGAAGGCCAAGTCCTTTATGGACGCGAAAAGCGCGGACCCCTGCATCCGGTTTGCGCGTAGGAACATTTCAAGTCCCACAACAAGGCGCGATCTCTTGGGTGTTTCTTGGGTTGCTTCTTGTGGCTCGTTCGGTTAAGGCTCCTTTTAGAAACCAATCTTGGCTACATTGGCTACATAGTAGAATTTGAACGCGACTATTGGTTCTTTTTTAGTCGCACAGTTGCAGATTCAAATCACTTCCGGGTAGTGGTAGGGTAGTGGTAGGTGTCTGGGTGAGACGGTGTCGAGTGAATCTAACAAATCAGAGACTGGAAACTAGGGGATTCGCATAAGAGAACAGGAGAATTGAGAGACATGACTTCGAATTCCCTGCATTACCTTGGCCCCGATCCAGTTAAATCAACTTCAGCCCTTGCACCGATCCACCTCAAAACCTGCATGTACTGCATGTAATATGGTATCTGGGTATCTAAACTCCCTTTTACACTAGTGTAGAGCTGCCTCCTTTCTTCTGATTGGATTCTGTTTCCCCATCTTCCCCATTTACACCAACACCACGCGTTCAAACACGAAGGGAAAAAACTCACCCTTTAACTCACCCTTTAGAGGTACTCACCCTATTCACCCTACATACATACTACCGACCTACTACACTCACATAGGTATGTACATCCTACATCCTACAGCCGATGCAGCCTACCAAACATATTAAGCTTGCCTGAAACATTTGAGTGCGAGCATCAATCATCAATCATCAATCACTTCTTCCCTCTCTATCCCATCCCATATCCCATATCCCATATCTTAATTTCCTTGCATATCTTCCTACGCACACCTGCAGCCATCCAACCTACCTCCATCCACTCAGCGTCCTCTGATCCCCTTATTCACTTTCCTCCTTTTGACTAGCAGACGGCGCTTCCTGACTCCCAGCTTGGTCTGATAATTTTAAGCTGCATTATCCCAAGACATCGATCTCCGCGTTACCATCGTTCTCCATTTCTGGCCTCCCCCGTCGCGACCTACCGGTACATACATCCAGCCAAGCTACAAGCTACCTTGTCCCCGGACGCCCTCTGAGATGCAATAAGACTTGTCAATTCCCACCTACGCAGTCCCTCGCCCACTTTTCCTCTTACCTCCCCCCCTCCCCATCCATACTGGTACAACAAGTTTGGTTTGCTGCTGCGCCGAGTTTGACGATATCAATTGTTCACGACAAAAAATAATAAACAAACAATCGTGGCAGTCAACTTTTTCCCCTGTCTTGGGTATCAATCATTGTCGTGAACCTTGCCTCTAGTTGTTATTACAACTTATTGGTAATTGCGATCAATTTCCGTAGTGCCAATCTTGGTTGCCTCGGATTGAATCAATTTAGAACCAACATTTTGTGGTTCGATTGGGCATCTGGATCTCTTCAACCCCTTCACCCTTCAAGTCCACGTCACAACTTACAACCATGGCTACCATAACTCGTCAACCCTTTGCGCCTCTCGATGGAGCGCGCTTGCAGACATTAACAAGTCTCAAGAACAGACAGAATGGTAAGTCCAGAGGGGGAGATCTGTGATATCCGCAGAACTTTGAATACTTCCAATTGTATCGTGTCTTGTCTTTTTGTCCAATGCAAATCAACACCATCTTGTTCGCCAAGCTGTTTTTAAATATGAACCAGGAACCCTTGCAATCCATATTGAATTTTTGAATTTTTGAAGGATTGCATACTAAACTGTGTTCATAGCTCTCTCAAACGCGTCGTCTCCGAAGCGAAAAGCATCAGACAGCTTAGATACGGACGATTTCGAGAACGTGGACCCGGTGCTCTACTCTAAGAGATCAAAGGGCTCGGATAATGTCTTTGCCCCCAAGGATTCTTTCGTCAAGCCGTCATTCATTCTCGCGAAATCGGCTAGTGCCAACGATGTTGTCTCTATTCTCAGTCCACCTAAGGCAGCGGCTCCGCGCGCACGGTCCTTACTTAACCCCAAGTCGCCTGTTTCGAAACTGAACATCAGCTCGGCTAGATCCACACCCCTTTCGGCTCCCGCTGGCCGATCTCCAACCCGTGGCAAGAGGTCCGGTATCCTCTCTTCCCGCCAACGAACTAAGGCCTTCTCTCGAGTGAACCCGCCCAGCTTCAGTTCCTCGAGCGCATCTTCTGCACCATTCTCGTTGGATGCGGCTCTTAAGGGTACCATCCCGAGCTATGCCGGTCGCAAAGCCTCTTCCGCGGCAAAGTCTTCATCTAGTTCCCTTGGTCTCGACAGCCTGCAGGAGGGAGATATGAAGCAATCGTGGTTCTTCGATATCCACGAAGACACCCCGGAGCAAGAAATGACCAATCTACTACAGCACAGCACTTGCGTACTAGACATCAGCTCGGACGAAGAGAGTGAGACTCGGCGCCAGCGAGAACGTGCCGAGGGCAAGGAAAATGTACCTCCGGTGGATGACGTCTCTCAGACCTCGCGGCCGCGGGCTGCTAGACATGTAGCAGAGGACGAGATGGTGTTTGAGAAGGAAAGGAATCCTCTCGGCGAGATGAATGTTCGCGAGTACTACTCGGAGGGATGCGATGAGAATACTATCGTCATCATACCGGGTGATGACGAAGAAGTTAGCGAATCCCAATCCCAACCACAGACACGGTACCGACCTGACGTCACCCCTGCGCTTAACTCTGGCGAATCGGATGCACCTCAACTTAACGCTGATGACGGCGCACAATCCGTAGACCAGTTAATGGAGAAGGCAGACGAACCTGCCCCGGGCGCGGCTGTACTCGAGCCGATGGAGGGAACGGGCGAGAGCTTCGAGGTATGGGAAAGCGGAAGCGCGAAGGATGAAGCAGAGGGAACTATAGTGGAAGCGACAGAGTGCTAATGAAGTAATGGACGATAATGTTACGGATTATGGATTGTACGTTGTTTTCGGAGCTCTTTTTGGACTGATGGGTTTTTTTTTCCAGTCCCCTAATACCTAGATTCTGTAGCCTACGGGAGGTAGCAATGGCGTCACGGGGCATTTCTTCAGAGATTATGGGCTACGGCTGGGGTTCTATGGCAAGGTGGCGGACTGGGCCGGTTGGTATTCTGCTTTACGCTGATCTTTTTTTTGTACGAATTCTTGTACATACGGCTTGTGTTATTTTTCTATTTTTTTTCAGGGCCTACTTCTTGCACTTGGGCGCCCGTCAATATACGCTCTGCAACGCTGTCTATTGTTTCGAAGTACTATATGAATGTGATGAAGAGGAGCATTAATATGAGCTCGTATATGTTTGCGACTAATGGGTGCTATTTCGCTTACCTAAATAATGCTAATAATAGCTAATAACTGCTTACTCGGCTGTTCGGTCGCGCTATCTATGCTGGTTGCGCGCTTAAGCAGTATAACTGCACTCTGTACGACATCCTTCACTAGTGCCGTCTCCAAAGCACCTACTTCGTACAGGAACAGCGAACGATCCAAGAATTATGTAACCAGTAACCATAGAGTGGCTCCACTTCAGACGCGCTCAGGCTTATGTAGAATCGCGGTAAGCCACTGCATTCTGCATTTTAGTCGCTGTATGTATTTTAGTAGCATTTTGGCCACAATCCTCTTCATATCATTCGACATCATATCATTAGGTCAGGTACTTTAGCGCTTTAAAGAGGGCTTAGTCGACGACTTATTTCGATACCGATACATCTTACATCCAATTGATATTCACATGAAACACACTGCTCATACATGTTCATACAATTCTTATTTATCAACCACTAACTACTATATCGAGTTCATCGTGTCTTGAAACTAGCTTCATTAGTGTTGCGTGTCTCACTTGCCAACCTCCCTACCTGGGTACCAAATCTATTGGGTGGATCAATGGCTTCAATAAACGATCTCGCGACAGCCGCGACAATAGCGTCGTCGGCCGTGGCGTTACAGTCTTCACCTACGCGGGAGGGCGCTCAACCCGCCACACCCCCAGCAGAGCCGCGGTCACCCCCCTCCTCAAGACCTGCAACAGACGGCGCTCAGAGTACTTCGCCCCTGACGGAGAAGTCCAAGCTGGTAAACGCGAATGAGGATGGGGACTCGATAACCGTGGCCACAGGTGCTCCGCCCGTGTTAGCGCCGCCTCAGATATCTCCTCAGAATCCCTCGCAAGCACAGATCCCAGCTCCGGCTCCGGCCGCCGCCGAGGTTGAGCCTGCAGAAGCTGTGAAGGATGTCAGTATCGAAGATAAAGATGCCGTTGATAATTCTGCAGGGGACGATATGGATGGCATCGAGAAGGTAGTAGCGCCGCCGTCGAAACCAGTGCGCGGCGCTTTCGTTGTGTTCGAGGGAATGGACCGTGCGGGGAAGACGACGCAGGCAAAATTACTGCAGCAGAGGTGTATCGAGAGCGGTCGGGAGGTGCGGTTTATGCGATTTCCTGGTAAGCGGGATACTTCGCTATGCTGCTGATGATGTAAAGTATTGTATTCGCTGCTAATGGTGCCGATATAGATAGGACAACGCCTATCGGTAAGATGATCGACTCGTATCTCAAGGGCGAGACGGAGATCGAAGATCATGTTATTCACCTGTTGTTTAGTGCTAATCGATGGGAAGCTGTGTAAGTTTCTTTTAATCACGCCAAATTCTCACACCGTTCTATAACTTCGTATGGTGTAGTTATCTCGTATCTAACTTCGCTCTCTTATAGCAAGAAAATCAAGACAGAGTTGGAGGCTGGTCATACTATAATCTGCGACCGCTTCTACCATAGCGGTATCGTATACAGCGCAGCTAAAAATATCAAGAGCCTATCACTATCCTGGGCCAAGGCGCCCGAGGTCGGCTTGCCCAGACCAGACATGGTTCTTTTCCTAGACCTAGAGGAAGAAGTCGCGCGCGAACGTGGCGGTTGGGGTGGTGAAGTCTACGAGAAAGGCGAGATGCAGCGGCGCGTCAGAGATCTGTTTTGGGGCCTTAGCATGGGAGACCTCGGTAGCGCTGTGGGGAACAACGGCAGCAGTAAGGTTCCGAGAAGAGGTGGTGAGGCGGAGAGGCTCGGGAATGGAACAAGTAGAGGTGGAGATGGTAGTAACAGCGAGGAGGGTGAGTTCAGGCAGGAGGAAGAGGATATTCAAATCGTAGATGCGGATCTCGATGTCGAGAGTCTGTCTGAGAGAGTATGGGATCTCGTACTGCCGAGACTAGAAGCAGTGGAACGAGGCGAGGTCGGAAGAACCGTACGGATCGTACGGTAAAACTATATCCGACGTATTCGACTGGTGTACTGACGGAATTGTGACCTTGTAGCATGGTATTGAATTTATAGAAATCGAAATCAAACCTTTGTACTTGGGCATAACTTTCCTATGTTTGACAATGCCTTTCTCCCCTCTTTCGTATGCGGCTCAAACTCTCCGTAGTGTGGGGAGACCCGTCCTTCTTAAGTCTCCGTCCGTACAACAGGGCCCCGTCCCATTGGAGAAACATTTCTCTGGGCGCTCAGATCTTGGCATATATCTGAGGGAGTTCGGCTGACGATAGGGTTTGTTAGGTGGCCTCCTAATGTAGTTAAAGGATGTTAATTGTCAATATTCAACTAAGAAACAACTACCCCCCTATCTTCCCTAGTTTCCTGCGGTAGGTAGGTAAATATCGAGGAAGCATTATTGAATCATTTGCCTATCACATTTATCACAAGGAAATATGAACATAAGTATGGGAATAGCTTCAATATTCCACGAGGAACCCTAACCCTAGACTATGGAGCCAGTAATCAGGTTACAGAGAGTCTACGAGATGGTGTGATTACGTCTAAAAGATTGTGCAGTAATACGATGGCTTTGATGATGCTCTCCGTATATTGAATGCTGGTTAGTACCCATTTCTCACTCCAGCACTTATTAATCGGTATACCTAACGGCTGTGTTCCCCTATTCAGACCTCCGCTCTCAGATGCGTTAGCTTGTGGAGGAATTCGCACTGTCCGCTGTTAAATCCACCGAGAAATATCTACAATCTCTTATATTGTTTAACCTGTAGATATTGAGGTACGTATAGGTATTTCGCATAAGGGAGCATTAGTCGAACAGGGCGATGATCGGGACGATTTATATACTGGACGTAGCACCGAGCATAATTCGCTCTGGCATATCTGGACATATTTACCGTGTCGGCGGAGGAAGCTGAGCTTACTACTTATGTTATTGAATCGGTTGGCCAAAGACTTGCCATTAGGTAGGTCAATCTGGGAGAGTACTACGGCTAGGTGAGTTGGGAAAATAATGATATTCATTCCTATTACGATCCCTCTCTCGGGGACAATGCAAACGTAATTATCTGAGTAAAGCTACTCAAACTAAGCTCATTGCTAATGCACATGAATACCTCCTAGGTCCCTTTTCTGCTACCATTTCGCGATGCTCTCAAAGTATTTCCCCTATCCAGCCAAGCAATACCCTCCCCCCAATTCATCCAGACTAGTATCATTCCGAGTCGTAAGGGATCTCGCTTCTTTAATCCTTAATCGTGACGACTACGCTTCGCCAAGCCTCGATAGGATGGCGGACGACGAACTTTCTGGACTGGCTTCCCTCGCCCTCAGGTCTGTCGACCCCAAGACGTTCAACCGTCTCAAATTCGGTGATTACCTTGCCAGAGAAGTTAACAAGAGAGAAGCCGAAGATATCCGTGAGAGGACCGAGTCCCTGCAATGGGCGCAGACGGGCAATGATGTGCAGGAACATCATCACGCTTGCGTAGTATTTCTCTCGTTCACCTGCGAAGCTCCAACTGAGCTTAAAGGCAATCTGGATGAAGGGGCGATTGTTATGGATTATCTGGAAGACCGACGCGATTTGCGGGCCCCAGAACGAGTCTACCATGCAGCGGAACCAGTCCTTGTATTTGTAGTAGTAGAAGTTGAGCTCGAAGAAATACATTTCAGTATCGAAACCTTTATACACGGCCGGCTCACTAGCTTCGGGAGTACCTTGCGTAGCATTTTGCGCAGTACCGTGCGCAGTTTCGTGTGTGGTATCGTGCGTGGTATCGTGCGTGGAAACCATGGAGGATGATGAACTAGAATTGTAGTTGAGGAAGATGATGTTGCCGCCGGACCAGATGGGTGTCTGGAAGACCTTCTCTACTTGGATGATGTTGATACCATTCTTCGCGATGTTCGCCTTGAAAATCTCTAAGTAGATGGAATATTCGCGTTGGTACAATTCGCCGCTCGACGAACTGGCTGCGGTCGTCTCGGGGGGAGGCTGTTCGTTTGCCAACTTAGCCAGAAGCCACTCGTACTGCGGCTCTCCATCACTCTCAATTCCAGGGGTAGCTTGGCCTTGAGTTTCGTCATCTTTATGGATGGCTTCTCCTAGTGAGAGGTCCATCTCGTCTTTTTTGACGGGGCTGGGTTGAATAGGGTAATACTGTCTTTGTTTTTGCGAATTTTCCTCGTGAGGAGAGTCGGCTTCGTGCGAAGTGACTGGCTTTGAGATTCGTTGGCCCATTTATACATGTAATGGGATTTGTCAGAAGAGAATATGCTTGAAGAATCTGGGTTCTGATTGTTGTTATTTAAGACCCGCTGTTCTTGCAAAGTGAGCAGATAATGGTGAACCTAGAGGGTGGTGGTTCCCGCATCAACTGGGCTCAGCCACTGAAAATGTATCGTGAAAGTGTGAACAAGTACAATGGTACATGTATTAGGGCAAGGCCACGACCATCAGGGTGATTGGGGTACGAGATGGGCACCTGTCACGATGCGGCTTTACATGCGGCTTTACATGCGGCTTTACATGCGGCTTGACAGTGGGAAGGAACCTAACATGGATTCCTCGAGGATTAGAGCAACTAGCTTGGCTACCCTCGTCATATGTATCACCTTCTTCTGAAGATGTGGTAGGATGGTCTCAAAGTGAGAATATTCTCAGCAAAAGGCTACTCTTGGGACGGCTATACTGCATACATAACGTCTTTAACTGCTTTGTTACATTAGTTCCTCTCTTCAAAATCGTTCACACTGGTAAGCAAATCAAAATTCCATCCTGAGGCAAATCCTGTGTGAGTACCTAGATAATTTTAGATTATTCCCTTTTCATAGGTAATCGAGACTATCCCTCAATAGAAATATGGCATCATTTCCTGCTACTATCTTAAAGGAGTGAAAGAAATATCCCAACCCGGTTTCGAAAATAGTCACTACATGGTCTTAAGGGTAATAATTGTGCTGGGTGGGTTATGACGGTTAATTATTGTCTAGATGTAGCAATACTACCTAGACGATGTCCAGTAAATGATCTCTGCCTCATGGGAGTGATACGGTTTCAAAGAAAATAAGAACTGATCGAAATAAGGAAGAGAATCAGGTTCTTCAATGTTAAAATATTATGGTTAGTCGGTTTAAAGTTTACCCCCCTTTTCATATGCTCAATGGTCATTTTCTTTTCATGATCCTTTCTTCGTTAATTTCCATTATGAATAAGGAGTATAATAGGATATATGATCAAAGGTCGTGCTCACGCTTCATACCTTGGGCCAGATTTGGGCATCGATTGCTACTTGTAAGTTTGGATGATCACTCCTAGCCTTCTTACGGAAGTTGAAGGGCGTGATAGAGGATGGAACGATGGAAATGAGCGGCCTTTTTTTAAGAGTACCTAAGTCCTGCAGGTTGATTTTGGGCTTATAAATTAGGTAGCTTCTGTTTGTTGCTCTGTTCAAGTCCTCGAGGTTAGAGGCTTAGTCACAAATCGTCATGGCGATTCACTTCCCCTAACTACTTACTCGCCATGACGATGTGTCCATTGTTAATACCAGTGACCTAGCAACTATTTCATCACGCAAAGTTGACTCAAAATAGCAAGACCTCTAAATACTTACTTTGATACATACGCAAATATTACAATTGAGAATTGGGGAATTTGGAAGTAGACGAAGCAGTTGGGTTGGACCGCCAAGGTTGGATGGACATTTGTCTAACCTAAAGCCAGGCAGCGCTGGTGAGTCTAAGATCTTCCACAGAAATTGTGCAACTATCAAGACTAATTAATCTGCAATAAACATAGCTCGTGACAAGACCGCCTACTCTTACTCGTACTCCAAGAGAAGAGCCCACAGGAAATTCCATCATATAATCTTTTACTCTCGAATAAGCCAAAACACAACTCCCATTCTCGCTATCTCTACCTACAATTACTTGGTACCTACCTCTTTAACTATACCCCGATCTAAGACCGAATCCATTCATCAACAAGATGCCTACCTCTCAACTCGTGACCGAGCAGCAGAAGGAACTGGATCTCCTTCTTATCCAGGAGCTGGTCGAAAAAGTTGCCGAGTTCCGCCGCGAAGGAAAAACGGGACGAGCCCAGTACAAACTACACCGCCGTCGCCTTCAACAGTACTACGCAGACCTAGGCAGCCAAGCGGCTAAGGAAGATGATGGCGGCGAAAGCTCCCGCCAGGCCAACACCCCCACCCCAAGACGATGCCCACACTGCCAAGACCTACGAATCAGCAGCCATTGCTTGAAGAACGGTGGATGTCCCGTCGACGACGGCAAGCGACCTGCATAAGGAGCCTCGAAGGCAAGAATACTAGGCACCTATGAAGGATCGATTGGGAATCAAGGCACGGAAAGGTTGAATATGAGTAGGGTCAGTTGCCCACTCTTTGGGGTAGGAGGTTCGAATTCTAGGATGCTCAACGTCCTACGATATTATTGTGATCGAAGCTATTGCGCTTTACTTTGCTTGTACACTATTTTGGTCCGAGTTTCCACGACCGCATTGAACAATTGTACCACCATTCATCCATTGCTAGCTAGGAGAACATAAGCCTTTGAGAGACGTACCGTACTACCCTACTGAGGTTATGTCAGGTAGTTAATCAATAAATAGGGGTCAGAAAATCAAAAAGTGTAGCATTTCGTCCAAGGCTTAACCATGAAAAGTACAAGTTTCGCGTTGGACTCGGGAATGACGATTCTAGTGATCCCATCGCATGGAGCGTCTAGATTTACTACCTATTGTGCATTAGTACCTCGTAGTAGAGATGGCTAATCGCGTGCTAGCCTATCTCGCACCGATATTGTTATTCCGATTTTACCTTTATAAGCCTTAAAACATACGCACCTGGTTAGGAGGAACTAGGCCATTGCTGGCTATCTATGCCTTGGGGTATTGACATAGCATGGTCCATAAAATAAAGCTACTAACCCGGACTCGAGGAGTTTTACAAGAGGATAGATAAGAAACTATAGGTAGGTACTTACAGCAGCCCGAGCTCTGTACAAGGTCTACAGGGCATTTCTAGTCAAATATACAGTTTCAAATATCAAAATATACCTCGTTGTTGTTGCTTTTCCTATTTGCGTAAAATCCATCCAAGCATGGGCTAAAGAGACCGAAACATAGAGAAAAATAGACCGCACTTAAGCATTACGAAAATCCTACATTTGCCAAACTCTTCTAAGACCCGCAAGCAACCCATATTATATCAAAAACCACACTCCGTTGAACCCATCAATATCCCACGACCCTACTGTAGTGTATTAAGCCACGAACCGGAGAGCTCACGCCTGCCATCGCCGGGCATTGTGGGGCACCATATATCCTAATGATAGAGACGATGCGGGTAGCAAAACTGCTAATACACTTGTACTTGTGCTGGATGGTGCCATATGGCCCGTCGCTTTAGAAACCACGACGGTCGTCTGGACCATGGGAGGAGCAACCGACGTGGTGTTAACATAATGCATGGCCGTAGATGTCGTGTGAATCATTAGGGGGGCCGCGGACGTTGTGTGAACCATAGGTGGGACTACGATAGTCTCATGAACCACGGTGGGAGTGGTTTCGTGAACGATTATTTCCGTTTGATGGCAGGCCTCTGCCATTTCTGTAACAGTAACATGGACTACTTCGGACACCGTCATCACATGCGGCGGCAGAGTAACGTGGACTGTCTCGTGTACCGTCTCGTGCACCGTCTGGGTATATGCCGAAAGGGTCACGTGGACAGTTTCTGTCACAGCTTTGGTGATATGAACGGTCTCCTTAACCGTCTGCGGCGGTAGAGATGCATGGACCGTCTCTGTGAGAACCTGTGTCTGTAGATGGCTCAAGACCTCTGTCTTTGTAAGCGCAACCGTCTCGAGCTTATGCGATACTTCGGTCTTCGTGACAGCTACAGTCTCATGGATCGATTTGACCTCGGTGATAGGGACCGTAACAGCAACGCTCTCCTTCACCGTCACGGGAACACTGATGGCTACTGATTCCTTCACTGTGACCGGAATGCTCACGTGTACCGTCTCCTTGGCAGTTTCTGTTTCCACCTTGGTTACCGGAATACTAACATGTAGTGTCTCCTTCACCGTCTCCTTTACTGTCTCTTTTTGCGTAACAGGGATACTTTCCTTGAGAGTTTCCTTGAGAGTTTCCACCTTCGTCACGGGTACGCTCACAGCGACGGTCTCCTTCAACGTCTCCTTCAACGTCTCAACTTTCGTGACGGGGATAGTAACATGTACCGTCTCCTTCACAGTTTGTACCTGCGTTACGGGAACGCTCACATGTACAGTTTCCTTCACTGTCTGCACCGTGGTTACCGGAACATCGACGTGTACGGTTTCCTTCACAGTTTCCACCTTAGTGACAGGAATGCTGACATGCACCGTCTCCTTCACCGTCTGAGGAGGCAGCGTTTCTTTGACAGTCTGGGGAGGAAGCGTAATGTGGACGGTCTCGAGCTTCGTTTGAATCGCGGTTTGTACTTCAGTCTTTATTTCGTGCTTGGTTTCCGTCTTTAGTTCGGTCTTCGTGAGGAGCTTCTCTTCTACCTTCGTGACGGGGATAGTGACATGAACTGTTTCCTTCACCGTCTGTGGAGGTAGTGTAATCGATTCCTTTTGGACTTCGGTCTTCGTAACATGAACAACCTCTGTCACCGGGACATGTATTGTTTCCTTCACTGTTTGCGGTGGTAGAGTAAAGTGTACGGTTTCCTTCACGGTCTGTGGAGGTAGGGTGACGTGTACCGTCTCTTTTATCGTCTCTGGCGGTTGAGTAACATGAACTGTCTCCTTGACTGTTTCTGGAGGTAGGGTAACGTGGATAGTTTCCTTCACTGTTTCCGGTGGTAGAGTCACATGCATGGTCTCTTTTACGGTCTCCTTTACAGTCTCCTTGACAGTCTCAGGAGGCAGAGTCATATGTATCGTCTCCTTAATTGTTTCTGGCGGCAGGGTCATATGTATCGTTTCTTTTATTGTTTCTGGTGGTAATGTCTGAAGTTTTGGTGTTAGCCTATATAGGTAGACACCTAACGGTTATTTCAATAAAAGGACCGGATTCGGCGTAAATCCATTAGGGTATAGAAAGCGATTTGCAGAGTTACTTACCACATGAACTGTCTCGTGAATCGTCTCCGTAACAACCTCAGCTGGGGCCGCACCTCCCGTAGCAGCCGCTACAGAGACGAGGGCCAACAGTGCCGGTATATAGCTGTTAGAGAACTGCATAGCTTTGTAAATATGAAGGAGTAATGATAACTAAATAGGTGGATCCAAAAATGAGTAATATGATTAGAAGAACTCTCAGAGTACAAAAGTCTAAACTACTATAAAATTAAACTGGCTCAGCCGTTAAAACGAAACGAACGAATATTGAAGGCGTAAGAGAAAAAGGAACGGATCGACCGCGAAAAGAGAAGCGAAGTGCAAGCACACAAGAGAGAGGTTCAGGTTGAGATGAGAGAGAATGAACGGAAGAGCATGGTCCCTGATCTTCGTGGGAGAAGATGAGAGATGTAGAATACCAAGACTTATACCCTAGTTTGCCTATCCTCAACCTGAGCGACGGTTGCATTCACAAGATACCCAAGAATGATGCTGCACAGGGGCATCTAATCCTAAGCTAGGGGCTACATGAGGTGACATCTCTGGTAGAACCTTGGTTTAGATCCTGAGGGGGTTGTTGTGAAGGTTACCCATGGGAAGATCTAGTATGCAAATTCGATATTTGCCTTACTAACAAAGGCTGAGCGTGACGTCTTGGCGGTATTCGGCCTGTACGTCAAAATGGTAAACGTCGTGCCGAATGCCCCTTGTCATCTGAAGCTGACTTCGGATGTCCAGTTTTCCGGCCCCATGCAGGATGGACTATGGGCACATGGGGTTCAAAGCGAATAAAAGTGGTGATTCCGACCCATGGGTAAGGTCTTGGGATATAAGCTTATCTAGACTTAATACTGTCTCCATTATATTAGTTTCCCGTTGTTTACTCTCCCGCATGCCTCGTATCATAAGGTTGAATACGGGAAATATATTATGTAAGGTATATTGATTGGCGCCTCTATGTAGGAAAGAAAAATAAGGCCCTCTTTTGATAGTCTCTTATTTTGGTTTAGACGAGCAGGTTCGTGCGCTTGAAATTCTGTTCAAAAGCAAAAGCTGTATATTGAAGGCAAAAATTACATGCAACCCTAGGTAGGTAGGTACCTACCTTTATCAGCTCCGAATTGAGGCGAAAGCACGTGTTTGGGGCTCAAGAGAATGGGCATATTAATCTTAAAGGATTCGAAAGGGTGTTGATGAGAAAGCTTTGGATGCCTAGGTTTCAAAGTGCTCTCCGGTTTCGCTTGGCATTATTCCGAGATCAATTCCCTGCAGGGGCTGCTTTGTGAGCTGTGGCACTCTTAGATGGATCGAATATGGAACTTCTAATTGGTTGAAAATCCTACGGTCCACAAGGAGATCTAGCCCCTTCACTACTTGGACATCATAAACCTCGCTATTAAGAGGTTTGATACAAAATACCTACCCTATACCATAGAAAGAGCCCTATCGCACTATCTAACCGTCTACCTACACAGACGTACCTAAGGTAAGCCGACCGCTGTGCGGGTTTGTACATAACATAGTCATCATCACGGAAGGGGTGCCAAGCGATGAGATCGAGACAACGCCAAGAGTCGCGCTCATACATTTTCCCGGGTTTGCTCAAGACGAGCATGAGCCGTGTATCCGTTGAATAATATTTCCCTCGGCGAGATACGTATCCTCTCATCCGGGAAGAGCGAGGGTATTCCCTTAAGTATCATTATAAGAATAGGCTTTTATGTAGGTAGTATTATACCTATGATAGAAAGACTATCCTCAAACTCAAATTTATACTAGGAATGAAAAGGGGTACTCTTATGTTCTAGGAAGACGCATTATCATGTTAGACTCCAGTAGGGCAATTGGGAAAAATTACCTTAAACCTATCATCAAATCATGCTGTTAAAAGCAAACTATTATGTCTGCCTGTGGTTCTACCATACTCACTCAATAGCCAGTGGTAAAGGTGCGCAAGAATTAGTACCCGAACAAATTTTTTAAATCTAGGACAATTTCTTTGTGCGGGTAGAATCGTTGCTTGAAACACAATTCCGCGGCCTTCTTTTGCTCATATCTAGGTCATAATAATTGTCTACAACTTCTTTGGTTTCTTTCTCTAAGTTACTAATTGTTACGTTGGGTGTCGATGACAATACTTTGTTCCTATCGCTAGATACTTTATATATTTGGGGTTCTACACCGAGACTCTATGTGATGTCTATTACGCAGTTTCCTATCACTAGTCCCTTAACAATTCTGATATCTTAAAACAACCAGAAATAACGTATACTTACCTAATCCAGTACTATCCATTAGAAATGGCCGCACGGGAGTTCCAAATGCTACACAGCCTAGATATCAGGCCCAGCGAGGGTAGGGGGTTTGGCCTCTTTGCGACGGCGAATATCCCAGCAAAGACCATCATCTGCCAGGAAGCGCCAACCTTCTATGCACCAGCGAAGATTTTAACCGGGACTAACGAAGAAAAGGTCAATACCTTTTGTGATATGTACGCCTCAGCCAGGGTGTCAGATCGTAACCGATTGAATGACCACATTTGGATCCCTGAACACTACGAGCGGAATAAGGATCTGTACAATTGGTTTGATAGGTGGCTAAAGAAGTACATGCAAGCTAACGGAAGTTATCAACCGGAAGAACCTCGAACTGAAATGGTAGAAGAACTTATAAAAGCCTACACGACGTTTTGGACCAACGCCAGCGGGACCCCTGATCGCGGAGCCGCCGTATATAGTACTTTCGCCCGTGCTAATCACTCCTGCAGACCAAATGCTAGTTGGAGATATACAGACAACGCACCTTATTACCTAGAGATGGTAACGGAATGTGATATCCCGGCGGGAGACGAGGTAACTGTCTCTTATGACTATTTCGGGAGGCAGAAGTTGAAGAAGAGAAGAGAAAGATTAGCGAGCTGGGGGTTTGTATGTAAATGTGAAAAGTGTACCGAGGAAGAGTTTGCATTGGGACGAAAGTAGGTATTTGCAAAAGCAAAGAGGATACCTTATGGGCGCCTATTGACCACTAGATACGAGTCCTAAAGTATATCAATACATTAAACTAACAAACTAAATTAATAACGGATGGATGAGCCAAGTGATATCCCTAACCTAAAGCATTCTGATTCCCTAAACATCGCTGACCCACCCTCCATCAATCACGTAGCTACTCCCAGTGATAGCGCTAGAATCATCCGCAGCAAGAAAGAGTATCAGTCTCGCTACCTCGTCAGGCATAAGATCTCTCTTCAAACTTTGCGCGGCCATCACTTCGGCGCGGTACTCATCCGTTAACACCTCATCGATCTGCCTCTGCGTCGCAATGGCGCCGGGAACGACGCTGTTCACCCTGATGCCGTACTGACCAAACTCCTTGCTATGCGTTCTCGTCATACCAACGACTGCCGCTTTGCACATCGTGTAGATAGGAAGTCCGACGGCTGGAATGCGCCACGTGATCGATCCCATGTTGATAATACTGCCGCCAGACCCCTTTTTCTGCATCGCCGGCACCACCGCCTGCGTTAGAAAGAACTGATGGCGAAGATTTACATTGACGTCCTGGTCCCACGACTCAGGCGTCACTTGAGTTGTCGGGACTCTCGACTGAGAGCCGGCACGAGCGGCGTTGTTTAGAAGAACATCCACCGTGCCGTGATCTGCGAGCACTTTCTCCGCGCATTCCTTGAGGCGAGCCAAGTCGGTCACATCGCAGTGGAGAAACGTGGGCTGGGTAGCACCTGGAATGTCCTTGACCTTCTCGAGTAGCTTGTTTGCCGAAACGTCTGCGTAATCTAAGAAGACGACGTTGGAGCCTTGCCGACAGAAAAGCTCGACTGATGCTGCTCCGATGCCTTCGGCCCCTCCAGTAATCAAGACAGTTTTTCCCCGCAGGCTTGGGTACGTCGCATACTTCTCCATGGTAGCTGACTGATTATAAGGGGGGTGTTCGGTGATTAGATAGTGCTGGATAATGTATTCTGGAGGTATGTCCTGTCGACACAACCACAATGTAAGAACATGGGTGGTTTGGAGAATAAAAAATTAAAAAAGTCGAAGGACCAAAAGGCTGTATAAATAGAAGAAGCACAGATGTTAAATCATAGTTTGCCGAGCAAAGCCGTCAACTTTATTCCTGTGCACGCTCCCCTCAGCATAGGTAATGATTCAACCTTGACTATATGGGCTATACCAAATGCAGATCAGATGATTCTCACACAAGATCCAATCAACGGACGTTATATACGAACACCCCCTATGTCTTTGTTTGTATTACATTAGGTAACTTGTCGCAATTCGGATACCGTACCATAATATAGATGTTTTCTAAAATATTACCTCTGCATTTATCATGTTAATTATATGTAGTAGATATTCCATGGCCGTATTATTACATTATCATTACGATAAATCTATCCCTACCCCCCTTACGAGCCGTAATCACAAGTAGGGCAGTAAGTCTTCGAATTATTAGTCGCTGGATATAGATCCTTTCCGTACGTAGAATTTAACGAAATGCTGCCCACGACGTTTCCAGACTCGAGACGGATCCACGTATCAACCTCAAAATTAGCCAGTTTTGACTTCGTTGCGAGAACCTGACGGGCCCCCCTCTCCCAGTTACCGTAACCACCGTACCCTGAATGCTGACTAAAACATAAGTTAACGTCGTTGCGAGGCGCGACCGTCATGTTAGGGAGTAGTCTATCCCATTTATAACACCACGTGTTTCCATGATCATGCCCTGAGAAGACAGCCATTAATCCTGGAACAGCCGAGATGGCCTGCATGAACGGGATGTCCTGGCCGCCGTAGTCGCAAGTACCGTCATTCCGACCATCTGCACACCATCCTTGGGCCTGGGGAGCCAGCGGATAGTCGTCGTTTATCCCTGGCTCGGCATGCGGATTAATACCTTCTTTTTGTAGGACATACGACGCATAGGTTGGAATGTGGACAAACGCCAGCGATGGGATGGTCTTGCTGTACTTCTCAACAAGTTCATTATTCGTCTGAAGAAACCAGTTTACGACACTGAAGTCGACCCAATCTGGCTGGCCAACCCGATTTCCGGATCCGTCCTTCTGCTGATATCGGAACCCTCCCCTGCTGTCAAAAAACCAAAGTATCAACTCGGGGGCGCAATTTTCATCGCTGCAATCGCTGTCGTAAACCGGCAGATAGTAATTTGACGTGCCCGCTTCTTCATCGAAAACCATCTGCGTCGTCCGACTATTACTCCACCGCTTTTCGCGGGCGAGAATGGTACTGCCGGATATGTTATAGTCGTAGTCGTGATTACCATACGTTGACGCCCAGGGAAGACCTCGATCTACGAGAGGACTGACGATCTGGTCAACATAAACCGTACTGTTCTCCAGAAATCCGTTTTCGCCAGTAATCAAGTCGCCATTCAAGACGACAAGTCCAGGCGACTCAGCTTCAAGGATCTCGTTGATAACTTTGACAGAGTTGATATCCTGTTGGGGTCCCCATTGATCCCAGGCATCTAATGTGAATGGTTAGCGTTTGTTCCTTGATTGGACTATTTTGGATGGGGTAATAGTACTTTCACCGAAATGTAAGTCCTCGAATATGGATATCTGAAACGTCCCGTCGCTTTTAAAAGTGAGAGGTCCCAAGGGGCCTGTGCTATTAACATATATCTTAGCTAGAGGGTTCGCATCTATCGACGCCGCACACGTCAACATAACCAAAGCCGTGGAAAGCATAGTGAACCAAAGCGATAAGTCGTTATTTGCATATTACTTACTTCCAGAGACTGGACAGTGAATGAGATAATGGCTCGCCCGTCGAGGGGTTATGCCCAATATGTACTTGGCTCATGCTGTGAATACCTACCTAGGTACTGACTGGGTAGATGACTGGGTAGAGGACTAAGTAAGGGGACTAAGTAAGGGGACTAGGTATGAGAAATAGGGTTACAGTTACAGCGCGTAGTTAGTCACTATCCGATTCACGTTTTTAAAGTGTGCGTCGTAAAGTTAGAGGAATGACCGGACTCCCCACCTGATCGAGTGTTCCTGATGTCTCAGTTATTATTGCCTGCCCTTTTCTCTTTCCCGATAGATAAACTTCAACGAGTCGGATGTCAAACCCCGCAGTGTGTCGCAGACGCAACCTGCAATTGGCTCATGGGACTCAACTTAGTACGAGCGCCATCTGTACCTAACCTAGGTAAGTTTGACCCCGGTCGCATCAATACGACATCCTAGGTAGCATACAGATAAGATCTCTCGATTAGATGATTGATATTAGTATATTCCGTACTGCATTGCTATTCAGTCGCATTTCTTCAGCCAGTTCAACTTGACAATAAATATATACTAGAGTTGAATTTTGGAGTAACTTTTTATCTTAAGTTTTGAATGCGCGTAGTTATGCCAATATTAAACTATGCTAATGTATCGTTGAATATAAAGAAAACCTTTATTTAAGATTTTAATCTTATATATTTTACATTGGTAACAAGCCATAGTCCCGTGCCTTAATCATAGCACACAGTGCCCATGCCATTCGCTATTTTCCGAACCCAGTTCACCATACCCGCATGACGTCTATTATCCCTATACTGCGTGTATTTATACTCGACTTAAACTCACGACATGGCTGTTTCATCGCTTTCAAAGTCCTTTCTAGTCTCGTCGGGTATTACTAGACTACCTACCTAGGTATACCCCTTTTACGAGGGGCTAGCGTTTTTATTTCATTTGAGAAGTAACCTAATATCCAAATCTTAATCGTGTCCGTACTTTCGCATGTTTTCTTTTTTCTACCACATATAACGGGCAGAATTGAAGACCTTTTATTTAAAAGCCGGCTTTAACATAAAGGGGTTTAAAGGGGGAAGAAAGGGTCTTGGTGGATAGAAAGTGGTCCGTGCATATTCTTGAATGTCCTTGGTGTATCTTGACTTCACATGTGACAGTATGAATTGTAAAGCCTTGCGTGATATACTTATTATTCGTAGTGTAAGAAAATTTTAATTTATTTCAATTTAAATACATGGTTTTTCTATCCGGTAAGCGAGAGGTAACAAAATGGTGTTTAAAGATATAGGTGGACACTTTCTATCTCTTACAGGGTACCTGTCGATCCGGACCTATATAGTAGTGCCTATAGCAGCATTGTGGAGTCTCCATTTTCGTGATATAACCTGGCCTTATGTTTTCGACCCGGAATCCCCTTAGACTCGGAGGATCGGCTCCGCCAAGAAGTCTCGGGAAAGATATCTTCAACTTAAATCCTCGAAATTTTGGATAATTCATTCTCACTTACATGAAATATATTTAAAACCTGAGTTATGTCGTTCCAGAAGACTATGCGCCAGTTTCTGCTTCTTTTTCCATTCACGACTGCTCTTGCTAATATAGTGCAGTCCCGTCTCGAGTCGCAGACATGCGCGGTACCTAACCCACTATTCATATTTGACACTCAGATGTGTATATCTTCTGAGGCTTTTCCTACCGAGCATGGCAGCCCACTTGGTGAATCATCATCGTCACTAAAAGCCTGGAAATCGGGTGGTCTTTGTCGCGGTGCTAGGGCTGATAAGTTCTGTGTCTTCACTAACGAAGTGTTCAACCGGGGTGAAGGCGTCTCAGTGATCACTACCTCAAAGAGTATCACGACTATTTCAACACGGCCGGCTTTCCTCACGGACGAGCCCGAGGAAATCGGTTCAAAATCAGAATTGGCCATCCCCTACCGTGAAGTAGAAATACCAGGTAAAGATATCGGTCTGGTAGCAACAAGGGCGATACGAGCAGGAGAGCTCATAATGGCACAAACGCCTTCTATAATGATAAACGAAAAAGCAATCAATTCTCTAGGAAAGAAAGTTGTATCAGAACTCCTTGTTCGCGCTGTTGAGAATCTCCCTTCTCACCACAGAGAAAGTCTACTTAAGTTGTCAACGCATAGCAGTACAAGCGACTACGGGGATAAAATTTATAAAATTCTCCAAACAAATTCATTCCGAACAGGTTACCACGATGGGATCAATCCATTTTACTCTCTATTCACTGAAGGTGCGTTTATACAAATAAGGCATCATGTTTAGGGCTTCGTGGATCTATGATCTCGTCATCAGCAGTTAATATATGAATTGGCAGTATCGCGACTCAATCACGACTGTCGGCCCACGTGCGCCTACTATTTCGACCACAGAGATTTCCATCATAAAGTATTAGCTGTGAGGGATGTTATGGAGGGTGAGGAACTCACGATAGCCTATTATGAGTGAGTTCGAAGCCATGATAGAAGAGATCTCTACTTACTCAAAAAATCTAGCCCCCTTCAATCGCACTCGACGAGGCAAGAGAAATTACAAAAAGAATGGGGATTCAAGTGTTCATGTCAAAGGTGCAGTGCCAATGCGACGGCGATAGCTGAATCGGATCGTAGAGTTTCTCAAATACATGCTCTATGGAAAGAGTTGGATGACCACTCGGCATCATCAAAAGGATCTTCGAAAAAAGCGGAACTTTTGGTATCGTTATACGAAGAAGAGGGGATCTTAGGCCGGTTAAACGAAGCCTATTACCGAGCGGCAATCGAATATATCGGGGTTGGCGACGCTGAAATGGCAATTAAATATGCTGCCCTGTGCATCGAAAATGGTCTGCTATTTGTAGGACCCGATCGTCCTTTTATTAAGAACATGCAAGAACTCATTGCGAATCCAACGGGGCATGCTAAATGGAAGTTCCGCCTGAGGGCTAATTAAATAATTGTTAAGAGTTATAGGTTAAATATACAATATTACAATATAATACTGGTTTGACGCAAGCAGCATTTATTTTGAGTACTCTTTATTTTCATAAGGCGTTGGGTGGACATGAAGTCATCATCCGGTAAGTAGCCGTCAGCAATCCCGGCTATAAGTCCCGAAGGAAAGCCACCACCCACGCACGTGGCAAGTTGAAATGCATGTTGGCGATTTAGTAATAGACTCTTTAGTAATAGATAGGTACCTAAACATGTGGTTCTGGGAGGGGTTATTGAATTTTGGGATCCGGGGTTATAAGGATCCTATCACGTCTACGTTACAATATGCCCGGTGAGTGGAGAACAAAGATGGGAATAATTCGTCGTAACAGCGTTAATGTAAATCTCACCATTCAAACATACATTATTACCCATGCTAGTTACCATGGAATCACTCATCATCCTTTTCCAAAAGACATTGGTTGAGCACACATTGAGATCCCTTGCCGTCGGGAGTCTTCTCGCAGTACTGCTTTACCTTGTTGGAAATGAAATCCTGCGCAGTCAATCGCGAATTTCCGGATTGAAAGGCCCAAGAGGTCTCCCAATTTTTGGCAATTTAATCGACATATGGTCTAATGCGGCATTAAAGTATCAGCAATGGGCCAAAGAGTATGGCGATGTCTATCAGGTCCAATTAGGGAATACTAGCGTTGTTGTTGTCAATAGTGCTGCTACGGCGAAGGAATTATTTATATCTAATTCTCAAGCTTTAAGTTCTCGGCCTATAGCCTATACATTTCACAAGGTATGTTGTATATGCAATTTGGCTTCCGTGTGCAGCTCTCATTGATGCGTTCTACTCCGTTAGGTAGCTTCCAGTACTGCTGGCTTCACGATTGGCTCGTCGCCCTACGACGATAGCTTAAAGCGAAAGAAGAAGGCTGCGGCCGTAGCATTGAATCGTCCCGCTATCAAAACATACGTCCCGTACCTTGATATAGAGACGAAGACGTTTATTCAGGATCTCCTCAACTATGGAAAAGCCGGGAGGGTTGCAGTTGATCCACTTCCCCTTGTTCAACGAGTGAGCCTCTCGTTGATGACAACAATCAATTGGGGCGTCCGGATTACTTCTATCGAAGATGAATTGTTTAAAGAGATAGTATCCGTCGAGGAGGGACTCAACAAAACCAGATCCACTGTCGGCAATACTCAAGATCACATTCCTCTCCTACGCCTTAACCCCTTAAACCAGAATTCTGCGAATGCTCGACAATTGCGCCAGCGCCGAGATCGGTACCTTTCCATACTGAATAAGGACCTCGCGGAGAAAGTAGCAAAAGGCACTAACAAACCATGCATCCAGGCGAGCGTAATCAAGTATAAGGACGTTCAGCTCAGTGATACCGAATTAGTTGCTTTCAGCTTGTCCGTGCTGGGTGGTGGTTTCGAGACGGTGTCGACTACTGTGCAATGGTCGCTTGCTTACTTTGCGCTGCATCCGGAGATCCAAGATAAAGCCTATGCGGAAATTCAGCAATTCCAGGGGTCCAATGAGCCATTGTGCGATGCTGCCGACGATCAGAAATGCGCTTACGTACTAGCACTGGTAAAAGAAGCTCTTCGATACTTCTCTGTCATCCCGCTAGCGTTACCAAGAGCATCCATCAGAGATGTTGAATACAATGGCGTCGTAATACCGTCTGGGAGCACTGTTTACATGAATGCATGGGCCTGTAATCACGGTAAGAGAACCACCACCACTTCCGATCCCATTATTCCATTATTTAGCTACTTCGGCTTACGCAATAGGTGACCGTAGACCCCGAACTATGGTCTGACCCCGACAGTTTCCTGCCCGAACGATGGTTAGAGAAACCAGAAGCCCCTTTATTTACGTTCGGCCTGGGATACCGTATGTGCGCGGCGCATATCCTTGCTACCCGTGAAGTGTATATTATCTTTATGAGGCTATTGAGTAGTTTTCGCTTCATGGCCTCGGGTGATATACGATGCGATCCTAGCGTCGATATGGTTAACCCAAAAGATTTAATCATGGTTCCTAAACCATATCGTGTATACTGTGTGCCTAGGGACGAAGAGAAGCTCAGGGCAGCACTGGATATATCTGAATAAAGAAACGGTCCTGGAGCAACTATTATCACGTCATTAAATTAACCTTACTTGAATATCGCGCTCTAGTTCCCCTTTATACGATAACGCGAGGGATGAATCCCGAGCCGGGATAGATACCGGGAATGTGCTGGATGCGATGCTGGATTTGTGAGAACGAAACTTATTCTTAATCACCGTCACTACTTTTCTCCGCTCCCAATGAAGGCAAAGAATTCCAACCCTGATTATGGGTGTTTGTGGTCATACATACCGATAATATCCTTTGTTCTAAACGTTTCACCCAGAATCCTAAGGGTTTCCGATATGTATATAGCACATTGTTAAGGATACGGTCTCTTTCAGGAGTTATAAAGACTCCTGAAAAGTTTAAACAGTTCATAATCATATTGTCCACAATTGGCTTCTGGATATCTCCTATAAATTAGACCGAGTATTCTCTGTGATGGAAAGATTATATCATAGCATTCGCCATCGATCACTATCTTCAACTAAAGCCAACAATACTTTATAATTAGTTTTATCTTATTTCCTAAAACTTTCCACCATGTGCTATAGGAACGTTTACATATACGCAGGCTGTGGTTGCGCGTACGACCCGCCTAGGGTAGTGCACACCACCACGACTCCGACTTGTTCACCTCCTTACCCGGACAGAACAGTCACTAGACCCGGGAACTGCAGTATGCACACCATAGAAAGCTAGATCCAGATATCCCTTACTCATGGGATCTACGAGGAGCAAGGCTGCTGTCACAGATCCAACCCTATGGAATAGGATCATTAGTACCTACTCTAGGTAGGTACTTAGCCAAGCGCTTATATGAGGCGATTTATCTAGTCTACATACTATAGTTCGAATTTATAACTTTAATAAAACATACATTTATGTACACTTACTTAAATTTAAACCTGCGCATAGCTGACCGTGTATAATTTATGATGTTCATTCTAGGTGCTACTAGAGATACAGATTTGTTTTCAAGAATTCTTTTGCCTAATATGACCCTACTTAGGGTGACTCTCTTCATTAACCCCTATTTACGCTACGAGCTTGCTTATGCTTAACCATGTACGTCTATACGTCTATATGCCAAGACCAAGAGTTTCACAATAGGTACTATTTGGGAATGAAAATTCGGTATATGTATCTAGGTAGGTAAACTATATATGACCCTAATTCGCATAGGCTCTTATGAAGTCCTGGATCTCTGCGTCGCTGAATTCTTTCACGCCGAGCAAATCGTTATCTACCTTCTCGAAGTGGCTACCGTATCCTTCTCCCCATATCGCCGCAGCTATAAACGCCATTCTATCGATATTGCCCTTCTCGAGCTCTGCGTAGGCTTGCTTGAGGTGCTCATCGGTAGACTTGACTTCTGACTTCCATCCGTCTGATCCAACCGCTTTCTTGGCTTGCTCGAGGAGCTGCTTCAGGGAAATTTGTACATTGTGCACATAAACATTGCGGTTCTTGGTCTCTTCAGGGTGCTTAAGGACCCCCGATATGGCCTTGGCGGTGGATTCCCTAGTAGTGATGCTGAAAGTCTTGTCGCCGCCGTTCCAAAGTGTAACGTTCTTGCCCTTGGGGTCGATGAGAAAGCCGTACTGGAGCCCCATATCCAAGAAAGGCCCGGTGGATATTAACGTGTATGTTATAGAACCAGCCGCTGCCTCCTTCTTCAGGACTTCGGTGACAGCATTCTTCGCGTGGAATGGAGGTAAGCTAGAAGCCTTCTCATTCGTCGCATCTCCACCATATTCCGAGGGGATAAAGCGCTTGACGCCAACTTTAACCGCGGCTTGAACTAGAGGGATTTGGGAGGGCAATCCAGTGAAGCCAACGGCTGACACAACCGCATCTTGGCCATTAAGCGCCTTCTCAAGTGACTCGGGAGACTCATAGTCGATTTCAGCAACAGTCACCGAGGGCGGGAAATCTTTCGTGGCTCCTTTACGGGCAAGTACGGTGACTTCAAAACCGTCTGCGAGGAGCTGTTTCAGTACTATTGGGCCTACGTTACCGGTAGCCTATATTATGTTAAACTATTAGCCGCTAATTCCCTCTCATGCCAGATGAGACGCTCAGGTGAATTCTTACCCCTGCGATTGCGACTTTAGTAATGCTACTCATCTTGTCGAACAAATTCGTTCGTAATAATGTCTGTCTTCCAACTAAGGTATGAATATCTTGGAATCAGGTATGTGTGAATTACTACGTAAGATACCTCTGAACATATTTGATGTGGTACTGAGGGGTACATATAGTTTTGCTTCGTCCGTGTCGCTTGAGGTTATGGCATGTAAGAGGCAACGAGCGTCATACATTACCATCACATCGGTATTCTTATATAGTCCGAAGCCGACGCACACATCCCATAAGCTCTCTATACGCATAACGGGCGAGATATCAGTGGAAAGTGACATCTCGTAGGACCAAGTGCGGATCCTGCGTTTATGGTATCAAAGCTGGTCATACGTGATTCTAAGGGTAGCCATTGTTACGTAAGTGAGGAATGGCAGTAGATAGATACTTCTCGTAACTAATCATACTTGTTACTTGATTACCAATAGAGATTCCAGGTGTCGTTCGGTTGAGAGGACGAAGGTGACATTGCGGCTTTTGACGAGGGTCTTATTTCCGCGCTTATAAATTGAGCACCACTCTATGCTCTAATGTAGTATCGACCGGAAACAATTCCACGCTAAAGAGCGAGCTACCTACCTATTGATCACGTAAATGGTGTTGACGTGCTTGATGCAATATCGTACGTAAAGCCGAATAGAAGCGAGGATATAGAAGTTTTAGTGTATTACAAAGGTTCTGATCTGAGGAACATCTTGGAAATACCTAACTGAGACGACTGGAGGGATGATATTTTATCGATACGGTGGTATCCCTGTTCATAAGGAATCTAATATATTACATATAGGTACCTCATAGGAGCTTGATGGGTCCCGTAGCTTTTCGGCCGAACTAGATAGATCACCGAATATAGTGGAGTTGAAGAGCATTCCATTAACCGTTATTATATCTATTACCAACGTTGACAGCTTTTCAACTTTAGGAGCCTAGATTAGGTACCTAACATAAGCTCTACTTAATAACATTTTCTTCTGTTACTGGTAAGAGGTATCTAATCTGCTACATATGATATTAAGACTTTGATATAACCTCGAATCATCACACATGGAACGTATAAGCACCAATCTTGATCCCATGGTTATTAGCATTAAATGCCTCAATGAATGCATATATGGTGTAGTTGATAATACGCAATGATAATGTTGAAGAATGTTTTCATAGACCTGAACGCCACACAATACCTTTCCATAAAGGCGTTGAGCCTATTGAGCTCTAAGATGCATTCCCCATACCGTGTCCATGGATGAGCTTGATGTTGAGATCCCACGCTCCAGCCCCAAAAACGCCTCAAATGCACACGCATACCTACCTAGGTAGATAGGTAGGTAGGTATCTAATCTTGTCTTGTAATCTACCTGTATGTCCTATTCAGCCCAACAAGACTTAGGAACTCGTTTCTAGTCTTTTCCTTTCTTTCGAAACAGCCGAGCACGCAACTAGTGATTGTGCTAGTAGTCGTCTTTTCAACACCCCGCATGACCATGCTACAATAATGGTGGTCAGTACTTGTTTATTAGGAGGGCAGCCCTCAAGACAAAGGAAGAATAGGAGGCAGGGGAATGGTACTGACCAGAGATGGCTTGACTCCATCACAACTGCCACGCCCTGAGGTTTTAGAACCTCCATGATAGCATTGGCAACTTCTCTCGTTAGTCTTTCCTGAACTTGCAGTCGGCGGCTGAACATTTCAGCAATACGCGGTAGCTTAGAAATGCCGATAACATTCTTGTTCGGAATGTATCCGATATGCATCTAATAGAAAATTAGAATATGAAGTGAAATAGCGAATTGGGATGACTGACCTTCCCAGTAAAGGGCACCAAGTGGTGTTCGCAGAGACTGAATATTTCTATATCTTTCACGATAACCATCTCATTATGGTTCTCATGGAAGATAGCATTGTTCACAATGTCTCTGACGTTTTGCTGATATCCCTTTGTAAAGAATAGCATCGCTTTCGCATATCTTTTCGGTGTATCAAGAACGCCTTCTCTATCCGGGTCTTCGCCAACACACTCTAGAATTGTTCGAATGGCTCCTCGCATTTTCTCCAATCTCTCGGCTGCCTGCTCGGAGCTCTCCTCAAGTCGTTCTCGGGTCCCCCGGCCTGAACTGTGGTAAGCGGTGGGAGTGATTCATTGAAGGGGCTCAAATACGTACTCGGTCGGCTCAGGCCATCGAAATCAATAACAGGACTAGGCGATCTACTTTCTATATCCTCGGTCTTGGCCTTCTTGTGCTTCTTTCCCTGGGGCTCATCCCTAGGATCTCGCGCTGCTTTGCTAATGCTGTTCTTCCTCTTTGACGACTTTGAATGTCCATTCATCTCCGATATGCCTCCATCTTTTAGTCTTCTTCTCCTCTTCTTCTTGCTGGCCCTTCTATCGTCTCGACTTTGGTCGTGCTCTTGTATTTCGCTGCCATGAACGGAATCGTCAACATCGGAGACTCCCGTGACGGAGCTGGTAGAAGAATCTATGGCTGCCATTTCTAAACCGTTGAACTTTGGGTCAGCAAATTGTACCATTTTTCTTTGCCCCGGCCGAGGCGTCAAACTGGCGCAAGGGACGTTATAAGAGGGGCTGTCTCTGGGTTTGTCTCTGGGTTTAGTGTAAGGAAAGTTATGTATGAACTTACGGAACTAGAAAATCTGACTGTAGGTTCCAATCAGCTCAATCAGTTGAAGCACATGTATGATTCGCGGAGGCGAAGTCCTTTGGTGCTTATGGCAGCTGAGAAGGAATCTTCTAATCAATCCTTAGGTACTCTAATGCTAGCTTTATTAGATTTGCAAGTATCGAAAACCGACCCTGCAATTGTCCATTATCGCGTTATCGTCTTATCAAGCTCATAATAGTGGTACAAGTAGGTACTTGTAAGAGTTCAGTTCTTGTTCATGGGGTTAGCTTCGGCTTATGTAGGTGGTACCTCCTAACTATGGTACATAGTAGGTACCTAATACCTTAGGAGGTACCTACCTTTGTGCATACATCTTGTACCTAACGCATAATGATGTTTGTTACCTACCTAGGTAGGTGCTTTCTTCGATTGCCTCAGGTACCGCTTGCCTTCAAGGCTCCTGATTGCATGCCCCATGTGGCTTGAGTTTGTGTAGGTACCTATGTATCTATCAGTGGCTCAAGCTCCTTCGTCTTAGCAACAACAACATACCTTCTCTACGATTGCCATTTTATTAACCATCCGCCCTTTTTACGCATCATCTCCAGTCAAACCTACCTAATTGAACTCCCAATCAAGTTGTTCAACTAAAACGTCCGCTACTTCCCGCATCCAAACTGACTACGTTTTCTACCTAAGAGTTCGGTAGCTCGGATCCGTCGCGCCCTCTGGAGACTTCGAGTGGGCTTCACTAAACTAGGCCTCTAAACAAGACAACATGGCATCCCCTCCGCGCGCCTACTCGCCTGCGGGTTCTCCGCCGTACTCTTCTAGCGCGCAGTTACCATCGAAGAAGCGTGGCTCCACAACCGCCGATCTCTCATCTCAACCGCCTTCCCTCAAACGTCGCAAAGCATCTGTCATGTCCGTAGCCTCCGTAGGTTCAGCCCATCCTCTTCGACAGACATCCTTTCCGCCCGACGAATCTCAAATTCAAGCCTTCTCCCCATCCTACCGACGATCTCCAAGTGTCGATACCATGAGCCTCGTGAGTGGTAGTCAGGTTAGCGGCGTGCCCGCGAAGAAAAAACGCGGCAGGAAGTCGAAAGCGGAGCGCGCAAGCGAAGCGGCTGCCGAAGCCATGCGAGATGGGTCTCCAAGCGTCGCAGGAGGTCGCGCAGCTACTGTCATTAGTAATGTGAGCGGTAATCATGCTGGGAAGGATGCCGACCCAGACTCGAGGAAAGAAGAGGAGTTCGAGATACCCGAGAATATGGCTAGCATGTCTGCTGCTCGAACTAAGGAGCAGATTGAAGAAGAGAAGGAGTTAAATGCGCTTCTCAAGACGCAAATGGATGCTCTGCAGTTTGATCGGTATGAAGTTTGGCACCGTCAGACTCTCAAGGGTGCCGACGTTAAGAGAGTAAGTCGTCATACCTATACCAATGGTTACCCCAGTTGATTATGGTATAACTAACCGTCCCCATCCTTATATAGCATATCAACAGCGTCACATCACAGTCGTGCCCTACCAATGTACATCAGATGATGCAAGTAGTCTGCAAGATGTACCTCGGAGATATCGTCGAGTCCGCACGTGAGGTTCAACAAGAATGGGTACAATTAGGCGAGAAGCAAACCGATCTATCAGACGACGATCTTGAGCCTGCGAACGAGTTATCGAAACACCGCCGTCAAGCCCCCTTGCGGCCCGAGCATCTTCGCGAAGCATACAGACGCCGCAAGGCCGGTACCGAAAATGGCGGCTCTTTGGGGAGCTTGATGGTTTGGAACCAGCAAACGCAAAACGGAGTAGAAAGATTCGCGGTAAGAGCAGGTGGCCGTCGAATATTCAAATAATGTTCTATTGTGAGGATCATCTCTACTTCGACTTCGGAAGATGCCAGGGCTCAATACTTTGAATATTGAGTATATCTTACTCATAGGACCTGCCTATATGACAAAGGTATTGTTGGCAATCCATAGAGCACGATGATACTGAGTGCCATGCTTAACAATATCTTGTATCTGTTTAGGTCTTTTACCGTGCACTAGTAGAGAAAGTATACTGCTTAGCGCTCAAACCGGCCATGACCTTTCAACACCACGCCTAACGCCTAGTCGGGTCGGCTATACGGGCTCACCCAATTCCACCTGGTTCGATCGACCATATATGTTATTAGATACAGACACGGGTCAAAAACTCACAGGCAGCTGGATGACTGAAAACCATAGCACATTCAAGACTGCCCTAAAATGTATGCCTAACGATTGCTCTAGAATAGGTCAGAGCAAGGGGCTGGTCTTCTCATAGCTGGTACATAGCAAGATTGATACGCAAATACCTTATATAGCATTTGGTATTCGACGGCAAGAGTACATCCATTTATGGTATCTCCAATAATGCTCAGGTCCCTGATCTACCTACATAGAGGCAGGTAGAATATGAGATTTCAATAAAAGCTTAATTACATTAATTTATGGAGTAGCTATGTACAACTTCCGAGTTAAATATTTAAATTAACTCCAGTCGTACGAAAATTCCCGTTGTAGCTACGTCATTCTTAACAAGAATATTTTCTTTACCTCGACAGCGACAGCGTACTGAAAAGGTACATGGTTTAATGCATCTATTCGCTTTCACGTGATATAGCTAGCTTTGCATTGCCCCCACCACGTATCCCGGATTATAAGGTGGTGTAGAAAACTTTTTTGTATAGTACATCAGCCCTTATAGCTCAGTGGTAGAGCGCAGCACTTGTAATTCTTCTTCTGAAGATCTTCTGCAAGTCCATGCTGAGGTCCATCGTTCAATCCGGTGTGGGGGCACATTATCTTTTTGGCAACTTTCCCTTTTTCAACGCCCCCTTTTTACATTTTAATTCTTTCTCTTGAAGAAGTTGATTGATGTTGTGCAAACAACACCAATTAATTGCCCCTAGATTTATTTCCCCATCCTTTGGGTAACTTCAAAATACGTTAATTACTAGCTGCGAAGCAATCAGTGGCTGTCTATCTTATGTATGTTTACTTGCTCATGTCAAATGACGGAATTCAGGCAACTATTATAAAACAGGATTGCTTGATTGATTGGCCTTTTCAATATAAGCGACCGTGATCAAGCTCCGATATGTAGTTTGAATTATGGCATGCTTGTCGCTTTTATTGTCAAGATACAAAATAATTGCCCAGATTTAAAGCAATCAACGAGCCGTGTAAACACGAGTGTATACTTTAGTTCGTATTTGCATCATCCGGCATATGCGAATTCTCAACTGTAACTCCGATGTAGTTGGTCTTTACCTATCATCAGGTATATCGGTTAACCCTGAGAAGAAATGTGGGCTGGTGGACATCGTATAAGGAAATTCCGAGCAGATATCTAGATCACTGGCTAGATAAACGATATACATACATCCATACCTCTAGATATAGGCTCTGCGGTATGGCATTATCGTGTATTCTTATCTACACCACGGTCGTCTTCTACAATTGGCGCGTAGAGGACTTTGCCCACGACGCCAAACAGGATAGAACCATCCCTGGATACGTTGGCGGTGGATACTTTTGGATCAAGATGTCTATCTCCGCCAGCTGCCTTGCTACATTACCATCGTAAGTCTCAATAAGCCATCAACCTTATCGATGCATTTGTCAGGTTAGCTAATCGTTTCCGCCAGCTTAATACACCTTGTCCTATTCATCCGCGACTGCGTCGAAGTCGACAAGCAGAAGAAGGTTGCTAAGCAATCCAGGGAAAGAGAAATGGAAACACCAAGGGCCTCAGTTGACCCTCGGGATTCAATAGCCCATGTTCCAGAATCGGAACCAAAGGCCGGACGACAGAGCGAGGACTACGATGGGAAGGTCGACTTTAACAAAGTACTCGTAGGGAAGAAAGAATAATTATTCGTAATAGAAAAATGCATCTTTGAACCAAACCTATGGACCGAGCCTACGAGGGGCTTCAGTAGATTATGAATACCTATCATCAAGGCACTCAGTCGACATGATAATATATGATAGTACGTTAGGTACGTATTGTAGGGAGTGACAGCTTAGTCATCAAAGGGGTCACTCCTGAATCATGTAGCTAAGTACCTATGTGAGGTACCTATGTCCATCCCTGAGGTATAATCGCACAGAACGAACGCGTGCGACTCTAATACACTACCAGACTTGTTAAGTAAGAGTTTTTCTAGATCTAGGTACCAAGTATAAAGTGTGGAATACCGTATATAGTCCTATTTATCAGTGCCATATTTCACTTATCATTTAGATCATTAATTTACGATGAATAATTGGGGAATAATTTGGAAATGAAGTAGCGCAGTAAGTTTTATACTGCTCTAACTAGTGGTAGTATTCACAGTATAGGACTGTGTAAATATTTAAGGGCGTCTAGTCGACGGCGAAACCCGTTCTGACGCCGAGACCCCATTGAATGACGGATATCCTGGTACTGTATCAGTCACCCTTTTTCGCGGACACTTGCCATATCAGATGAGCGAATATGCATGTGCCGTGCCCATGGTCGTAGGCCACCCAGAATGTTTATAGATCTTTCTCGAGGCTATCAAAAGGTAGGTTTGCTAAGATAGAAGCTGACCGGATTGTGCTTCTCGGTGGCAGGCTGCTTCAATGCCCCAGAAAAAGAAAACCAGAAGTTTTCCTCGGAATATAGAGCGCCTTCATAATATTTCGGCGGAGAAGAGAAAGTATCAGGTAGTTTTCCGGTATATCTCTTTCATGATCACTAGTCCTTGATTCTGCCTTTTCTCATCCTCATACTCCAAACCGTGCTATTCTGGAATACCCCCAAGGTGTAAAGTATGCCATTTAATAGAAACTCTAGGTAATTTCCGTCTGCTTTAATTGCGGCTCTTGGTATGAATGGGTATGGTAGGATGATCCGGTTATGTGATGATGCTAGTTGCGGTGGATGATCATATGTAGGTTTGGTTGGACTAAGTGACCGCCGCTAAGGAAACGTTGCGTATGACATCAAAAAAGTCGATGGTAGGGTATAATGTCGTGAGTGTTGGTGAAAACATCAGAGTCAGGGGTAAATGACGGCTACGTGAGGCGGTTTATAACACGTCCAATCACGGTATCAAGAGGCATGTATTGAATAAATTCCGGAATAATGTATCGTCCCATTCAGGGAAAGGCACCGAAGTATTGTATAGTAACTAATACCTTTATTATAATGAATATGAGCGCCAAAAACAAGCAATAGCGGACAGGTGACGAGGGGAATATATTTAACATACCTGATGCGATGGTGTTGGAGGGAAAATAGTACAGAATGATCATTAGATCAAATTGTGAAATCATGCGAGACTTGCGATATGTTGGAGTAGAGTTGCGTAATGAGATATGAGCTATCCATTTTTGAGTCCACTCGGTCTCTGATATCTTCGGTCGGAAAGTGAAATAAAATTTATTTCCTGGTAGCCATCTAGATTCAGAATATGGTGCCTATTAAAAGAGAGAAGATTCTCTAAATGAACAGTCCGCAACGAGTGTGGCTTCAAAGAGGCGAGGTTAACCGAGGATTATGTCTTCCGGTTGACCAGTTAATCGGTCTTCGATAGCCTTGTAGCGATCCTGCGGATTAGAGATTGCTGCCTCCTTCTCTACTACGACGACAAATTCTAGACTTTTCAATCCTGTGTCGATACCGGGACCCTTCTTCCACTCCTCGAAACGCTTTAGGAGAGCGGCTTCGTGGTCATTTTCCTTGACCCGAATCATTGCTTTATTCCTCTTGTCCACACCCTTCACAGCAATTCTCATTAAATAAAGCGTCTCGACATTATGCCACGATCGTGTAATGGTTTGCCAACATGGCTCTGTTGTAGGAGGTAAGTTGGGCGATTCTGCTTGTACTGCTAAGCATCGCACCATAGAACGGTCACGTAGATCGTACTGGTGTCGAGCACAATAGCATCCACGGCAACCACCATGACAGGGTTCAAATATTACAATGTCGTTAGCAGAAACAGCCTGAATTGTTCTAGTGTTGAAAGAACCTGTGGTTGGATTATACATGGCAAAGAGCTTTAGGTAATGGAGCCCCGCGACCCATCGCGACAGGCGGCACGTATTGAACCAGGTAGGTTGTTCGTTCTGAACCTCAGATTGAGCTTCGGTATGCGATAGTGAATATCGGTTCATGATATATACTAGACGTGGTTCTATGGCAGCCTCCCATATCATCATTTTGAGTTCGTCCGGAAGGTCAGAATACCTATAAAACTCGGTGAGGGGCTTCATAAAGCGTGGAGAGCGGCGAACTTGTGTACCAATACCAGCATGGTTAGTTTTAAGCCGTTTGGCTGACTTTCGCTTTCGCCTATTATCCTGAGGTTCGATGATTAAATTTGCGGTCTCCGGTATCATAATACTTTCATTATTGAGGCGAGCAGACCGACGAGTTAGTATTCGAAGCTGGCCAGTTAAAGGGTGCGATGCGGATGTTTTCTCTAGCGGCAACGATTCAATAGGCTGAGCCTGGTTTCTCACCACGCCAGCTAGATCAGAAGCAACTTCGTCGGAGTCGTCAATCTGATCATCGATAATAGAGCTAACATCTCTCGAGTCTTCAAGTTTGGACACATTCAGATTCGATTTGTGTTTCTTGGACGAGTTCTGAAGCTTCTCTCTCAGTGAAGCAGATGTGATATACGGGATGGGATCAACTAAATCGGCGAGGTGGGATTTGGTCATAGATCGTGTCACTGGGCGGGTATGATATCCCGAGTCGGTTAAGGACGGGGGAAGGACACTGCCATGTGCAGGCGTCGACATCATGGGTGAATCTGTCATTTCAATATCGTGGAGGTGGTCGGGCTGAAAATCCAAGCCTGATTCACGTTTCTTACCACGCACATGATTGTCCACATAATTGTCGTCAATTCCATCTTCGACCTCATTTGCGTCAGCCATTTTGAGCTCGGAAAATAACTGTCCTTGGCTATTCTCCTGTTCTTGACTTGAAGGTAATAAGGTAAAGTTAGTACTAGCCCAGATACCTAGTAGGGAGGTAAGATATGGAATGATATCTGTCGAGGGCATGAGTCGGTTGCGAAATCGCAACAATATGTCGATTCTCACACGGCTTTAATTGCGCACGTGGGTAAGTCGAAGTCCTAGTGGGTGGTGATACAAGCGTTAAGCTGTGCGGTAGCTGCTGTGACGCTAAATATGTACCTAAGGTATCGTAAGTTAGGTACCTAAATAACCTAGGTAAGGCTTGTGAAAATGCCCTCAAGGACGAAGTCGAGGAAACCCGATTTAAAATCGAAAATAAGCTCCGGAAATTTTAACACAGGAAATAATAAGAAAGACACAACGTTCCGTCTTTCCGTCGAGTTCTTTCCTTGTCGCAGGAGCCGGGTGATTGAGTGAAGTGTAAGGTACCTTCGTAAGATAGATCCCTAGGGCTGCTGGGGTATTTGAAGTGACTGAGGGTGATCGAGTGTGATGGAGTTCCAAGGTCTAAATGAAGAGCTGAAGAGCGCAACCCAATGATCACGAAAGTCGTGCAACGTCAAAAAATCTACGTAAGGTAAATAGACGAGTCTTGTAATGCAATAATTTCCCCGAAACCCTAGGTTTTATGAGGTAGGTAAGTAACTTTTATTTTCGCATTGAGACATTGGTAAAGGTTAAAGTTGATAAGTTACCTACCTGGTACCCAAAGGTATCGTACCTTAGGTACCTACGTGCACCTAGGTAATCTACCTTGATGCGGGGCAATCGTGGAGGAAGATAAGAAGGAATGGGCGGTACGACGGCCTGATAGTGGGGCTTCACCAACGTGGCAGGCGCGGAAACCGCAGATGTTATGTTTTAGCACCTTAGCGAGCTGGCCCCCTGTAGCTTATAGGCGCTTACTTTATGTATTGTACCTAGGTACCTAATTTTAGACGCCTCTCAGTTGATAGTCCGGTTGTTAATTGTGCGGCATGAACACATCCATCTAGTTAAGCACTCTAGTAACTCACTTTAGTAACCACCACCCACGCCATGAATAGTGCGGCCTCTCTTACATGTAAGAGTATTTAGAGTGTGAGCGAATTGGCAACCCTCTCTCACTTAAGCGAGAAGGTTGGGGTTATCAATTCTATTCTATAGACAATAACTTTCGAGTTTCACGCTGATACCTTGAAATTCCTATCAAAAACATATGAAGACAGGTGGAACTAGCACTATAGTTTCATCAGATTAAAAAAATAAACAAATCTAAATAAGCCTAGCTAAAATCAAACCGCTGGTATAACTAAAATTCCAAATAGTTACCCCATACTATCTATACTAAGCGTTATAGTAGTTTCAAGATCTAGGAGTAAATGTCCCAACGCGTTAATATTTATATTGTCAATATGACTACATTAAACTTAAGCGGATCTCAAAAAAGGTAACAACGTCTTTAAGTTGCCAGTAAAATTAGAAGATATCCGATTCTAGGCCGATATCTTAGTACAATTTAAAAGACAACTCTAAGATAAGACTTTAGTTCAGACAACTAGACCGAAAGCTATAAAAATATATTTCTAGCCACGAGAATATAGATTACAAGTGTATGACTATTATTATTTCCACTGTGTAAATGGCTTAGGTATATTGTCGTAGAGTCAATGAAGCAATTCATTAAGTGAATACTCTTATGGTACCTGAACGTACCTAGATAGTAAAGTTTTGAAACAATAACTTGAATACGTATTATTTGTGCGTTTCCAAGGCTGCAAGTAATGCTATCTTACTATCAATTAAGAAGGCGAAAATCAAGAATATTTGAAGTAACACAAGACGAAAAGCGCTTACAATTCGAGCAAGATACAAGCTCAAGCCAACTACCTTCGTCGGTCGTTGTGTAAACTTTGTAAGCATTATAGCCTATAACGTTACGTCCTACGTCACTTGGTCACTCTATTATTACACCTGTGACCAAGTTCCATGCAATACCTATGGAAGGTTCGACTATCGGACATTTTCCCCCCTATGTATCACCCATTACCCACGAAATTAGCATCTGAGCAAGCTTGTACGCCCATGTCACTACCAAACAGCATTATTGTGATTCATTATGAGTAAGTGCTTTAATTCAATGTCTAGTTCAAAGTTATATCATCCCTTTTCTCCAGGCTCTTATAAAATGCGTCTCCCTCCTCTATATTTAACGCTGGTTTATTCCTGTCGAAGATCCAACAGGATATCCGATCATCAAACTTCGCCTCAATAGTCGACTTAACGTACCTTTGACAATCCATCATTTACACCCTCGGAAACATTATCCAACAATGTGCCACGCAGACATTTGGTATTACTATTGCCTAACCTGTGGCAGAGGTCCATTAAACAGAATTCCTACCGTATGTAATGAAATTCTCCTTCGATTCCCTGGCTCCAGACATACCTATCTCATATCCAGGTAGGTTTGGGAATGAGCGCTAACCTATAATGTTAAAGTACGTCTGGCAATCCGTTTGCGATAGCTCTTACGCATCAACTCCATCATGCCCAAATTTGTCAGTGGAGAGACACAATTCCCGCGGAGACGATTGCCCAGCATGGGGTAAACAACACTTACCTCCACCTCCACCACCTTTCCCTCGAGGCGGGAACGCCAGTGGAACTACTTCAAAGTAGTTAGGAAGAGCCTTGAGTAAATGGGAACAATGTATTAGACTGCTGGCGGGTACGCGGTATGATAATTTGGTCCGAACTGTTTGCTTAAGTTCTTATATACCTAGGTATTGAGTTAATATGAACATTCCTCATTCCTATTTCTTCCGGGTCGCGATACGTTTTATTCGTAGTCTCCCTGTATGATAAGGCATTTTGGGGCTTATTACTTCTAGCAATTATTAGTAAATAGGTACAACTTAAACCATAGCAGTGATAGCAGTAATATTTATCCAATAAAATTTAGAATGCCTTACGAAGCTTTAAGGGTAGAGTTAAAATACCACTATAGAGCGGGCTGATGCTTTTACTTTAGGCGCTATGGATCAAGGACTAGGTGTTCTAGAGTCTAGTGTTTAAGAAATGAATTACAATGAGTTAACAGTCTGTATGTTTACCAAAGCGAATGTTCGGCTGGAACATAGCGATTATTTTCAAACTATGTTATGTTTCCGTTTTGTTTTATTTCTATGCTCAAGTTCGGAAACAATGATCAAGTTACCTGGGTGTTTAGGTGAATATATAATATTGGGGTGCCACTCGATACAGCAGTAAAATATATTGGCAGAACAGTCAAAGAAACCAAGCGAAAAACTCTTAATATTACAACTACTATTACATTGAACCAATCGAACAACTTGTATAAGAGAGGAAAATGGGTTCCGGAATACCAAATAAACAGGAGAAGCTAAGCTTCGGTATAGAAATGGAATTCTTTGTAGCGTGGCGAGCTGAGACTTTCACCGGCACGGTACCAACGCCCCCGGGATTCGAGTCAAAGACCGGGGAGCCCCTGGTGGTTAAGGGGAACTGGGCGACGGAGGGTGACAGGGTGAGTGCTCTGGCTCATATGATAGACGAAGCATTCCCATCGTGCGCAGCAACAGTTGCTCCGTCGGAAGGAGAGATACCGGACTACAGGACTGAGTCGTGGTATCATCTATTGCCCTTTCGCCATCATTGGGATGTTTCAGTCGATTCTTCACTGAACAGGCTGCCCGTAGAGCTGAGAGATAAAACCGGACCAGATTTCGGATGGGTCGGCGCTGAAATTGCTTCGCCGGCTCTCTGGGCTACAGACGAGGGCTTCGAGGAAGTCCGCAGAATGTGTGAGTTTCTCCAGACAAACCTTTTGACATTCACCGCTCCTGAAGCTGGCTTCCACGTGCACGTAGGCGGGGGAAACGAATGGCTATCTCTAAGTTCGCTTAGACAGATTGCCGCTTTTCTCTATTCAGCAGATATGGTATTAGCTCAGTCTCACCCCGAACACAGGTACAATAATGCATGGTGTCCGAGCCCACGCCTTTATTCTAATCTTTCCGTCGGGATCAAGCACCTCCCTAACCAAGCCCAGCCTGCTCCTCCAGACGAACGATTAGCGTATGCTGATTCCATGGGGCTCGCAAAGAACTCTTCCCAAGATCCGGTAGGTCCTGCTAAGCCTCCGCGGGAAAATCAAGACCCCGCAAAGCATCGATTCTCTCCCCGACCAACTGTAAGTAACTTGAAAATCCAGACGCATGCGCTAGAACGGGTCTTGAGTTATCTTGGGTCAGACCTCGAGGAGATTCCGGACCCCCGAACTTACCTGCCGACCCCGATGATGACTGCTGTTGCCGAACTTCTAAGATCGCCGGATAGAAGGTCCATCGCAAGGCTCATGAACATCGGACAGAGGAAAGGAGCGTACAGCTTCATACAGCTCGAAAGAGAATATAAAAGAACAATTGAGTTCCGCCAGGCTGCCAGCATGGTTGACCCAGTTGGAGTTGTTGCTTATGCAAGGATTGCGGTAGGTCTTTGCCAGTTCGCTATAACTGCCAGTCATGAAGATTTCTTCAAGATAATTCTTGACTGTAAAATTTCAGAGAGACATCCCTCTTGGTACGACGTTTACGATCTCCTCGAAGACGTAGGTCTCTACCCTGAAGCTAAAGTCGTACAGGCAGTTTTATCAGACACGATGACCGATGATATGCGAAGGGAATATTGGTTGAGTCGTGGGCACGCACCACGTCCATAATTGTCTGATTGGTTCGAATTTAGGGATAGGTTGTGGGATTTATGACGGGAATTTACCTGTTTTGAAGATGGAATGGGCTCCAATAGGGACGCATTGCTTCCAAACTCTTTGAGTTACAGTTGTCCTAGATTCAAAGACTTGATATGAGGTAGGATAAAGAGATAGTTTGCCTTAGGTGGCTTTGAAACCCCTTGATAATAATTGAAACAATCTGTAAGTAAGTTCCAACGTATTTTATTGATGTGAATAATACTCCCCAAGTATTTCGGAGGTCGACATATTTATTACACCAGATATGTTGATATAATGAGATAGGTATGTTGGCTTGATTTATGCCAATTCCGCCTCGTCCATATTTCTAATAAAAAGGCTGTACCATTGAACACCTTTAATATGCGCAAAGATACTAAGCTTCTCGTCGACAGTGTGTATTCCATCGAGCCCTTCCTGTTCGGGATCCCAGCCAGGACCATACCGAAAGATATGCTTTGTTAAGTCCCAGTAATATCTTGTGTCAGTATTTCCTGTCATAATTCCTGGTGAAACAACAAGGTTCTCGCCGTAAAGAGCTCTACTAGTTCCAGAGAGCACCGAGTATGGCGTCACCCCATCAACAGACGTTGGCGTTACCGGCGCAGGTTCTAGTGTGTTTGGCATTAAGTTGAGGGTAATAGATCGAGGCGTTTCTGGCTCGTCGTTGAAGGCGTGAACCGTGAGGTTATGCTTATCAGCAATTTGTTCGGCTAACCTTATTAGCTTCTTTTGTACATCAGACGAATGCTCGCCAACATTGACTCGGTGGTCGACAAGTACTCGAATACGTTCGGGTAGTGCATTGCTCTTGACGCCCCCGCTAATTATATCAGGCGCTACCGATGTTGTAAACAGATACTTAACAATATCACCCTCCTTTGCTGCCTCTAAAGCAAGCTTATCCTTCTTAGCTCGCTCGTCATGAGATGGGAGAAGCTTCTTTAGCTTGGAAGGGAATTCTGTACCGTGAGCAGCACCACATTGCAGGAGACTAAGGAAAGGGTTCTCGGGGTGTAGGCGTGGCTCGTATGGGTTGGCTAAATCGTGAGTCATGATTAGTAGCTATTCCAAGGGTTTTTATTAGGGTCTTAGTCCAATAGAGCGGCGTCGTATTAGGATATTGAACTCCAGGGACTACCTTCACAATGTAATGAGACATCAGCTACTAACCTTCGATGGTAGTGATAAGTTCCGCCATGACCCCTATTCCATTATGCGCAGGAGGAACTGACGAATGACCACCAGGCATACGGATGATGATTTCAACATCTATCGCGCCCTTTTCAGCAACGCCAGGAAGGGCAAATGAAGAACCCCAAACAGTTGACGTTCCAGCCCCCTCGTCCACAATGACTGCAGCACCATCTTTTCCATATTGGGAAACTAATGTTTTGGCGAGCTGTGCAGCTCCTTGTCTCCCTGAAATCTCTTCGTCAAACCCAAAGGATAGGACTAAAGTTCTCTTTGGTTCGAAGCCCGCATCTATGAGCAACTCGACGGCCTCCATAATACCGATGAGGTTATTCTTACAGTCGGAAGATCCCCGACCCCAGATAAAATGACCATCGAAATAGCCGCTAAAGGGGGGGTGCGTCCATTGGTCAACAGTCGACTCAGCTACGGGGACGACATCTTGATGGGCCATGAAGACAGTCGGTTTCAAGGTCTCGTCCGATCCCTGCCAAGTGTATAATAGCCCATGAGTGTTGACCTTTTGAAGTGTCAAGGTCTTATGAATGAGTGGAAATGTCTTTTCTAGATACGCGGCGAAATCAAACAAGATGTCCCATCGCTCATCTTCTCCAACGGGTCCAAGGTCATCATACGACTGCGTGGGAATCTTGATTGCTCCGGCTAGGCGAACTACCGTTTCATTAAGAAAGATAGGCGAGGTAATGTAATCCTCTAACTTGGAGAGCGCAGGACTATCATGTCGCGGAAAAAGAGGTTCGGCCTGCGGGCAATGTGCTAACTTATCCAATGCGGAATGCCTCGTGCGTGAAGAAAAGAATACATCATAAGCGTTCCTTAGCAGTACCAAGGCGGCCACGACTTGAACTAATGTCACCCAAATCGATCTCGAATGAGGGCGCGAGGCCACGGCAATTGACTGCGGTAGAATATCTCCTTTTTCACGCATCATAGAACTATTGATTAAGAGGAAGTATAAGAAGGATTAAAACCATCTATATTACTTCCTATGCAAATGCAATGTTCTGCTCTCTTATCAAAGATGGATCGAAACGCAGCCGAGGACCGGATTTCGCGGCACGGACCCCACGTTCACAAACCCCTACCTCGTTTAAGAAGCTCGGATTGCTATTTGGCCGAGTTTACGAGGGGTTATTGCTCATAAGTGAGTCGAATACATAAGCTGATCGACTCGTGGGGAGCCTTGTATGATTCTGGTCAACTCCAAATCTACAGACTACAGCTTGCATGAGAAGATGTCATATAATAGTCTCGCCTACCGTGATAATGCGGAAGAGTTTGCGTGGAAACTCCTGAAAGAGGTTCCTAGGCCCAAGATGATTTATCGTCAATACAGCCAATGACATTCCGACCAGAGCCAAAGGTCGGCTTAACAGAACAAAATGCTGCGTCGTTCGCCGACTACCCAACGAGGTAACCATCTTGATAGCTTTCATTTAATAGCCCTGCCTATACACTATATAGATGCCCGTCGAACTCCCATGTTTCCGTTTAGTGCTCCTAATATAGATTCTACTTAGCTTCCCTACACTGGAATGCTCCTTTCACGGTTGCAATAATCTATATGCTCGTCCCTCCGGACCCTCGATCAGCGTCCCACGAGAAGGGCTCTATCTCAATCTCAGGCTCACGCATCATCGCACACTCCAGCCACTTCGCGTAGTCCTCGAACCCGCCGATACTCCCAGTAACCCTTGCACGACGCACGCCCCGTACGTCTTCGAACCGGCGTAACGCGTCCGGACCCGAGCCGCGCCACACTATTTAGACAAGAGTCAGAACCAATAGCTAGGTAATTCAGTACACGGCTTCCAAATAGAAAATAAGGCGTTTAAACTCCCGAGGCAAACGAACAAGGGAGGAAAATAGCGGAGAGGAGGGTTCAGGCTACGTACCGGCTTGCCACGCGTCGAGAATAACCTCCTCCTTGTTACTCAGTTGCATCGCCGCCTGCGCGCGATCATATCCCGGCTCCGCGTCCAGCCGCACGCACACGTAAAAACGGGTTATAAGGCCGGCGAGGTGCGCTGAGAGCACGGGGCTGTAGGCGCGGCGCAGCCGGGGAAGTGTCGTTAACAATGTGTTGTGCGCTAGGAAAGTATTGCGTCGATATAGAACAGGCAGTGCCTCGGCGTGCAGCTGCCGGTTCGCGCGCAGGATTGCCGGGTGCAGCGGCGACGGCGTCCGGTGTTGCCCGCACTGGTAGTATGTCTTCTGCGAAGGAGGAGGGGCGTCTGGTGGTAGAACTAGCAGGTGCTTGAAGATCTCGAGACGGATCTCTATGGGGAGGGCTAGGAAGGGGCTAGGAGCCTTCTCCTCGTCTTCCTCGTGCTTGTTCTCTGATACCGCATACTCTCTGACTTCGGGTGACGGTGTAATGGACGAGATAAAGTTGCCCGGCTTCCCCGGTCTAGTATCTCCTTTTAAATGGTCCAGCGGCCAACAAGGCCCATCCGATGTGCTCATCAAGTCCATGATACTTATTAGTGACATAGATATGTGCACGTTGAAGAGAGAGGATTGAAGTTATGATGGCAGTCGTTGCTACTCTAGCCCTCAGTGTCCCAAATTATACTATAATCAGAAAATGAAGACACGGTATTATAAAGAGTCTAGGAACCCACGCGATACCGACATACTGAACGATATTGGACGGGTCGTAACCTACGTTATCTCTTTATTCTTCGTGGCGCTGGTGCTGACTGAGTATCTAGGGTAGATATGGAAATAAGAGGGGAAGATCGTTGCTGCATATGGCCCGATGCAGCCTCCCCTACGTCTTCAACCTTTACTTATATAGTACCCATTTACGTGATGTGGCAGCTTGGCAGCTGAGATAAGAAAGTACATGACCTACAGCCTATGAAGTTCCTGAATAAAAAAAAGAAACATAACATAGTGTATTCGTAAGGAGAAAGGAAACCAACAAAGGCAAGAAAAATACGCATATATCAGTTTAGATCCAGATTCCGGGGATAATCCTCTTCTCCATCTTGCAGCCAGCCAATAACTTGCCTTACGAGGTACCCTTAGAAACTGACGGATCATTACCCCTTTCAAACTTCGACCCTTAACCCCTCATCTACCGCGACGTAGTTATATCCTCCGTTCAGTCCTTTTTATGTAGTCGTCAAACTTGCTAGTAGTGTCGATGATAAACTTGATCTTCGCATAATCAAGTTTGCAATTCTCTGGGTTTCGCTGCTGTTTTCTTTCCCATCGGGTATACCGTCGTGCATTCGAGATGGCATTTCGGATCTCTTTTCCGTTCATCTCAAACTGGACCAAGTCCTTTATGTGATCTTTTAGATCAGCAGCATCAATCTCCTATTCCACGATATAATTAGCAAAGTTCCCAAAATAAATTCAGCGGTCATAAGAATAACATCTCGCCCGTAGTCATTGTGCTGGGTAACCAACCTCTCCTTCTAAATCCTGTAAGCGTGAGATGAAATTTTCCCAGATCTTGAAGCGTTCGTAAAAGGTCAGGTCGTTGTAGTGGATAGCCAGTTGTATACGTGACTTGAACGCTTCGTCGAAGGTACTGACTCGATTGCTCGTCAAAATTAATATCCCCTCATAATATTCGAGTACTCGGAGGAACACAGATACCAGTGCATTTCTATGGAGATCCTGGGGACTGCGCTGTTCAAGAAATACGTCGGCTTCGTCGAGTAGGACAACACACCCCCAGGTCTTTCCAAGGTGCAAAACGGACTCAAGATAGTTCTCAACAGCTTCCGGCTCCGTTCCTATGTCACCACAAGTGACGGGATAGAGTGGCTTCCGGGAAATCTCGGCCACGCTCTCGGCGGTCAGAGTCTTTCCCGTGCCGGGACCTCCATGAAGCAACATGATCAAGCCATTCCCTTTGCCACTTATGAGATCTGTTGACTTCTTAGGTTCGATCTGGTCGCTGACGAGGGCTCGAATCAATTTCTTGGTATTCTCTTCGAGAACTAGCCTCTCAAATGCCGCCTCATTCCATACTACTTCGCCCAGATTATCGACCTTTAGATCCACCCATTTCTTTTTCTTAAGGTTAAAGCCCTTGATGGTGGCAGGTAACAAATACAGGAACTCGGAGGAAGGTAACTCGTCTCGCTTTATCGCCTCGGGACCTAGGTCATCCGTCCCCGAGCAGTCTGAAGATATCCACCGGGAAGTATCGCGTTTCGTATCTTGTTTGTGTAACTCACGATATACCATCATGTCGATCATGCACCTTTCATCTTCCGGGTAGTGTGATCGTCGATTTACATCTTCATGGTATGATACCAGCTGCTTCGTACGACACTTCCAAATCCATTCCCCTCTGCGTCGCAGTTTGGCTGCCAGGTTTTCGTTCACACAACTCAAAGGGCAGATGCTCAAGCTATCGATTACCAATTCCGAATCATAGCTTTCATCTATTTTCCATATTAAATTGGTCGTCTTGCGTGAAAATGCGCCATCAAAGTCCCAGTGGCGAGCCTTGATCGTGTATCGTATCTTGAGTACCTTCTTTCCCAATGCTACCCCTTTTTCGTCTTCGATTGGTTTTTCAGTAACCCAAGAAGTACATAGGAGGCCCCTTGCTTCATCATCTTCCTTTTGCACGACCACGTCACCAGGTTTGAAGAGGTACTTAAAGTATTGTTTCGTGATTCTGCCGTTGCCAATTATTTTCTCGGCGTCATTATATTCATATCCATAATAAGGCATAATATAGGCAAGTAATGACTCGAATTGTTGCTTCTGTGAGTGATCTAGTGACTCGAGGAATTGATCCATGGCTTTTCTTGTGGCGTGATAAAAGGCGGGATATGGAGCTAGAAGCTTGGTCAGGTCACCAGCATCAGCAGAATGGCGACCTGGAGCATCTGATCTCCCTATATCGTCCGTTGTATCTGCAACGAAGCCATAGAACCCCATGAATTTCGTAACAGCCGTAGTTAGATCCGTAGTAGTTGTCTCTATTGTCTCTGAGTTGTGTTTTGGTACGGATAGGGTATGATCGAACCCCTTTTTTCTCGAGACGGGGACAGAAAAGTCTCTGTACACAATGAAGCAAATCTCCGGGCTCTTTTCAAGATGCGATTGCATGTCGTGTATTGGAAATTTGCCCGCCAAGGCCTCGCCCTCTATCCACCGTGGTCCGTCAAGATACATCCGCGTATGACTTCCTTCGGTCCCCACACGGTACACTATCTGAAATCTAGGCTGTGGCAATTGGAACACCCCGGTTGTGCGGGAGCAATTGCTTAGCATTGGATCCTGAACAGAGGCTGCTTCTGAATTGGCAGACCAAAGATCATATTTGTCGTGATTTTCAGGTACCGGTATTCGGTCGTCGGGCACGCGAGCCATCATTAGTCTTTTTTTGTTCTGCTCCTCGAGCATACGCATTTGCATCTCATAATCCTCCATCGCGGCGTTTTTCCTCTTACCGGGTCCGGCTCTTTCGGAATTGGTAGCCTTGGTTTGTTTCATACCTACTATTATGGCTTGACGTATCTTCCTAGTCTATAAGCACTTCTCCCTTGCTGTTGGGTTGTATGGCCTGTAATATTTGAGCTGTGCGTTGGAACTCGCTATCGTGGGTTTGGTTGATAGAAATGGTATTGAGTATATGGTCACCTTTTAGTTCTTTAATATTGTCACTATCCCCGGCTTTATAATATTTTTCCACACCAGAATAGTTGATCCATGAATGAGCTGAGAGTATTTCTTTTCAAGAAAAATTATGTTGAAATGGTGCCTATATGCTCCTGAATTGTTTTATGTACTTATCAAGCACAGAAGAGATAATACACCCCCCTTTTCAACTCAGCCCCCTGCCCGATGATACCCTTACAGATACCTAATGTTACACAAATGTGACGTTAAAACACCTCGCCAAGGAAAGCATCAACTGAGGTTAAATTAGGTATTCGTATTTTATTCTCCGTCTTTAAACAAGCATTTTGATTACTTCTAATGGCGACTCTTAGCTATTGGTATACTACTGTGCCTGAAGCAGAAGTGTTAAATATCGTATTTAAATGTTTAAAAGGCTTGAGTACTATCTTGCTGTATTTTTTAGTATAGTTCAGGATGTCTTCAAAAAAGCACTGGACGTATTCTCGGGGGAGTTATCGATCAGACTAAATGAGAATGGGTTATCAACACGAATCATGGCAACCTTGAGTCCGTCTTTGAAACAGTCTTGGACGCCCGAGGCCAGTATGAAAAGCGCAAAGGCGACTCAAGAGTCCGAGAGGCGCTTGTTAAGCTATCGGAGACGATATATTGTTATAGCAGTGTCATAGATGTAGTAGTCTCATCTCATCCCGGTAGGTAGTACTACCTCCTTCAATTGATAACAGTCCCTTACGCCATATAGAATACGCGGCCTTAGCTTGGGGCGCCATGAGGTTTCTATTTACTGTGAGTGTTTAAGATCAACCTCCTTGTCATACCAGGGCGTGTCATTCAGAATATGCAGACGATTACAAATCATCAAAAAATTATACACAAGCTTGCTACTGGGCTGAGTGAGATTGCCAGCATCTTACCACGCGCAGAAGTCATCATAAAGCTCTATCACACACCACAGTTTAGGCATGTCATCGTGTCTATTTACGCTCACATCTTGAAGTTCCTTGTACGAACGCTTAGATGGCACCAAGAGAGCAAGATAGTGAGGGTGAGTGTGCAAAGCAGGCTCGGGTACCTGTGAGAACACCATACCAAGAGACATCGGATCCCATTCAGGGCCGCTTAGAACTAGGTCGATTACCCGTGGGGAAACAGGTCCGTCCCCGCCAGAGGCGATTACCGCAGCGAAAGCGGCGAAGCTAGGTTGTTAGGCGCTACCCAGTTCAAATATATCTTATATACCTACCTTCTTCTCAGGTACGCACAAGAATATTGGCTTGGCTTTACGGCCGATATTTATCGACTATAGTTCTTCGAAGACTACCAAGACGCCGGGAACGAAACCTGGGGATATATTACTAGCTTGCTCACAATACGAGGGTTTAATGAATCTATAAATTCGGACTAAAGTACTATTTCTTACCAGTTCATATCTATACCTACCTAAAATATAAATCAATCATATACACAAACCACTGTGTTCAAGTTATCTATTTGATAAGTTAGATACCTCATATACAAGATTAGCTTGAGCGTATCAATAGACGCTACGAAGGCAAGCGGGCAGAAACTAACGTAGTTTTATCTCAGAAACCTCCCCCTTGATTCATTTATAGGTGGTAAGGGTAATAATCAGAGAAAAGCTTGACCTTAGAAATCGAACCCACGGCTTTGTCCAGAACCATTGGTCCTCTTGCCGTCTTGCACATGGATTCGAATCTAGAATCTACGAAAAGACCCCGAGAGGCCTTTCTACATCCGTCATACCTCTGGCCACTAGATAGACCAATAACCACCACTTTGACTAGGGAATCATAGATTGAGAAGTGATGGAAGGTAATTACCTACCTACTCATCTATATTGGTAATAAGCGGTCCATCCTAGGGAAGGATTTATGCTAGGATGTGGTATGCAGAGAGAAAGCCCCCTTACATGAGCCCCAGTCACCATTACTAGATTCATAGGTACCTACCTAGGCTTCGCAGTTCCGAACGACGCATACATATATCAAGCATCAGGAGTTCCTCTTCGATTTGACGTACGGATGAACTACGAAGTATGCTTACAGGTGAGACAGGCGGCGGGGAAGGATGGGAGGAGGGATGTTAGGTATAGGTCCCACTCACACCCGTACTTCCGACTACCCCGTGACGGTGTTGTTAGTCCCGACGACACACTCATATATCAACATGTGTAAGCATTTACTTATACCTCCACTTACTTACACTTCGCCTCTCTCAGAGTTATACGATTAATAAGTATGATTTGTAGTGAGTACCTACCTATCTACCTACATAAACCAGGTAGTCTCAGTCTCGTTGATAAGATCAAGAATACCTAGGATCGAGAAGCCCGTGCTCTGTAGCAACCCGCCCCTCGCGTAACCGTCCAGTTCGTCAGCTTCGTGGTTTATTACATGACCTCTTTTATGCCTACATAACTATCTCGTAATACATAGAGGTACAATACCTACCTCCACCTGACTAGGGATAGACCTACCCAAGTTAGGTACGATGTAGGCAGCACAAGAACACGACAGCGCTTGTATCCGCAAACGCCGCGGGGTTGGGGACCTAGACACTTATAGCACCAACGCATTAATATTGAAAATATTATCAATAAGTTTATTCTTTCAATATTAATGCGTTAGTGCTATAAGTGTCTAAGTCCCCAACCCCGCGAGTAGACATACAGACAAGTATGTAGTAAATAGGCTGACCCTCTCGTCCATTTCGCGCAGCCCCATAATCCAGCGCAAGCGACCAGCGCATCAAGCGCGCGTGTCATTCACGCCTAGTGTATGTAGAAGCAAGCATCCGTTCACCATGGTCATGGTCATGGTCATGGTCATGTTCCAAGGTTGCAATTATGTACAAAAAGAAAAACGGGGTTAGTTACCAAGTACAAAACTTACATACGTATACGTATACCAGGGCTAAGATACTTGATTGGCTGCTAGAGCTTCTTGGCGGTGGAAAGTTGCTCAAAGTGGTAATTAACTATTTCTGGTTAGGATTAGGAAACGTCGAGCGATGCCGATTGGTCGAATTGGTTGGTTCGGCAACTCAAAGTTCCAATAGCTAAGAGAGAAAAAAAAGGCTTCAGCTCCCCTTTTTTTTTTTGGTTGACGATGACTCACCGGCTGACCCACGGGTAGACTTCGATCATTCAGCAATTAATGTACGCTTGACCTGCCTCACATCAGCAAACAGGGGGGAGGGGAAAATCCTGATTCGGTACCTCAAGCTAATGTCAAACAAGTGGCTGTTGTGTGACGGACGAGCGGGAACGGGGAATAGGAGGTACCTTAGGTAGGTGTAGGTAATCTCGTCTTGTTCTTTTCTTTCTTTGATCCACGATCTACACTTCACAAGTCTCGGCAGTCAGTAACTCAGTGTCATCTTGCACGAAGACGAAGATGAAAAACAAACTTGCACTCAACAATGGTCATCAAAAAAGCTTTCTTTTTTTTCTTCTTTTGTTCCGACTCGAAGCTTATTTGAAATTTCAATACTATCTGCGAGGTTGGGTTCTCTCAAAGTTCTCTAGCAAACTGCTTTTTTTTTGTACTCGAAGTTCTTTGATACTCGATTGCGCAACACCTTTTCAGGCTCAGATAGGTAAAGAAATTATAATGCCAGTGCGCTTCTCGTACCTACTAGGTCGAATGACAAACGGCGCCCGCTTTTCGACGGTTGCCAAATATCGTTCGGCGGGTTCGCGGGCACGATATCGTTGATCGTTATAAAATCAAGTAAAGACAAAAATACTCCAGTATGATACGGTCGGCTCGAGAAGTCGCACGTTGTGCCGACATTGCCTTATTCCTCGAGTCGCCCGTCTTGATCCCGTGGGTGCGGCTGTAACCGCCACTGCCTAGCCATTATTTGCTCTTCAACACCACTATGATATTATCCCCCCCGAACACCATTACAAAGAATAACGCACCTCCCTTGTTCATTCGTACACAAACAAACAACTACCCACCTTACCAGTTCCGATATGCTGTGGTCCTGGAAATGCATGCATTGTGAAAATAGCTTTTCGCCCGGGCTTTGGCCATCGTCAGGGTTCTTCTATAACTATGTGACTTCCAAATATGGATGTGGTATCACGAACCGTCGAACCTCTCCCGATGTAGAACAAAGGAAATAGTTGGATATTGTCACAAAGGTTGCTTGTAGTGGACCTCGCAATAAGTTTTAGCTTAGTGAATGGCTCCTAATTCAAGATGCCCTCCCACATTCCTGGTCCGCCGGGGCCGCCGACTGCAGGGTGTATCGAGGGAATGAACGTCCGAGCATCATATGAGAAACACATCCGCTTTCTGCCTCCATTCGATTTCGATAGAACTGGCGTCCGTTGATTCTCTAGATCCGCCTGCGGGAGACCGCGAACCGTTACATCCGAGCGTTCCTTTTCGTAGCACTGGCTACTTAGCATTTCACGCACATTCTCCTGGAGCGAATTATCGATTGATAACGGTCGCTTCTCACCCTGCTTGGGAGAAGAACGAGGCTGTGGGCGGCAGCCTTGAGGCTGGTTCTGAAGCTGTTGTAGAACCCGAGCAGCATTCGCAGTTTCGTCCAATTCACATCCTCTGGCCAATGGAGTCTCCAATGAACTCTCCATTTGCATCTGTCCTACCAAATCTTTACTGACCGGGCCGGTGTAAGATTCGGGAGAGGATGTAATGCAATTCTCTTCGTAGTCTTCTGGCACCGAAGCGATGACTGGTCTTAAGCTATACCTTTCACTGCACAACTTCGCATATCGGTATCGCGCCTGAACATCCAATTTGGTGGACGGCGCGCTAGCCAAGGACGAAGCTGATGAGATCGAGGATGAGCGAGACGTTCGTGACGAGTCAGAGATCATCGATTCCGGCGAAGACGCCGTTGAAGTAGAATTAGCAAGCGAGGAGCGACGTGTGGAAACGTAACTTAGAGGTGAGGAGCTTAAAGACCCAGGCCACCTATCCCACCTATCCAAGTTTTGCAATGCAGTTACATTCGCAGCTTGCGCCATAGCAAAACCCATTGAGCCTTTGCTACTAAAGAGACCAGTGGCAGCACTCGCAGCACTCGCAGCAGGAGTGCTAAACCCGATGGGTTGTGGTGTTAGACGGGGAGTGGGAAGTAGACCTAGAGCTGGAGCGAGACGACCCGGAGTAGGTACGGTAGCCGGTGCAGGCTCCATGACGAATGGAATATCAAGAGCCTTTAGCGTAGATGGGTCAAATGGAATATCAAGAGCCTTTAGCGTAGATGGGTCACTCATCATGTAGGAGATTGCTCTGCCTACTCTGGCGCGAAGACTCGCCGCTCCAGGCACGAGTGGCGTCAAGTCTGGAGACTTCATAACTAAAGGACATAGCGGGATAAGATCTTCGATATTACCCAATCCCGGTTCGAGACTAAGGATCAAGTTCTTCCAGTCTTGGTTCTGTTGTTCTGAGTTCTGAGAACAAACAGACCCGGATGGAGGTTGCGGTGGCGTGTATCTTAGTACGATTTCAGTCCAACGTTTGAAAACATCATCGGTGATGTGGAGCTTCCACTTCACGGCGATTAAAAATGCCATCTCGTTTTGGTTGATCTCTTGCGTCGCAAGCCCCGAAATTTTGCTCCAAGCACGTGCTGAATAATTTCGGTCTTGTAGATATTTGGAGGCAAGAATCAGAGCAGCAAGAAACATCCGGCGACCACACTGCAGTACCCGGTTCGCATGAACATCGTCCGGCTGCTCCATTGTAAAATCGTGCTTAGGAACATGGGGCTTAATCAGTATTAAATAGTACAGCGCAACTTGCAACGTAGAATAGCTCGTACGAGAGCGGCGCAACGTTTCTTGGATAAAAGTCCGTAGCGGCAGAACGGCCTTGTTGCCGAGTTCCTGCCGGTGGAAAACGGAAGACAGTGGCCAAATTGCTTCAACAATCTGGGTCGATGAATCTAAAGTTGGGGGTGTTGAGCGCGAGAATATGGGTTTGGGGGGACATATCGTTACTGCTTACCGACGAGGCTATCGACAAAATTGACCTTCCGATCGCTTTGGCGAATCAAAGATGGAGGGCATCCGGTTCTGGACGTCGCACTGCCACTGGTGCGGCGCGGGTTCTGCCGTAGCTCTTGTGGAACTTCGGTTTGTTGCGAATATCCTCTGATATAGTCTCTGAAATAGTCATAGTCTTTGAAATAGTCGGTAGGTAAAATCCGAATCTGTTTACATAAATGATCAGGTAAACTCCGAATCAGTTTACATAAATGATCAGATTGAGACGGCTTAGATCGCCGACTATAACCGTATGATTCGCATCGTTCTGACGGGTCAGAAGTACATATGGAGATGGAGGTGTCGTCAGAGGCTTGGGATGAAGCTTCAGACCAGACCGAGGCTGAGGACGAGGAGGCGGAGGAGGATATTGAGGAATTATAGGTGATAAAATCCAGCGAATCATGTTTGCTGCACTGCACCAGCATCTTGGAGAACGTAAGAGGTTTAAGGTCTTCGAGACTAAAAACTTCCAGTCGCCCGTTTTAAGCAAAGTCAACCGATTGGATCGTTATACCGAGAAACAGATTGTGAAATCTTATCGAATACGTGGCTTCAAAACAACATATATATTATTATGAAGCTACCGAAGAGTCGAAAAAGAAGGGAGGTTTCTAGACGTGAGTGCTAGTAACCAAAGTTTCACGAACGATCAAACCGGAAGACTGAGCGAGACGGACGACTGGAGTAGAGGAAATGGCTATCGCAAGCTGCATGGTGTGGTTGTTTGTTTCTACTAAGGAAACAAAGGTTTCGCGGTAGTGACAGTAGTCGCACCGGCTAGATCTGCATCGAGCTGAGCGCGCCTACCGAACTGAAGGTATCACAAGAGAAAGAAGAGATGACTAGTCCGTATTATAGTAAGTGAAGGTTGTTGCAGGTTGTCGCGGCGCGTCGAGTCGAGAACTAAGACGTGTATTGTATGTATCGTATGTATGTACGTATGTATAAATGGATATGTAGATAGGCAGGCAGACAGGTAGGCAGATAGGTAGATATCGTATGTATTAATCGAGTATTGGAGTCGGCGCGATTCGAATATATCTGAAGTGACGTCGGATTGGTTATAATTGGGGACTGGAAGTCTTGCTGAAGTTCTATGAGATGAATTATGCAAGGTACAACATAGGCTGCTGCAGCAACCACTGATCTGATCTGCTAACCAACGAAGTGAGTGCGCATATGCGGGCTGGTAATTTCCTGAGATCGGACGTAAAAACAGGACGATCCCAACGGTCTTTTTTAAAGTAAGGTTAAATCAGAGGCGAACCAGGCGACAACGTATGAATCAAGAGTGAGCGGAGAGGGTCGATGAGTCGCGTGTTTCGAACCCAAGCGTAAAAAGATGAGATGAAGGCGAAAAAGCGGCAGGGTAAGTTAAAAGTTAAAGTCTAAAGTGGCCTTTGGGTACCTATGCGATGACTCTTTTACAGGTGTGAGGTGGCGAAGACTCCGATCATTACCGCTATGTGGGCTGTTGTAGTACAGGTGGTCTTTGCTTGAACCTTTTAGGGGGTGGTAGGTGCTTAGGCCCTGAGGTGCTGAGGTGCCGAAAGAGAAAGCCCCGGACCCGCTAAGATAAGCTAGGATGGCTGGATGGCTTAGGTGCTGGGTGGCTAGACTGTGCCGGGCTAACGCAGGCGCCGAATATAGACTGGTATAAATGGGTCTCCCCCCGAGTGACTCCCAACCTTGAACTAGCACGTTGCAAGAATGACGGTCACACGCGTGGAAGCCTGGGAATGGGTCCAGATCCAGAGATGCAGTGGCGATTGACCAAAGAACAAAGGATGGATTTTTTGATTTTTTTTCGAACAAAAAGATAACTGTACAATTAGGTAGGTAACTGAGTCGAAAATGATGCAAACGGCGTATCCTTTGACTGAGCAATGGTGGCGCGTTTGGTCTATAATGAGGAAGGAATAATAGTAATAATACTTGTCGTAAGACTGCTAACTTGCCTTAGAGCATAAACTGTTTTTTTGGTATTTGAATCGCTTCGTTCAATATCTTCTTTTTCTAAAGGTGTCTAGTATATAGACTCCCTTTTTTTATTCTTCTTTTCTTTTCTTTTTTTGGATTGGAATCTTTCTGATAGCAAGAGTAGCAAGAGTAGTTTAGCGTCACCCTCCGCTCGGGTTGGTGGTAGCTCCTCTTGGGTTGGTGGTAGCTCCTCTTGCGGTTGATTGAGAGTATTAAGAGTGAGTAGCAGAGTAGCAAGAGTAGCAAGAGTAGCAAGAGTGCAAATTAATGCCACTAGGAATCGAGAAAGAGACGAATAGAGAGAGGAGAGGTCCTTAGAAGAGGGGAGAGGTCGTCAGAGCAACGGAAGTAGATAAATTCGAATAATAAAATAAAAATAAATAAGTAGCAAGAGACTATTTAGTTGAATATCGCTCTTTTACAATGATATTCGAGAGCAGACTTTCAAGGAAGTCGCCTTGTCGTCGTCTAAATCTTCAATTCGAACATTGCGGCGGCCTTGTTCGATAGGAAAGAGAAGAGAAACTGGAAAAAGCAGCCGACGGCACCGACGAGTTTTGAATAACAGCAACGCAAAATCTATTCGGCAGTACTTTTTGGGGGGGGGTTAAGCTTGCTTAGGATACCTTTAGCAATACCTTTAGTAATGTACGGAATACATAATCGTATGTAGACCACGAAGCAAATCCTAGCCCAGGCCAATTACATAGTATACAACTGGCCCCTCTTTTTAGAATAATGAAGAGCCATTCAGTGACGAGGCTGGGGGTGTTTCGCCTTTCGAGGGCACCCTCTATGTACATATGCACCTGTAGCCAGTACATCTAGTACATCATGTACAAAACTTTCCAGTGAAAATACCACCCTAAATCGGGAATAGTGGCTTTTTGTTGGCAGGATTGGCCTTCTTCTTATTGGGTCAATAAATAATACGTAACGCTGTGATTGGTGTTTACATATACCATGGACAATTTTGATCCCTGTCCGCTGCGTACATAATAATGTGCTGTTTATACCCACATGTACTGATATACACTTCCTAAAGTTCGAAAGTTCCTGAAAGTCAGGCACATCTAAGGCTTCTCGAATGTATCTCTTTAACTGTTTATTGGCGCTACGGTTTATAGGCGCTACGGCAACGCCTACAACTTTATAGTACTATGTAAGCTTGGAAGTTGGTCGTAGTAGGCCGCTAAGGTGAAAAGGGCTAGCAAAACTCGAAAGAGAATAAACCTTCTTCTGTCCGAACAATGGATGGCAGGTTGTGAAAAGAGCCATCCATCATCCCTCCCACACCACACCCACCACCCCTCCATCAATAAACCCTCGTCATTATTCTCCTCCGCCATCACCCCTTTCCATCCCGCCTTGCAGCTTGCAGACCTATTACCATTTAATAAAATCAACCAAGCATCTACGCCATAGTATTTATTAGATGGACGGCCACATATATCAAGCCTGGTAGCAGCATAAGTTGGCCAGGTATTAGCTACCATTAATTACGCTATATTCGCCGGAAAGGAGAATGGCTAACTGGCTAGCTACCTATTCACCTATAGGCGGATATCTTACAGTCATGTTCCGGCGTTAGTTATTGATCATGGCCCGCCGTCCAATATTATCCTTACGGGAAGCCCCGTGAAATTAGAGCAATAAAAAATAACAAACCAGGCTGCGAAGTTTGCTTCGGGCAGCTTGGTTCATTGCCACCGAAAGGGCGGCGGCAGCAGTATTTGTTAGCGGTGTTAATTTGGTGTAACGTCTACCCTATAATTATCAAATTCTTTTCCCCCTTCTCTTGGGACGAAGCCGAATCCGAATAACTCCAGAACTCTGGTCTGGAAACGTCCAGTGCCATGCCCTCGGATACGTCAGTGCAGCCAACTCTCCTTGTCCGACTACAGCCTGCATAAACGTCGATAAAGATCGTCTGTCACGAGTAATTTGTATTAAAAAGCTGCTTCTAACATCGTATCTAGACTAGATGTAATTGGACCCTTGTTTTATCTCTGGGTGGTTCCCTGCGAGACGGGTCACGCATCCTAGGTAGTGTATGCTGTAAGTCTTGTCAGCCTAGATGAGAATCGGCTTTGCCTCAGCCTTCCATTTACTTTCTAGACCCTTATTACTATTATTGTCTCGATTTTGCAGCCTTATTTATTGAGGGTCATGCATAAACAATCTGAAGTCGAGCATCTACAAGGTGTCCTTCCTCTAGTGTAATACTAGTTCGAGATTGGAGTCATCTATCGCCGTAAGTAGGAGTATTGTGTCATTGCAGCTTGCCACGGGTTCCCCTCTACCAGCAGGTAGACTCATTACTTGTTTCGGATAGGAGTCATCCGTATGGATCCCGTCTTTTGTAACTCTACGGCGGGCCAAATTGCCCAAAATACGTATTGGCCCACCAGAAAGCCAGGGTTCTCCATCGGGCGCAGCTCGGGCAAGCCTCTCCATTACTTACCTGGTCAGTTACTTGGTTTACTAAATAAAATCAGCCACTCCTCATCTACAACTGCGATATTTAATCATATCTCAAATAACAGTTCAAATATATCATTCGTTATTTTATTAGCTGTTATATTGAGTCTTTAATGATGCATTTCTTAAAAGGGGAAGGGGGAGAGTTGCGAGATGATGAAACTACGGATGAAGCAGTGAGATGCACTGAAGAGATTCATCTTCATTCTAATGTAAACTTCGCCTTAGAAGTCATAACAATACATAGATCTTACGTCCCATCTGTTGGCTTTCTCAGACAGAAGGATAAATATATAAAGACGCTAACTTGAGGGTATCAGATCAACGTGACCAGTTACTCATACCAAAACTTTACGTCGCTTAGACCATAAAGAACGGACGACATATATCTTCTAGCATGTTGCCCAAGCAGCGGGATATTACTATATATAAGAGGACAACTCTACAGATGATGCTATTGCTACTAACCCAACTTGGCATGGCATAAACGTCGTGTATGAGACCAATATTAGACATAAATAGTAGACCTTAGACCTAATTCTGTAGCATTTTGCGCACAGCAGACGCGGGAGTACAAGAGGGCCGCTATTTCAAGCCTGCGTTGCGCGTCTCACCAATTAGGGCCATTCAAGAAGTGGCAGTATTGAGGGGCATCGTATTACACAGGAACTCGAGGCAAATTTCAACAATTTACTGTTGATCCGGAGTCGTTTCCACCATGCAGGGTAACCTACCTAACTTTCAGGCTCTCCTTCAGGCTATCCTTCGGGCTTTCAAAGGACCCAGAGGCTTTCACGACTAGAAACGACAAAGGCAACAAGAGGCTTCACAAGGCCAGACAATTGTCCCCCATGACGACAACTGACTACATTTCCCGACGGGTCGAGTTGGCTGGCTGGCTGGTTGGGGGGGTTGTTAGGGGGGTTAACAAATAGGGTATGATTGTCACTGCTTCCCATGCGCAATCAATTGTATCAGCAGGGATTCGAGGCCATCGCGAAATAAAACCTCGTTCCCGCAGATTTAGCCCTTTACAGTGACCACACCTTTACGACAAGCAACCAATTAAACACGACATCGTTGCCAATTTACAGCCCAGAACCCGCTGCGATGACTCAACTCAAACTTGCTTGGCTAAAACCTTCGACTCCAATGAGCCGC